GCAATATCACGGCGGGGACACCAGAAATGGGCTTAACACATTGTGCCCATGTGGGGAATCGAACCCGGGTCTTCGGCGTGACGAGCCAACGCTTTAACCACTGGGCTACCCCACCGCCCCTCGAGACTGAGGAGGCACTAGAAAACATAACGGAAGAACTGTTGATACTCTTGTGTTTATTTAGCCACAATTCTTTATTTATGCAATAGTTTATAATAAAAAATAAACTGACGTTCAAAAGAAAGTACACACCTGATTCTTTGGTAAAATGTTTTCTTGAAAACAGCATTAATATTTAAAAGTGTTTTGATTCTGCCTTGTCACAAACATTGTGCAAGTGTTTCCAAAACACCACAGACATTGTACCAAATTACAACATTGCTAGCAAAATATTTATGGTTTTAATGGGAATAGTCCCAAAACACCAGGTGTGACCTTTCTTATGTAAGTCTGTATAGTTTGTGCCTGGCTAATATTTCATGGTTACTTTGTGTTTATCATCAAGAATTTAGATAACAAACATGCCCTGCATTTACTTAAGTTGAAACATTTGAAACAGTGCCTCCATTGGCTGACTATGTGTAGACGCATGTAAGGGACCGTTCATTATTCATGGCTAGGGCTAGAGAGAGAGAGGAGGGGGACAGAGAGAGTTTTTTTTTAAGCAGTAAATTTCAATATTTTAAAGTACAAAAGAACACCCCACCCCAGCCCCCAGTATATTGGTACAAAATTAATGACCCCCAAAAAAAATAAAATGGGTGACCCCCCCCAAAACAACAACAAACAAACAAAAAAGAAAACATCGTCAAACCCCTAAACACGACTGGAGCGTATAACTCGCTTCTCGAGAGTTTGAACAGAAAGATCCAAAGGTACTGAAGAATTTTCTCCCTGGTACAAGGCGAATTTTGTTGGAGAAAATGTCTCCATGCATCGAGAAGAAATGTACCCCATGAGAGACAGTATTCCCGTTGGAGAGAAAATGGCACTCTCCTTACGATGTTTGGCAAGCGGTAAGTTATGTGGTGTGTAAATGAAGCATGGATACTGCGGTTTCATTTTGCAAAGAATCCAAACTACACTCTCCTACCCAGAGTTCCATGCGTCTACCATAGTACCTCATCATTCGTAACTACTCGCCTGTTTCCGTGACCTACAGGCTCTCACCCGTGGCAGTACGATCACGCAAATGTAGTACCCGGATGTACCGATCTTGGGCTGCAGTGGTGACTCGAGGTCTGCCTGTATGGGGACGGTCATTTGTTATACCTGTTTGGTTGTAACGAGCTGTAAGCCGTGATATCGTGCTCAGACTAACAGAAGATTGGTAATCTCCAGCGTGCATTCTTTCAATGGCGATGTTCCGTGTCGCAGAGTCAAGACGTGGCGTGCCGCGTAGTGATTTGACCTTGAAACTCCTTCAAAACGAATGCCAATTTCCGAAAGTAATCTGGATTTTTATTGCCAGACAGTGCATGGTCTTTGCTGCACAATTTCAACTGGAAGGGGATTTCACCGTAGGTTTAACATTTCCCATAGTGATGGACGTCAACGTGCCTATAGACGCGTGGGAGAACGTTATGCACAGGCCTGTGTCTTGGAGAGGAATCGCTTTGGTGGTGGTTCCGTGGTGATTTGGGGTCGAATAACAGCACGCCAAAGAACTCCTTTGGTGATTGTACAGGGCAACTTAACTGATGTGGGCTACAGGGTTCAGATTCTTCGACCTGTGGCAATTCCTTTTCTTTTCTTAACATTCCAACAGGACAATGCCCGCCCTCATACGGCAAGGGTTGCTATGGATTTCTTGCAACACCACAACGTTGACTTACTGCCTTGGCCTGCAAATTCACCGGATCTCTCCCCGATAGAGCATGTTTGGGACGAGATGGGTCTTCCTCATCCGCCAAATAACGTCCTTGACTTGGCAACAGAACTTGAGAGAATCTGGCGTGACGTCCCACAAGCCTTCCTTGCACGTTTGATAGGCTCTATGCGTCGTCGATGCAATGCTGTTCTCAATGCCGATGGTGGACATACCTGTTATTGAGCTTGTGACATGGTCGTTTGACCCCTGTCCCGCTTGTGGGCTCGTGACGTCATTGTGACGGTGGTCTGCTTGGGGGAATTAACTCAGCAAAGAGTCCGAAGTCACAAGAAGCTAATCACAATTTTATTTATAAGAACGGAATAACATGGGGTGGCCACAGAGAGTCGGTACAACCCTCTGGGCTGAGGTCTAGAGCTGACCTGTGTTGGGAGTCTAAACCCTTCTGACTAATGAATGGAGATAGTGACTATTTATCTAAAATTGAAACAAGGAAGAGATTATGATTTGTTGACTGATACAAAAATGGGTGTAACCTACAATAACGAATGAAATACGGAATATAATAAAGTGGTGTGTGTCCTACAAAAACAACTTCATTGACCAGACAGCTGGAATACTTAATCCTGCTAATCCTATTTCAACTGGCACTAATCTCGTTGGCACTTTTACTGGATGCTTGGATGCTTACCCTGGGCTAGATCTTAACGAGCCCAAGTTGATGTGTCAATTATAGGGCATGTTCCCATTTCGCCTTCATCCCATTTCGCCTACAGTCTTAAAACAACAATTCATGGTTTGGTGACTGTTATTTCATGCATGAGTAATAAGTTTACCCTATTCAGATATAAATGGAATCTCCCTTAGTTTTCCTTTAATTTGATTAGTAGCACACGTAGACAACATGGCTTTTTGCATTAAAATAAAAAAAATGTTTTTCTTTCATATTTTCTATTCACAGCAAATCATAGTACAATATAATACAATAATCAATATGGCACTGGCTGTTAACTAGAACACTGTACTTGAGTTCATGGATGTCTGAGTTTATTGAAGCTTCAGTAAGTGACCTGATGCGCCCAGGAACTGATTAGACGTTGTCTCAGTCGGTTGAGACGCTGGTCAAGATATCTGTAAACTCGTGAGCCTGGCCGAGTTGTTGCACCATGGTCAATCTGAAGGCGAGTGATCTCGTTGGTGAATTCAATCTTCTTGATAGCTGTTATGAATTCATAAATGTTCGGATGGTTCTTTCTCACAGACCATTTTTTCAGACCATTATGGAAGCCTTCCATGTAATTGTTTTTTTCTGGGACCAGTGTTGTTGTGTTGATTCCAGAGACTTGGTGGAAATCTTGCATCAAAGTCGACCCAGGTGCTGGTGACGTAGTCGTTAAACTGTGTGAGTGAGTGAGTGAGTGAGTTTAGTTTTACGCCGCACTCAGCAATATTCCAGCTATATGGCGGCGGTCTGTAAATTATCGAGTCTGGACCAGACAATCCAGTGATCAACAGCATGAGCATCGATCTGCGCAATTGGGAACCGATGACATGTGTCAACCAAGTCAGCGAGCCTGACCACCCGATCCCGTTAGTCGCCTGTTACAACAAGCATAGTCGCCTTTTACGACAAGCATGGGTTACTGAAGACCAATTCTAACCCGGGACTTTCACGGGTATTAAACTGTGTGATGCCAACTGCTGGACTCTGGTTCAGTACATCTACCCAGACATCTTGAACTTGTTACTCATACATTGTGAAACTGACCTGCCTGCTCCTTTTGATCTTCATAGCCTTAATCCTTCAGCCAATTGCTTATAAACACTGATTATAAGCTGACTCCATTTAAAGACAATGATATACTTATCTTTTCTCATACATTTTGAAATTGACCTTCCTTAATTCCAGTAAGTCAAGTCCATTCTCTCAATAGGGGTGCATTTTCTATTCCCTATAATAGTATGTCTGTGAGATGAGTTTCACTACTTTTGACTGGAGTCTTTCTCTAAGCTATTACTGATACATGATGAAACTAATATTCTATATATTTTCCTAATATCTTAATCCTAATATATTGCTTGTATTGGTACTAATTAATAATCAATTTTGTATGAATAATTATTCCATGATAGTGCCTTGAAAAGACCCTAAAAAGGCCTGATGACTGATAATCTGTACAAAACCTGATTATAAACATATAATGGCAGTGGTGTAGCCTAGCTGTCAAAGCCAAGTCCCGGTCCGATTCCCCACATAGGTACAGTGTGTGAAGTCCATTTCTGGTGTTCGCCCCCGTGATATTACTGGAATGTTGCTAAAAACGGCATAAAACAAGTGTGTTTGCCACTGATAGGACAATGTCCCCCGCTGCTAAAGAATGTAATATCTACATTTACTACTTTTTAATTTTTGGTCACATACAAGATGCCTGAAATGACTGGTGTCTGCATAATCACCCAATGTAGGCTGTCAACATAATTGAAAACATTGGGTTCAATGTTTTATGAGATATCGCGTTTAAATAAGTTTGAAAAGCGGTCAAAGTGTCGTGGTGATCTTGAAGATAAGGTCAAGGTCACCCAAATAAACTGGTGTCTGCATAATTCCTCAATGTAAGCTGTCACCGAATTTGAAGACATTGAGTACAACAGTTCATGAGATAAGGAGTTAACTAGTGTTAAAAGTGTGCAAAGTATGGTGGTGACCTTGTAGATAAGGTCAAGGTCACCCAAATAAACTGGTGTCTGTGTAATCCCCCAATGTAGGCTGTCACCGAATTGAAGTGTTCAAAATCTCGTGGTGACCTTGAAAATAAGGTCAAGGTCACCCAAATAAACTGGTGTCTGCGTAATCCCCCAATGTAGGCTGTCACCAAATTTGAAGACATAGGGTACAACAGTTCATGAGATATCGCGTTAACAAGAATCGGGACGTAACGGACAGACGCCGCTGAATACATAGTCCCCTGTTCTGGCGGGGGACAATTAAACTCACTCACTCACTATAAACATATAAAGCATGCAACAGGGACCAAAGAATAGTTCGTTATATCCGTCATTTCATTGAGTGCATGTTCGTTGTAGACATGTTTATCGTAATATGAAAGAATCATGTTGTTTAATTTCTTTTGAGGAGTATAGAGCAAGACAGAAAACTCAATACAATGGCGAGAAATTGAACATTTATTAACATTTATCGAGTCTTGTGTTTCAGAATCATTTTCCGATTTGATTGCGAGACCTCTGTGTCCTGGAGCGACGTTCACATGTATGTCTGTCCTGAGCCAGAGTCTGCCCTGGCGGACAGGAACAACGATAGCCTCCATATTTGTTTTGACATGTGTGACTACATCGATTCTGACCAGAGCACTCGTTCACATCTGAAAGTACAAGAAAATGAGTGAGAACACTGCTGCCGACTGTGACTGTGAGACAGTGAGTGAGTTTACTTTTATGCCACTTTTAGCAATATTCCAGCAACATCATGGCGGGGCACCAGAAATGGGCCTCGCACGTACCCATGTGGGGAATCGAACCTTGGTCTACAGCGTGACGAGCAAATGCTTTAACCACTGGGCTACCCCACCACCCTCCTGTCATCATAATTGTTTGATGTTGAACAGGTATAGATCATGGATAGCATTTGTATTTTTCCCTGAATGTGAATACTGAATATACATTTTTTACAATCCAAAATTAGAAAAGATATACATGCCATTCGGCTTGATTGATTGGGTACGACATTACTTAAACACTAAGCCTGATCAGTATTGGGGGCCATGGATTAGCCTAATGGTTAGAGAATCCCCTCGTCACACTGAAGACCTGGGTTTGATTGTCTACATGGGTACAAGGTGTGAAGTCCATTTCTGGTGTCCCCCTGCCGTGATACTGCTGGAATACTGCTAAAAGTGGCGTAAAACTAACTAACTCACTCACTCACTGATCAGTATTGATTATATCTGATTGTTCGATTACCAAAACAGCAAACACCATCAATTGTACTATCTTCCGAAGGCAAGACTGTCTTATAGCAAACAGTCTACATTTCACCCAAGCCATTTCAAGCTCTATTACCCATAAAGATCCATCATAGGCGGATCCAGAGGGGGGGTGCGGGGGTGCGCACCCCCCTTTTGTCCTGATAGTTTATTAAATGACCATTGAAACTCGGGTGAAAATGAAGTGTGCACCCTCCCTTTTCTCAATAGTGTGCACCCCTCCTTTCTCAATAGTGTGCACCCCACCTTTCTCAATAGTGTGCACCCCCCCTTTCTCAAAAAGCTGTATCCGCCCCTGTCCATGTCAGAATTGGTCTTCAGCAACACATGCTTGTTGTAAGAGGTGACTAACAGGATTGGGTTGTCAGGCTCGCTGACTTGGTTGACATGTCATTGTATCCCGATTGCATAGATTGATGCTCATGCTGTTGATCTCTGGATTGTCTGGTCCAGACTCAATTATTTACAGACATCCACCATATAGCAGGAATATTGCTGAGTGCGGCGTAAAACTAAACTTACTCACTCACTCATCCTCTGGAGGCAAGAGTGTCCTACAGTGAACATCAAACTCTACATTTCACCCAAGCCATTTCAACAGATGTACTTACGATTGGACTATACCTTACAAAATCAATTTTCATTGGTTACCAGGTAATTTACATTCTCTTCCCACAGAGGTTACTCCTGTCATGTATTCCTACGTAACCTCTGTTCTAATACGGCCCTTTCATGGTGTGAGCGTTCAAGATTCGTGATTGGAGGCAATCAGATTTAGTTGTGCAATCAGCGACGTTGTTTCAAAAGTGATCATTCGCAAGGCCTCGGTAATTTCCGTATACTTCGAGAAAACTAAACCTCTTCCCCTGCGCGATGCGCAAACGTTTCTTCTAGACAGAACTCAGTCATGTTATGGCGGATCAGTGGCATCTCCATCGCCCTCGTTGACAACGGACAAGCTAGCCATTAAACGTCTTGTGTGTAACATCAACACAAGTCCCCGGCAGAGGGGGGATATTTGTGGCCTCACATTTGCTTGTGTTAGTCAAGTTGAATCTAAGTCGATGTAACACGTGTTCTGATAGGATAGAAAGAAGGGAGATAATTCGTGTTGCGATCTTTTGCCGCTAGGGGATTTTACGAGAACCGGGAAATATGGCCGTATTAGAACAGAGGTTACGTTGGAAGATATGACAAGTAACCTCTGTGGGAAGAGAATGGGTAATTTAATGATATGACATTATATGGTAGAGATATTACTTGCATGTGTTTTAATATTGTAACAGGAATACAAGCAATCTCATATTGGTGATACAGTGACACACTTGGTTCTTTACTCCTAGGAAATTCTGACCCGTGAAGGTCCGGGTTAGAATACTGATCTTCAGTAACCCATGCTTGTCGTAAGAGGCGACTAACAGGATCGGGTGGTCAGGCTCGCTGACTTGGTTGACACATGTCATCGGTTCCCAACTGCATAGACCAATGCTCATGCTGTCGATCACTGGATTGTCTGGTCCAGACTCGATTATTTACAGACCGCCGCCATATAGCTGGAATATTGCTGAGTGCGGTGTAAAACTAAACTCACTCACTCCTAGGAAATTCTAAACTTGTCACAGGAAACAATATTGCAAATACTGACTTGTCAGAAAGCCAATTTACTGCCTGATAGTATGTGATTGGCAAAATGGCAAACAAGAGACTATCCTTGACAGACCTGTGTGTTTTCTTCAGTTCAGTTAGCACAGAACAAAAATGCCTATGGTCAGATTTCATTCTGGACCAGACATTCCAGTGACTGACTTCATCAGAGCACCGAACTATGCAATTGGGATACAATGGCGTGTCAAACAAGTCAGATTTCATTCTGGACCAGACATTCCAGTGATTGACTTCATCAGAGCACCGAACTATGCAATTGGGATACAATGGCGTGTCAAACAAGTCAGCAAGCCTGACCGCCCAATCATTAGTCACCTCTGACAACAAGTATGGGTTGCTGAAGACCAATTCTAACCCAAATCTTCACAGGGGAGGCAAGCATTCCTTTGCTGATAATCAGCTGTAACAAGACTGACCTACTGAGGTTGGTTTTACGCCGCTTTTAGCAATATTCCAGCAACATCACGGCGAAATGGGCTTCACACATTGCACCCATGTGGGGATTCAAACCTGGGTCTTCGGCGTGACGAGCCAACGCTTTAACCGTTAGGCTACCCCACCGCCCCTGCTGTAACAAGAATGTTTGTAGATATGGACTTCACTTAGGGTGTAATAGTGTTTTATTATGAAAATTCATGATGGGATATTTACATTGCCCTGCTCTGAGTTTATCAACTGGGACGAGTCTTACCAAGCTGACAGACGACCCCCTGAAACTGGGGGGGACACACACACCGGTGGTTCTCGCAGTACCCTCCGTTCCGACACTCAGGTTGACAGGTGGTATCTGAGGGAAGAAGAAGATTGTATGTGAAGGATCAAAACCAGTGATCCTTCATAGCCTAGTGGATAAAACCGCCAAGCTAGTAAGCAAGGGTTTGCAGGCCGAAACAATATATTGGCAGTTTCCAATAATGTGATATTTTACAATCGTATTCAGTATTTGCAAGACAAAGTTATATCAATCTTAATTAAAAGTCAAGGGCTATTCCCCAGAAAATCCCTGGGTTGCGGGCAAATCTATTGATATTCCCAGGGATTTCTTGGAGAATGCCCCCAAAACTGCCTGAAGAGGTTTACTCGGTAAAAGGTGAGGTGAGGGGAGGTGAAATTGGGTTTAACGTCGTGCTTGAGAATATTTCACTCATATGACGACGTGCATGCATGTGTATGTGTAGGTGCAGCTGCTTGTACTAGCTCAGACTGAAACTGGTTTTATAGTGCTAGCCCACTGAGATACCACGCCGCAGTGAAGCATGAATACCCCACTCAGACACATTATACTGACTCCGAGGTGACCAGTCCTTGTTGTACCCATTAATGCCCGAACGCCAGGCAGAGACCAACAAGTACCATATTTTAACGTCTTTTGGTATGACACGGTCGGGGATAGAACCCGCGACCTTCCGCTCTCCGGGCGGACGCTCTAACCACTACACCACGGTGGCGGTCACTCGGTAAAAGGAGGACCTGGCGAGACAATAGAGTGACGTCACTGGAGGTTTATAAAGAAATTCCCATCCTCCTCCCAGACTGGAGGCACTAATGTGAAATACATTTATTGTTTTTTCTGAATATGTGTGTTTGTTTCTTTGCTTTTGTTTGATGCCCCAGCCAGCATTGAATACATGAAATGCAACGTGTCTTGTATTTGAGGTTACACTTAAAGTTAAGATACTAGATGGTTTTTTGTTGATTCGCTCCTGGGATTGGTTAGATTGTTGACTTTCTGATAGTGTGAGTTCTAATCCCAGATACCTTCAGTTGTTGGCAATCTATAGCCCGTTTTTATAGTGTATTGTCCACATAGTGCTATTAGTTTTAACTTTCCACGCAAGTTTTAATTCTAATTGTGATATTCTAGTTGTTTTACTGTCCTTCGTCTGTCCTTCCTCTAATCCCAGATGGGACTCAACCCAAAACAGTACCAGAGTCTGTACTTTACTGACAGAGTATAATCCCAAATATACCGTATGTTGAATGCCCCTTTCAACAATCTTTCAGTGGTATGACAGTGCCATGTTATAATCATGTACAAGACAATCCTTTGATTGATACACACTGTCAGGTACAATCTCAGACACACTATTGATCAATACTGACAAACAGCAGAGTCCGATCCTGCCCAGCATTGATAACATGGAACCAATTAAATGAATGATGGTATTGCCTTCATCCACTTAAACGCATTGTTAATCAAACATCGCCAATGTTAAATAAGTTCAAGTAAATGTGCCAAAGTACAGTGGAATCTGTCAAATCCAGACTGACTGACTGACTGACTGAGTTTAGTTTTACGCCGCTTTTAGCAATATTCCAGCAATATCACGGCAGGGGACACCATAAATGGGCTTAACACATTGTGCCCATGTGGGGAATCGAACCCCGGGTCTTCGGCGTGACGAGCGGACGCTTTAACCACTAGGCTACCCCACCGCCCTTCAAATCCAGACTCTGTGTAATCTGGTTTTCTCCAAAATCCGGACTACTCTTGGAGTCATGGCAAAATTGTTCTTAATTTATCATTAAAGCTTGCTTTATAATCCAGACTCTCTGAATTACGGATTACGGACTAATACGGTAACTCATCGTGGTAGTGTCTACGGTAACGGACAAACGTTGTCTAATCCAGACCGCTTTACAATCCGGTCGAGTGAGTCGGTCCCAGGCCAGTCCGTAATAGACAGATTCCACTGTAGTTCATTAGGACAGAGATGTTAAAACACCCTTGACTTAAGAGGATGGTACACTTACTCATGCAGGACCTCTTGTCTGTCCTGAGTCGAGAGCCTGGGGGGCAGATACATGCGTAGCCTCCGTACGTGTTGCGACAGTAGAACTCACAGAGACCTCGCCCACTGGCACACTCATCTATATCTAGGACAAAAGGTCATAATTAAAACGGACAGCTGAACAGATTGATCATCAGAAATATTGTTGATGGGAATCATTATTAATGATTATTGATATGAAAATTGTGTAATCGATAATATTGTTTATCATACAATGGATAGTGTTCTCGGCAGGATAAAGCCAACGGATATTTTCGGTATCTGTTGGGGTCATATACGGATATCGATGCAAATTAGAGAGGTCATATGCAAATTTTAGGGTCTACTTTCACAGTGTAAACAAGCATGGCGTCAAGGGTCGGCGGTCGTGTCCGGACTGATGGCCGTGGTTATGGTACTGTCAGTGCTTTGATCCAAGAAAATTCATGCCTGGTTATGATAGATGTAGTAGATTACAAAGCGAAGATAGAAATTCATAGGCTTACGAAGATACCAACATCAGTTCCCCGACTGACTGTCAGTGTTTGCGAGAGAAGGTGCACAATGTCACGCGAACATTAAAGCGTAGTTTGTTGTTCAAAAGGTTAATTGAAGGTTTCTGAAGTTTCTTAGACATATAACTCAGATTTGTTGACAACAATACATACTCTAGCATAAAAGCTTACTGGGAACTAGATGACCTAACGCAGTCAGCTGAGTGATCAGGAGAAAATTATGTCACCAGGCTTGTGACGTAACGTATTACTCCGCACATATTTGTGACGTCATAGACATTCCACGAAGTTTAGTTTCATGATTTGTGGCATTTGAAATCGCATTTTTTAAAATTATAAAGCAAAAATGACACTGTATGATAAATAGGTTATCACACTCTTTGGGATGGTTAATATTCTGCATTAGGAATAAACACTATGTATTTAGCTCGCCAAGGCTCGCTAAATACAATGATTATTCCTAATGCAGGATATTAACCATACCAAAACACACGCGTGTGATAACCTATATACATCAACTATTGTGATGAAGTAATTTTTATTTTTTTTAATTTATTCAGAAAATACACCAAGTTAGGTCTTTATTGGGCTGCTTCCCAGATAGCATTCGAACGTTGGCCCAACATTGGCAATGTTGGCAAAACCATTGCCAATGTTGGGCCAACGTCTGAATGCTAACCGGGTTCTTAAGAATGTTCAGGACGGTGTTTTGCTGGTAATCCAAGCCTACATATGTCACCACTCACCACTGATGTGAGATATGTTGATTTCTTTCAGAATTTTTAATCATGTTTGCTCATGTTACTTTCCGATATCTAATCGATATTCATTTAATGATGATTGATCTGTATGATCTATATCGATAGCCTGCCCTAATAATGAAACACATAGGCCATGAAATCATTTATTCCATAACTTGTTTACTGATTGTTTGTGTCAGTTGGGTTGGTTCTTCAAATCTAAACAATCTGGAAAATAAAAAGGCTGACAGTTGTGTGAAAAAAAGAAAAAGTGAATGAAATATGTTTTTGAAAGAAGCACTGACATTATAAGTTATCACATCGTGTCGAGGGAAATACGGGGTTTTATCAGTCCCACGTAAGGTTGTATTCCCCGAGGGAATACAACCTGACTCGGGACTGATAAAACCCCGTATTTCCTTCGACACAATGTGATAACGCATTTATCTAGCCGAATGTTTTTACTAAATGAAAAGAAAACAAAACAAAATTAGAAATTACTGAAATTAGAAAACAGACTTAACAGGCAGATGAAAAGATCGAAGTACAAAACTGAAATCTTTGGCTCGGGTGGTCACCGGGTCCATGAATTAAGAGAGTCACCAAGATTACCTTGTATAAAACTTACCACTCTCACATAAATCCCCTGTAAAACCTGATGGACACACGCACACGCCGTTGTCGCTGCATCTGCCGCCGTTCAAGCAGTCGGGCACACATCTCAACACTAAAACAAGTTAGGGGTAATATCTTGTCAAAACAATTCATATTGATTATGGATGTGTGAAACTATAGTGACAAGATGCTTAGAAAACTAAGTCAAATTACACCAATATGCGAGGGTAATTCTGTTGGATAGTTCTGAGGGCTGGAGATAAGGGGGTGATTTCTATCCGCGATAATGAGATTTGCAGACAAATATCATTGGGCTACTCACAGCATGTTTTTAATAACAAACACACCAACAATACCTAACCTGAAAAGAGATCAAAACAAGGGAGACAACTCTATTGTGACACTACTTTGACAATAATGAAATTATAATCCATAGGCGGATCCAGAGGGGGGTTGCAAGGGTGCGTACCCCCTCTTTTGTGCTGAAAGATTGTTAAATGACCATTGAAAGTTTGTGAAAATGAAGTGTGCACCCCACCTTTTCTCAATAGTGTGCACCCCCCTTTCTCAAAAAGCTGTATCCGCCCCTGTAATCAACAGTGTAATGGTAATAAAGAACCTACACTCTGCATGTTTCTCTTGTAATGAAATAAGGGAAGGTCAAGGTAATAAAGTCCTAAAAATTTACTCAAAACATTTACATGATTCAGAAATCTAAACTATGACAGAGACCGTGTGATAGGCGGTGACTCATCTCCTAGCTACTGGTTACAGCTTGGAGGCCCGGACTGTGAATGGACAACACTAAGAATATGAGAATAAGAGCCTACCCTCTGAGGAAGGTAGCTCTGTTAACTCACCTGTTCAGGTTCTCTTGTCGTTGTTCAGTGTTGTGCCAGGACTGTTAAACCAATTGTGCGAACATACCCTGCACTGCTGAGGATGGTAGCTCAAAACCTACCCTGCACTGCTGAGGATGGTAGCTCAATTAACTCACCTGTTCAGGTTCTCTTGTCATTGTTCAGTGTTGTGTGCAGGACTGTTAAACCAATTGTGTAAACCTACCCTGCACTGCTGAGGATGGTAGCTCAATTAACTCACCTGTACAGGTTCTCTTGTCATTGTTCAGTGTTGTGCCAGGACTGTTAAACCAATTGTGTAAACCTACCCTGCACTGCTGAGGATGGTAGCTCAATTAACTCACCTGTACAAGTTCTCTTGTCATTGTTCAGTGTTGTGCCAGGACTGTTAAACCAATTGTGTAAACCTACCCTGCACTGCTGAGGATGGTAGCTCAATTAACTCACCTGTTCAGGTTCTCTTGTCATTGTTCAGTGTTGTGCCAGGACTGTTAAACCAATTGTGTAAACCTACCCTGCACTGCTGAGGATGGTAGCTCAATTAACTCACCTGTACAGGTTCTCTTGTCATTGTTCAGTGTTGTGCCAGGACTGTTAAACCAATTGTGTAAACCTGCCTGCTGAGGATGGTAGCTCAATTAACTCACCTGTACAGGTTCTCTTGTCATTGTTCAGTGTTGTGCCAGGACTGTTAAACCAATTGTGTAAACCTACCCTGCACTGCTGAGGATGGTAGCTCAATTAACTCACCAATTGTGTAAACCTACCCTGCACTGCTGAGGATGGTAGCTCAATTAACTCACCTGTACAGGTTCTCTTGTCATTGTTCAGTGTTGTGCCAGGACTGTTAAACCAATTGTGTAAACCTACCCTGCACTGCTGAGGATGGTAGCTCAATTAACTCACCTGTACAGGTTCTCTTGTCGTTGTTCAGTGTTGTGCCAGGAGGACATTCACACTCAAAATGACCGAAGGTGTTCTTGCAACGATATTGACAGAAACCAGGTGGCAGCTCTTGGCATTCGTCAATATCTGTCAACACCAGCATAATCTTAACATCACAATATTTCATCATCACCATCATCATCTTCATCATCATCATCATCATCATCATTAGTAATGGGTCAGCCTGCTAATGTGGTTGATACATGTCATTGTATCACATTTGGGTAAATCAATGCTCATGATGTTAATCACTGGACTTTCTGGCCCAAACTTGATAATTAACATCATCATCACCATCACCACATCATCATCTTAATCATCTATTTCAACACCGACAATGTCAGTAAGCATCAAACTTATCAACATCAGTCAAAGTCCAAATCATTTTAACCATACCCAAACAATCATCATCATCATCATCATCATCATCATGGCCTATGGGGTAGCCTAGTGGTAAAGCATTTGCTAGACATGCCAAACTGGGTTCGATTCCCCACATGGGTATAATGTGTGGAGCCAATTTCTTGTGTCCCCTGCCGTGATATTGCGACATAGAACTAAAATCGTCATCATCATCCATCATCATCAATCATCCATCATCATCAACCATCATCATCATCAACCATCATCATCATCATCATCATCATCCATCATCATCATCATCATCAATCATTCATCATCAATCATCATCATACATCATCATCATCATCATCATCATCATCATCATCATCATCATCCATCAATCATCATCATCATCATCATCATCATCATCATCATCATCATCATTTATGCCAGTGTTGGCATGTCATACATTCATCATCATCATCATCATCATCATCATCATCATCATCATCATCATCATCATCATCATCATCATCATCATCATCATCATCATCAATGGGGCATTTGGTCAGTCATCATCATCATCATCATCATCATCAATCATCATCATCATCATGGGCATCATCATCCATCATCATCATCATCAATCATTATTTATCATCATCAATGTTATATACATTCATCATCATCAACCATCATCATATCATCATCATCATCCATCATCAATACATGTCATACATCATCATCATCATCATCATCATCATCATCATCATCATCATCATCATCATCATCATCATTTATGGGGCAGCCCAGTGTTCATGTCATACACATCATCATCCATCCATCATCATCATCATCATCATCATCATCCATCATCATCAATCATCATCATCATCATCATCATGTCATCATCATTTATCCATCATCATCATCCATCATACATCATCATCATCATCATCATCATACAGTGTTTGCATGTCATACATTCATCATCATCATCAATCATCATTTATCATCATCATCATGTCATCATCATCATCATCATCATCATCATCATCATCATCATCAGCCAGTGTTTGCATGTCATACATACATCATACATTCATCATCATCCATCATCATCATCATCATCAATCATCATCAGTGTTTGCATGTCATACATTCCTACATGTCATACATTCATCATCATCCATCATCATCATCATCATCATTCATCATCATCCATCATCATCATCATCATCATCAATCATTTATGGGGCAGCCCAGTGTTTGCATGTCATACATTCCTACATGTCATACATTCATCATCATCCATCATCCATCATCATCATCATCATCAATCATTATTTATGGGGCAGCCCAGTGTTTGCATGTCATACATTCCTACATGTCATACATTCATCATCATCCATCATCATCAATCATCATCATCATCAATCATCATCATCATTTGCAATCATCATTTATGGGGTCAACATCCAGTGTTTGCATGTCATACATTCCTACATAGTCATACATTCATCATCATCCATCATCATACAATATGTGCATGTCATACATTGAAGCCCATTTCTAATGTCCCCTGCCTTGACATTGCAGGAATATCTCTTACAAACAGCCAGAAACTATATCCCTCGCTTACTGTTATCATCAATGGTAGTGACTCAACAATTACAGCCATCCTTATGAGCCATCCTTATTTATGGCAAAAAAATACCAACCAGACATTACCCTAAACATCATTTTACGAAGAACAGAGGTACAGATAAGCTGCGTATCTGCGTAAATTACGCAAACATTTATGTGAAAACCCAATTCCTATTAAGTCTATTGCGTACAAGTACGCTTGAAGTTTTGTAAATACTCAATAAATGTGATCTTACATGCGTATACACAAAACTGTCCAATCGTAGCTTGCGTACTGGTGGATAGATAAAATAACTGACGTATATTGAGAGGTTCTATATTAGGACATGAACTGACAACCTGCAGTCTTTCTTATCGTTTCTCATATAACAGATCAAAGGTAAATCACAAACACTAACATTTAAACTATATTATATTTTTAAAATTAATGGAAATTGGCACAATACCCAAATGAGTTTGATTGAGGTGAGTACAATTTATTTGGTTATTTGGAAAATTAGGATACCCAATTGAGATGAACACAAGGGAGTACATAACTCAATGACCCAAAACGTTATCTGTAGCTCTGGAAGAATTATTTTCAAAACAGACATTTTCATCTGATTAAACATATCCAATAGACTGGATCTCAAGTATTAAATATATACTGAACATCACACCCAATCCATCAGGACCCAATATGAAAGATAATGTGTAAGTAAAAGCTTGCTGACTGAAGCAAACTTCATCACTCCTAGACCAGTAACAAAGCTACACGGTGGTGAAACAACAATATCCATTTCACAAAATCATTGGATTTAGTATGGCAGAGGATACTGGAAATAGACTTCATCATGTTCACATCGTACCCATTGTGAGAACTGAACCCAGGTCTTTGGCATGATAAGCAAAACACAGTGCTGAAACATTATCAAGTATATTCCACAAAAACACAGGAGTTATCATGGCTGATCATTGCAGGGAACACCAGAAAAAGGGCCTCACACACTGTAGCAATTTAGGAATTGAACCCAGGGCCCCGTTTCACAAAGCTTTCGCATAGCCCTCTGTCCTTTATAGGAGGTACGAATGCTACAAGGAAAGTTATGTGATTTTAGGCTTATGAGAGCTTTGTGAAACGGGGGCCCTGGCCTTTATGGCAACAAGCAAACACTTCACCCACTAGGCTACCATACTGCTTCACAGTAATCATGTGTCCTGTAACTGAGTCATCTTACCTTCCTGGCAGGTACTTCCCATAATCCCCGTGGGGCAGACACACGTTCCATTCTGACACGTTCCCCCGTTGGCACACTGTGGGTTACATCCTCTGAGGAACCCACGCAGAAGATCCTTACAGCTTCGCCTCTTGTGGCGATCCACCAGGTCAATCTTACAGTTTTCCACAATCTCTGTGCGACATTTAAAATCATCGCAGATGATCTCTATAAACTCCTCAAGCTGACACACTAATCCGAATGTCGTGTTAACGAGTCCATAGCCCTGTTCACATGGCGGAAGTGGACCTCCACGAGGGGGGCATGGTTCTGTGTCACAGTCATACTCTGCTGCAAGGGGGTGGCATTTTGGGGGTGAGGAGGATAGATGGTACCCCACGGGACAGTCCAGGTCAAGGGTGAAGGACTTGCAAATGACCCCTTCGTCAGTTTCTACGGGTCGGGAGTCTTCATCACAGAGATTTGTGTTCTTGTCTAGTGGTCTACATTCTGATCTTGAATCGACAGCAAAGAGAATCTGCCCAGCGGGACACTTCAGTCTGGAGTTGATCAACACCTTCTCGCAGAAGAACCCGCTCCCAATCCTCACCATCCTTTGCCCACTGTGGCAGGTCAAGGTCACTTGCGATTTTTTCACGCACTCAAACCCATGATGCATTCGAACAGCAATCAAATTACGAGAACAATCAGGAAGCAGGTCGATCTCAGACACTTTTAAATCTTGACATACAAATCCACGAGGTGTCGCTGACCTTATCTGACCTTCAGTGCATGAGCCACCGACCTTCCCAGACAGGGTGACTTCAGACGTCTTCCGCGTTGTCCGACGGTACTTGCACTCCAGCCCTTTGTTCGTCCTCACTAACTCTAACCCAGATGCACAGGGAAGACCAGTCAGAGATGCTCGGTTTATTTTCTTACATCTCAGACCCTTTGGCCCTTCTACCAGTCTTTGTCCATAAGGACACTTTACTTTTGTGGCATCTTTCTTAGGTGGAAACCCACATGCTTGACCTCTTGGCGTGTTGATGATGATCTGTGGGGGTCTGCAGACCAGCGGAGGTTTTGTTGTCAAGGTGAAGGTCGGACCTACATACTGGCACATTATACCTATAGATGTCTGAACTCGCTGTAAGCCAACAGGACATGGTGGGAATGTCGTTGTGGGCTTTGGAGTTGTCCTCAGGACACAGATGGCACCGGAAACAGTTCTGACGAGGTCTTCATCATTTCTACAAGTCAAAGGAGTTGTTGTCGTGGTTGTAGTAGTAGTTGTTGTAGATGATGTGGGAACATCCTGGCATACAAATTTCCCCTGCATCTTTAGAAGCATCTGTCCTTTCAGACAGGAAGGTGGTGTTGGTGTTGTAGTAGTAGTGGTAGTTGATGTGGTTGGAACATCCTGGCATACAAATTTCCCCTTCACTTTTATCAGCATCTGTCCTGTGCGACAGGATGGTGGAGTAGGTGTTGTTATGGCGACACACCTCCTCCCCTCCCTCGTCTCAACAAGCACCTGTCCTGGACCACATATCAAACTATCTTCGTCAAACGCACACTCAGCCCCAGTCTCCCCCATCACAGCCTTATAGCCAGGGGGACAGTTCTTCGCCTCCAGTTCTTTACGAGCGCTCTTGCGTAACGGTCGACACACAACAGAACCATCAAACAGGCCCTTCTGGTAACCAACTGGACACTTGACCCTCTTGGAATCCACTAAATTGCTCGGCTGGGTTGTCTGCAGGTTACCCAGCCGGTTCTTCTGGTTGCATAGATCCCCACGACATGTCCATTCTCCATCTTGTTGCATTTCCCCGTCTTGCAGCATATCTTCAAACACGGTTTCTTTAATCTCATTTGTTTTCGACACATGTTTGTTCTCTTTCACACTTGGTTTCATCTGATGATGACGTTTCACAAATAATTTTGACTGTCTGTGTTCAGACTGATTTACAAGTTCATGATTTCTTTTCTTGTTGAAATCATTTAAAAACTGTTTTCTGCTCATAATCTGAGACTTGTTTTTTAACCTTGTATTTTCTTCATGGTGTTTTAAGTCTCTTTTCTTATGCCTTTTATTTTTGGGAATAATTTCAGCATTTTTTCCATAAGAATTAACATTTTGTTTTGGTTTCTGCCCATTTGATACAAGAGCATGTCCATTATGATAAACATCCTTTAAGTAATCAGTGTTAATCAAGTAGTCTGTCTCTGTGGGGAACACCCCCCAAGATTTTCTCCCATCATCACCGTCCCAGCACCCACGCCCATGACAATTAACCCCCATAAGTGCCCCTCTTGAACCCCCCTCACTTGGGATCATCTCTTGACTGGGATTATCTTCATCGCATGGCAGATGCAAGCATGACACAACATGACCTTGACCTTTTGTTGCAGCTTTTCCTCCACAGTTTATATTATTACAAGGAGATAACTCTGTCTTTTTCCTTCCATGATGCACCGGTTTGTTATTTTCACACTTTTTACCAACACAGGGGAGGAACATTGGTGGTGAGATCGTTCGTGTCAATGATTCTGCATTGCTGTATCCATGGCGACCGCTTTGTCTGATAGGGGTCGATGTGTCACAACCTTGACCTTTGCACAAAAATGTCCTTGACCCTGAGATAGGTCTGGTGGCGCGTACATGAAACTTCCTGTGGTTCCTGTGATGACTGAGATGTCTCACGCTACAACTCCTGCCACTGCATGGACTATTTTCTGAAAAACAGAATGAATCCGGTAATAATGATAAAATATTAACATTGGTTGATTGGTTGTTGTTTAACGTGGCACTCAGCAGTATTCCTGCTATATAATCGAGCCTGGAACACACAATCCAGTGATCAACAGCATGAGCATTGATCTATGCAACTGGGATACGATGGCATGTGTCAACCAAGTCAGTGAGCCCGACTGCCCAATCCCGTTTGTTACCTCTCACGACAAGCATGGGTTACTGAACACCAATTCTAACCCAGATGTTCATGGGTTAAAATATTTTAAAAAAAGGATTATGGAGTAGGGTAAAAAAAAATTGGTAAGGAAAGAGTTACAAAAATTAATCTCAAGAGAAACTGAAGTTAGTATATCCATAAAAAATAAAAAGTAACAGTTAGTCAACATTAAACAGATCTGAGTCCAATCCTGTGTCTAGAGATCCACCTATGTTAGTCAACATTAAACAGATCTGAGTCCAATCCTGTCTAGAGATCCACCCATGTTAGTCAACATTAAACAGATCTGAGTCCAATACTGTCTAGAGATCCACTTATGTTAGTCAACATTAAACAGATCTGAGTCCAATCCTGTCTAGAGATCCACCCATGTTAGTCAACATTAAACAGATCTGAGTCCAATCCTGTCTAGAGATCCACCCATGTTAGTCAACATTAAACAGATCTGAGTTCAATCCTGTCTAGAGATCCACCTATGTTAGTCAACATTAAACAGATCTGAGTCCAATCCTGTTCTCTAGAGATCCAGCTATGTTAGTCAACATTAAACAGATCTGAGTCCAATCCTGTCTAGAGATCCACCTATGTTAGTCAACATTAAAACAGATCTGAGTCCAATCCTGTCTAGAGATCCACCCATGTTAGTCAACATTAAACAGATCTGAGTTCAATCCTGTCTAGAGATCACCTATGTTAGTCAACATTAAGCAGATCTGAGTCCAATCCTGTCTAGAGATCACCTATGTTAGTCACATTAAAACAGATCTGAGTCCAATCCTGTCTAGAGATCCACTTATGTTAGTCAACATTAAACAGATCTGAGTCCAATCCTGTCTAGAGATCCACCTATGTTAGTCAACATTAAACAGATCTGAGTCAATCCTGTCTAGAGATCCACTTATGATAGTCAACATTAAAACAGATCTTGAGTCCAATCCTGTCTAGAGATCCACTTCTATGATAGTCAACATTAAACAGATCTGAGTCCAATACTGTCTAGAGATCCACTCCTATGTTAGTCAACATTAAACAAATCTGAGTCCAATCCTGTCTAGAGATCCACTTATGTTAGTCAACATTAAACAGATCTGAGTTCATTTCCTGTCTAGAGATCCACCCATGTTAGTCAACATTAAGCAGATCTGAGTTCAATCCTGTCCTAGAGATCCACTTATGTTAGTCAACATTAAACAGATCTGGAGTCCAATCTGTCTAGAGATCCACCCATGTTAGTCAAACATTAAACAGATCTGAGTCCAATCCTGTCTAGAGATCCACCTATGTTAGTCAACATTAAACAGATCTGAGTCCAATCCTGTCTTAGAGATCCAAATTTGTTAGTCAACATTAAACAGATCTGAGTCAATCCTGTCTAGAGATCCACTTATGATAGTCAACATTAAACAGATCTGAGTCCAATACTGTCCTAGAGATCCACCCATGTTAGTCAACATTAAACAGATCTGAGTCCAATCCTGTCTAGAGATCCACCTATGTTAGTCAACATTTAAACAGATCTGAGTCCAATCCTGTCTAGAGATCCACCTATGTTAGTCAACATTAAACAGATCTGAGTCCAATCCTGTCTAGAGATCCACTTATGTTGAGTCAACATTAAACAGATCTGAGTTCAATCCTGTCTAGAGATCCACCCATGTTAGTCAACATCTAACACTTGCCCCTACAGATGTGAGCCTTCAAGTATTTCTCTGATTCCATTAAGTGAGTGAGTATGGCTTTTACGTACGCTTTTAGCAATATTCCAGCAATATATATTATGTCAGGGAACACCAGAAATGGGATTCACATAATATCCATGTGGAATCAAACCTCGGTCTTCCTTGTAGACGACGGGGGTAGCCTAATGGTTAAAGCTATTGGTCACACCAAAGATCCGGTTCAATCCCCACATGGGTACAATGTGTAAGAAGCCCATTTCTGGTGTCCCCGCCTGATGTTGCTGGAATATTGCTAAAAGCTGGCGCCAAACCAAACTCAGTCAGTCAGTCAGTCCTTGTGACGCACCCAATGTTTTAACCTCTCGCTTACCCACCACCCAGATTCCACTAAGATTAAAGATGCTCTAAGGCATCCAACTGTCACATATACCAACAACCAACCAAGGCATATATTCTTGGTATCAGAAATCTATCCATGACTTCATCATAAACCAAACAAAAATCCAAACCATGAAGGACAGCCCTCCGTGGTGTAGTGAGTTAGAACCAAGCCGGAAGGTCGGGTTCGATGACCGCTGGCCATCCGCTAAAATAACCAGTCAGTATAATGTGTCTGAGTGGGGTATTCATGCTTCACTGCATGGTATCTCAGTGGGCTAGCACACTATAAAACCACAATTGAGTGAGTGAGTACAGTTTGATGCCGCTTTTAGCAATATTCCAGCAATATCACGGCGGGGGACACCAGAAATGGGCTTCACACATTGTACCCATGTGGGGATTCGAACCCGGGTCTTCAGCATGAGGAGTGAACTCTTTAACCACTGGGCTACCCCACTGCCCCTAGTGACATACAAAACAAACCTTACTTTGTAATAACAAATGTATTGATCTCTTTGAACAGCATTTAGAAGTGATACATATAACAGGTGAATATTTACGGATAAAAATTTCTTTACAAAACACAAAGTTTTGGAATTCACCTGATGAAAGAGTAAGAACTTACTTACATCTCTCGTGGATAGAACATGACATGTTCACCTCGTGAGTATAGAACTTAGAAGTTTGACATCCATGAGTTTTTGAAAGACTGTGATTTTTTAAACAAAAGTAATATACAGTTGTATATATTCATGGGACCAAGAAAAATATCGATTTCCAACTTTGACATCCGACCAGGGCATATTGTGTTTGTGAAAGAAAACAAACACTTCTCTGAGTATTTGTGATGAAAGACTGTGATAGTAGTTTTACTGCAGTGACAGAAATCCTTTTAATATACAGTTGAGCACTGTCAACTGTCTCGATTATTCATGGGACACATCCCTTAGATTCATGCTGCACCGTGAGTGAAGAAAACAACCTCAGTTCAGAAAATTTATCACATATGTTCTTATGGCTGAAATATTGCCAATGTGACGTTAAATAATAACTCACTCACTCAGTTCAGAGGGATACTGAATATCGAAGTTTCATACTTGTTGGGACACATTATATCATCCCAAATATCGGAGACATTCAGATCGAAAGTTAAAGAGAATAATGATAAATTATGAAGGAAAAGACAACCGAGATATCGAAGTTATCTCGACACAACAGTACTGTATCTGTATTTTGATTCAAACTATAACTGGACGTGACTATCAGTATGGCTCACAAAGATTCTAGTCATCCAGTAGTACTTCCTAATTAACCTCCTTCTTAATTAATCTTAATTAAATAACAAACGCTTCATGACACCTTCAACAGGAATGGTGTAGCCCGATTAGTTTAAACACTACCACATCCCTTTGATCTCAACACCGCACCGTGAGTGTATAGTTGGATGCAACCCTTGTTCAGAGGGATACTGAATGGCGAGTTTCTTTAAAAGTGATAGTGAAGATGACGCTCTTGTAATTTACGGTGTTCGGACAATGACATTGCCAGTTTACAATCTGAAACGCCACGAGACATTCGCTATCCAGTTGAAGAGGCTTGAATAATGATACAATTTGAAGGATGAAAATAGAGACCGACATGTTCTATCGAGACAACTCGATATTGAGTTATCAGAGTTCAACACAACGGTGCTCCAACTGTCTGTTCAATATATGATTGATTGCGTGACTACTTCATGGCTCACAAAGAAATTGTCCAGTATCTTATTACGCAACACATCAAAACCTGGTGTTGAATAACAACATGTTGTGTATCTTAAATAATCCAGATTTCTGTAGATAGATATGTTTAAGCCAAGTGTCAGAAAAGAACTGATTGCACAATCAACGCTGTAATCCTCTGTACACCAGGGGTTGTGTTATTTACAAAACATCGTCAGATGTCAGACTAATCCCTGACCACATCTGTACAACATCCTTATCAAGGTCTATGACAGCAGACGTCATAACACAGTGTCTTGTACACACATACGGATGTTTATCATATACTTCCACCAGATAATGGCTATACTTTGATAACACCGAAGAATGCTTAATTCTTGCTGGTCAAAGTATACTGTTGAATCTAAAGCACTTGGTCACGATAGTTAGATAAGACTTATCTAACCTGCAGCTAGAATACAGTGCGTTTGATTTCATTTGAGACTGATGAATTGCTCACGAACACAAAATCTAATAATTGCAACAAAACCAAATTTTGCACAGTCACATGAAATCGACAGACACCCGAATGAAAAAGTTGTTTAAGAAACGGTCATTATTTTTTACTTAACACTATTTTTTAAGAGCCGAGGTTGAGGGAAGGGTGGTGTGTGTGTGTGTGTGTGTATAACAGCCAGGTCGTAGTGCATGTGTGTGTGCAGGGGCACTTGCTGGTAGAACAACCAGGTGCGTGTGTGTGTGTGTGTGTGTGGACTTGCTGGTACAACAGCCAGGTGCATGTGTGTGTGTGTGTTGGGGTGGGGGCACTTGCTGGTAGAACAACCAGGTGATCACTAAACATGTGTAGTGAAATTTCAATTTCACACGTGCAACTTGCACACCTGGCTGTATAATTGGCGTAGTGATTAGCAAAGCAGGCAGGTAGGGTACACTGAGGTATCCAGCCTGGTCACGATGTATTTTACTGCGAAGCATTTCCATTTTTTAAAATCTGTAATCCTTGCAAAGACATGAGGGCCTGTGACCTAATATTTCACGTACGCTTTAGAGACTACTGAAGGCAAGTATTGCTACATTTATCCTATGCCACATAGGCTGCAGTTAAGGAACTAGCTTTGTTCTAGTTTTTTATGGGGTCTTTCAACCTTACTACTCTCTGAACAGATGATCTTTCCTCAACACCATGAAGGCAGTCAAAACAACAAACATCCTGTCTAGCTTAGACACCTTCACACTCGTTTTGTCCTGAGAAAGTTATTTTGGAGAGGATCCCCAATGGAAGCAATTAAAATTGCCTACTTTTGATTCAAAATGGGAACAGCAGTTGACAAGTACGTAGTACTGGAATGAGTGAGTGAGTTGAGTTTTACACTGATTTTAGCAATATTCCAGCAATATCATGGCGGGTAACTTATTGTTGCAGGGTGATTACATTTGTTTAGATAGCAAAAACCTTACAAGAGGATGTGTCATTCTGGTAGATACTCACTGCTGTGTTGCGTACAACTGCGGCCATTCATGGCCAGGACGAAGCCTGTGTGGCAGGAACAGATATAGCTTCCTGGCGTGTTGACACACTTGTGTTGGCAGATGGACGAGAACAGACGACACTCGTCCAGGTCTGAAACAATATCAAACATATTCCGTTAAATTACAGTGAGTGATTGAGTTGAGATTTTACGTCGCTTTTAGAAATATTCCAGCAATATAACGGCAGGGGACACCAGAAATGGGCTTCACACATTGTACCCACGTGGGGAATCGAACCCGGGTCTTCGGCGTGATGAGCGAACTCTTTAACCACTAGGCTACCCCACCGCCCTGATTAAAGACAGCCACCAGATTCCTTTTCTACATATAAACAAAGTATATAACATGTTTTCAAGTTGTTTTTATACTATAACTCCGTTAATGTGTGTAATTGAAAGAAAAAATAATTATATATTCACTTTTGACAAATTTATAAACATTTATAATGTAATCGTGACAATCACTCAATAATAATATTCCAAGATTTAAAGTATACTTGGGTCCATGTTTTTTCCTGTTTACATGATTTTTCTTTAAAATCATCTTGAAAGGTGGGAAAATACAATTACTTTTGTTTCCTGATTTTGTGGCATCGAGGGCAGTGATAGCCAATCTTGTCTTGTCCAATTTGTCCAGTCCTTTTGTCTATAGTTGTGCAGTTTAAGGTCTTCACAATGTTTTGCACTGGAATCTTTTCTAGGAAGTTTATTTGAAGGAACAAAGCATTGTTTTTAAATATTTTTTATCATTTCCTCTATTTTCTGTTTCTTTATTTTTTTAATATCATTTCTTCTATTTTCTGTTTCTTCATTTTCTTAATATCCTTTTTGCCATTTTCTGTTTCTGCTATCTTCATTTTCTTTATATCATTTCTTCTATTTTCTCTTTCTCCATTTTACAGGTAGATTGGAAACTATACCACTTTTCTATCAAAACTCAACAGACCTATGGTAAGTGTTTCAGTTTTGGTGAACTTTTGCAACAAGATTAATGAGGGAATTTGTATAAGACCTCGCGTTTTCAATATATTCAATATCATTTGAAAAGGGAACAACCAGTTGTGTCGACTGATGCTCATGCTGTTGATCACTGGATTGTCTGGTCCAGACTTGATTAATTACAGACTGCCGCTATATAGCTGGAATATTGCTGAGTGCGGCGTAAAAAAAATAAATATTAATAATTAAACACAGTTGTGGAATGAAGGATGCATGGCTTGTGAGTGAGTGAGTGAGTTTAGTTTTACGCTGCTTTTAGCAATATTCCAGCGATATCATGATGGGGGACACCAGAATTGGGCTTTACACATTGTACCCATGTGGGTAATCAAACCGGGGTCTTCAGCATGTTGTTGCTAACCAACCACCCCTAGATTGTGAAGTGAACTGTATCAAGTGAGTGAGTGAGTGATAGCGGTGGTCCGCTTAATTGAAATAATCAAAGATTGGTCGCAGTGATTCAACGACCAAGCAATCGATCACGTTTTCTCATAATCGAACACAAACATTTTCTGGAACACTTTTTTGCATTAACAATATTTTTCACAAGGTTGGTTTTGTAAGTTACATTTCTTAACCACTACAAGCTTGTTCCAAGTCATGATTAAATTTATCTTAAAGACTCATGGAATTTTATGTTCCTAATATACTAGTTAAGTAGTAATCCTTTCAAGATGTGAAATTTGCCACAAAAAACACCCCAAAGAACTACATGTTTTTTCATTATGTTTTTTTTTCATTAACAAAAAACAACAACAAAAAAACAGGAAACTTTCACAAATAATGCTAACCAATTATTTTCGATGATTGATCGGTTGTAATGAAGCAATCATCAATTATGAGGTTTTAACCAATTCCCAATGAGTGAGTGAGTTTACTTTTATACCGCACTCAGCAATATTCCAGCTATATGGCGGCGGTCTGTCAATAATCGAGTCTGGACCAGACAATCCAGTGATCAACAGCATGAGCATCGATCTGGGCAATTTGGAACCGGTGACATGTGTCAACCAAGCCAGAGAACCCGACCACTTGATCCCGTTAGTCGCCTTTTACGACAAGCATGGGTTACTGAAGATCAATTCAAACCCGGACCTTCACGGGTCAAACTGTATGAAGTACACCTTTCCCTTCTTAAATTAATTAAATACCTTTTTCATCTGTTGTTTGTATATTTTCTGGAAGAAGAATTACAGTTAAGGCATAGTTGGAATATTCAGTGATCAAGACTCCAACCTTTGCAAGATTTCCTGTCCTGTTGCAGTGAGAATCCTTTCCTGCAAGTGCATCTTGAGTAACGGGGGCCGTCCGTGCAGCCCTGTTGACAGGATAGTTGTTGACATGTTGTTGACAGGCTGGTGAGATGAGATATTTTGTTATTGATAAAACATCAACAAATGATACATTAAAACTATTTATTGATACATATTGTGACACTTTTGAATAAATATAACAATACAAAATAAGTATGATGCGAACAACATAAGCAATAAGGGACCATAAATAATTTATGGCGGGGGTGGGGGTGATGATGATTTTGAAGGAGAAGCATGTACAATATGAATGATCCCCCCTAAAATTTATGTACAAAGTAAGTGACCCCCTAGACTAACAACTAGTCTCTGAAATGAACATATTTTACTGAAAAAAGTTCATAGTAAAAAAAATATAATATATAATGAAATAGAGCCCTGAGACTTTCTTCATTTTCAGCTGAGGAAATCTAGACTTGCCACATCTTCTAGAATTGCATGGGCTTTCTTGGATATATTTGCTTCAGGGTCTGTACGACAGACTAGTGACCCCCTTGCATGTCATGTACAAAATCAATGCCCCCCCCCGCCTGCCCCTCCCCATAATTTATATGCATAATATTTTAATATATTTATGTACAAATTGCTGACACCCACCCCCTATAAAATCACACAAAACACACACACCCAGCAATAATGGTTTACATATTGAAATTTAATTTCTTGTTTGATCATAATCCTAAACTCTATCAAGTCGTACTGAATGCATGAAATACAAATTGAAATCCATCTAAACAGCCTGCTATTTCGGTATATCGAGGTGTAAGCAGGGACCATATCTCTGATGTAAGCAAAAAATTCGTCTGCAACACTCACCTTTTTCTCAATCGCATTTCAATTTCACGTGAATCTGCAATTACCATTAAGATCACTAAACTGATAAATGTTGCTTCCATGTTTAACGGCTGTTGTTGTTCCGGAATAAACGTCGGATGTCCAAAATCACTGAAGATTTTCGTCTGAATATCGCCTACATTCCATGTTCAGAATAACATCGACGTTCATCCATGTTACAACCTATCTACTGGCAGACGATCTGATAAGACAAAGCTATAAACTCCCTGCTGTGCATGAACCAAGTGACTCCCGCTTAGGTTCATGAGGTCATTCCTTACCAGCTCTTAGCTTCTTACATCTGGTTTTCATCTATGCTTCCATCAGTCGGTTAATTGCAACTTGTAATTTGATAGTCCCGGCTGGACAACTTCCGGTCTTAGATAAACAGCTAGGTTTTATATCTCTATATACATGAACACCTGTTTCAAAATATCAATAACATGCATTGGGCGACATTGTATCGGTTTCTCCAAACTTTTAAAACTCAACAATTAGCAGAACAATTTTACATGAAAACACACATATTTTTCGCTTTTGTTGAGTTAATATTTCTTCCAGTACCAATTCCACAGAGAGCACGTGTTTCTGATTATTTTCATCACAAACCATTCGGGAATGAGAATGCTTTGATGCTATTGGTCAATGCTAGCATTGTCCAATCAGTGAAGAGAAAAAGCAAACGGGATTGTAGAAAGAAAACAAGGATTTTAACGCATGCGCACTGCAGTTCTAAACATGTTTACTTCCTGTTTTCGGCGCGCTGACAATGAATCTCGATCTGCTTGGTACGTTTCTGTGTGTAGTATCTTTTTCAGTTCTTTTTTTGCGTTTTTATTTATTCCGGTATTCTCATACGATCTTTTGTCTTGTTTTGCAGAGACATTTGGCCAGAATTATCCGGAGGTGAGTAAATCATGTACCATATTTACGGTCGACCGGTCATGCAGGATACATTCAGTCAAAGACCGGCTTCTTACTCTTAGCCTAACTTAAGAAAAAAATGTTTTAGCACGATCTTCAATATATAAAATACCTTTTCACGTAGTTGTTAGGAATGACACTTAACAATACTTCTATTCCAACGAGTTGTCAAAACATTATTTGTAAACGGTAGCATTTGAAAACTACCCTTCGTTTACATGACTTTGATAATATAGATCTGATTTGATTGACTTGAATTTGTAGCTATGAATATATATATAAAAATTATAGTGGAAAATGTGTATACCCAAATCAAAAAGCTTTTACTTTTGATTGAAAAAAGCCTTTCCTTCCATTTTATATAATCTTTGAGATGAATTTTTGACTCAGTGGCGATGTTGAGATCCCACATTTATCTTGTTTATTATCCCATGCTTGTGAAATAATATGTTGACAGTGATTTGAAAGCTCGCTAACATTTTCTAATGTTTACTCAATAGAATGTGTCCTTTTATGAAAGATTTTATGAAAGATATGATATGATCCATCATCCTTCAAATGAAAATTTGACAGCGATTTGAAATCCAGGAATTTTCTTTGACTTACATTAAGGGGCCTGATTACTAATTTCAAGGGTCCCTACAGGAAATATGAGGGTCCAGCAAAGTAATAAAATGACGTAGTGTAGTGAAACATAAGTACTTATTTCTGGATCCATTCTTTAAGTTTGTGTGAACTGGACACATGTTTTGGGATCATGTGAAGCACTGGAAAACACTCTTTTTCTCACGCTGCACTCAATAGAATTCATCCAATTCCATCTTTTCCAGGACTTTGATGGTGCTCTGGACTGTGTGAGCATTGCTGTGACATGCTCCTTCAACAGACAAGGAACACTGTTGGCAGTGGGATGTAATGATGGCAGGATCGTTATTTGGGATTTCCTGACTCGTGGCATTGCCAAGGTCATCAATGCTCATGTCCATCCAGTCTGCTCCATTAGGTATGTCTTACTGGTACGCTTCTTTTGGTAATGGAATGTGTTGATATCATGGTGTGATTTCGGTATTTTTTCAGTACCTGAAGTGAGTGCAACCAAGTGGCTGCACAATCAAAATTTTGCCACCCCGCACCAGCCATATTTAACATGCACCAGTGCAGTTTGTAAATAGCCAAATCACACCCTGCATATGCATTGTGATACAGGAGTTGTAAATTGATGTATCATGAGCGTTGTATTGCTGTATTATTACACCATTACTAGTTGTTAAAGTAAACAACCTTGATCACCGGTTTTGACATCTAGATATTGCAGTTTTTTGAATCAATGAACTAAACTCTTGTGAACTGTATTCCTTCTTGAATTAAAATTCATAAATAATAAATATTCATGAAAAAGGTGTTTTTCACTTGAATTTTTTCATGTACCCTAACAAGATATGCAAGACATAATGTGTCCAAGCTGAGCAAAATCATTGTCAGCACTCGTATATTTTTCATTTGACAATTATCCTGTCATTGATCATTGTGAAAAACTGGCACCATTGGCATGGTGAAAACATGTCAGATTTCAATTTGTTATGATATTTGTGGAAAACATTTGCCTCATTGAGAATTCGTTGCAGTCCTGCTAAAAACCCTGATGGAGACGAGAAACATGATGAATATTACACAGTTATATTTTGTGTTTCAGTTTTATTTAGGCATGTAGTATTCATTGTGGTTTCCTGCCGTGATGTTGCTGGAATATCGCTAAAAGCGGCGTAAAACCAAACTCAGTCAGTCAGTCATGGTGGTTTCATGGTGATGTATATGTCATTCCGTTGCAGCTACAACAGGAATGGCCGGAAGTTGTTGAGTGCTGCCACAGACAACACAGTCAGTGTGTGGAACGTGCTGACGGGAGAGTGTGACAGGGTCTTCCGGTTCCCATCCCCAGTCCTCAAAGTACAGTTCCACCCCAGAAACAGGTGTGTGTTTCACTTGACCCACTTGATACATCACTGGTCGTTGAGACAAGCGTCCAGTCAAAATAACACGTTTGATTCTTGTCACGCTGATATAGCATTGTTGGGTAACAATTTTTTCATGAAGTATGTTTTGTTTGTTTGTTTGTTGTTTAATGCCACATTCAGCAATTTAATAATAATATATATATTTTTATAGCGCCTTGTATCCATATGTCTAGTTGCTCGCTGGACACTGATTGTTATTACCCCAGCTAACCCCAGCTGCCTGTGAGGCGCTGGAAGGTTAATCGTCACATGGCTTATCCCACCGGGTACCCTTTTCCTGCTGGGTGAACAGAAGCAATTTTGAGCAAACTCACTTGCCTAAGGTGAGACCACCACCTGTATTAAAGCTCTATGGCAGTGGTCTGAAAATAATCAGTGATCAACATCATGAGCATCGGTCTATGCAACTGGGATACGATGATGTGTCAACCAAGACAGCGAGCCTGAGTTTTGTAGCTGAAATGCATCTGGTAGCATTAGAATCTAATTTGTCAGGTGGATGAAAGAGTAAGAATGTACCCCTAAGCTTCATCTCCCTCATAATAAACCTGCCTCCGTGGTGTAGTGGTTAGAGCGTCCACCTGGAGAGTGGAAGGTCACGGCTTCGATCCCCAGCCGCATCAGATCAAAGGAGTTAAAATTTAAAATATGGTACTTGTTGGTCCATGTCTGATGCTGTGCATTAATGGGTACAACAAGGACTGGTCAGCTCGGAGTTATTATTCATGCTTAACTGTGACAAGGTATCTCAGTGAGTTAGCACTATAAAACCAGCTTAGGTCCAGGCTAGTACAAGCAGCCACACATACACCCGCATGCATGTCGTCATATGAGCGAAATATTTATAAGCATGATGTTAAACCCCATCTCACCTCACCTCATAATAAAGAACTTGACGTCCATAAATTCTTACCCTTTAGAGTATAATTCCTATGTTATTTATGTTACAGTGATCAGTTCCTAGTCTGTCCCCTCAAGCATGCAGCCGTGTTGATGACCGTTGAGGGCTCACATGAACTCATCCCTCTGGACGAAGACGTAAGTCGACATTCACATTCACTGCAGCTGGTATTCACTCTCTTCCTGCTTCACATGTGAATACATACCGCCTCGTCATGGTGCTGGAACTTTTGTGACATAATGAGTGAGTGAGTTTAGTTTTACGCCGTACTCAGCACTATTCCAGCTATATGGCGGCGGTCTGTAAATAATCGAGTCTGGACCAGACAATCCAGTGATCAACATCAGGAGCATTGTTCTACGCAATTAGGATACGATGACATGTGTCGACCAAGTTGGCAAGTCTGACCACCCGGTCCCGTTAGTCACCTCTTACTATGAGAGTGGCTTACTGAAGACCAATGCTTACCCGGATCTTCACAGGTCAAAATAATGAATAAAATAATGGACTGGTTCCAGGGAAATGTTGTGATTCAGATTGCTCCACATGAATATTAGTATTTCCTTTGCAGCTCTGTGCCCAGCAGGGGCGGTGGGGTAGCCTAGTGGTTAAAGCGTTGGCTCGTCATGCCGAAAACCCGGGTTCGATTCCCCACATGGGCACAATGTGTTAAGCCCATTTCTGGTGTCCCCCGCTGTGATATTGCTGGAATATTGCAAAAAGCGGCGTAAAACTAAACTCAGTCAGTCAGTCAGTCTGTGCCCAGCCTAGTGTTCCTCCATTCTCAAGTTTTCTTCTTTACTGGGCAATGAATGCTCAGTGGACTTACACAGCCTCATTTTTCAGCTAGGGCAGTTGGGTAACCTAGTGCTTAAGGCGTTTGCTAGTCACGGTGAAGGCCTGGGTTTGATTCCCTACATGGGTACAATGTGTGAAACCCATTTCTGGTGTCCCCCATCGTGATTTTACTGGAATATTGCTAATAGCAGAATAAAACCCAACTCACTCGCTCGTTTTTCAGCTTGACTAAAATAGTCACACATCACTTGTGTACCACATTTTGATAACCTTTGAAGTACTGATGATGCAGAAATTATTTCAGGGCTGGTTTGTTTGTTTGTTGGTTTGTCTTAAGCTGGAATACTGTTTAAACTGGCATTAAATCTATCTCACTCACTCAGTTGCTGATTTGTTGTTTTCAGTCTGACTTGAACATCGTTGCATCGTTTGACAGGAGAGGCAAATTCATCTACACAGGCAATGCCAAGGGGAGGGTGAGTGTTATCATTAACAATTCTTCCAAGCTGATAATATGTTGATTGATTGCCAAATGATTATTTTAAAGGAATCCTGGCTGTCATGATAATAGTTGCCAAGCGTGCTATCTCAGCTGACATTTTACACACGTGGGTGTGTCAATAGCAGCTCCTCCAGGTCCAGAGCTTGAGCAGCACCTGCAGCAGCTCCAGGGGCTCCTATAGCTAGAGCAGTTCCTGCAACTCTACAGCTCTGCAGCTCTTATAGCTCCTGTAGCTCTAGCAGTTTCTGCAGCTCCTGTAGCTCTTGCACCTTCAGCAGCTCCTGAAGCTCCACAGCTCTAGCAGTTTCAGCAGCTCCTGTAGCTCCACAGCTCTAGTAGCTTCAGTGGCTCCACAGTTCTGCAGCAGCTCTAGGGTTTGTGTATTAGTGGGTGTGTCAATAGCAGCTCCTCCAGGTCCACAGCTCCAGCAACTCCTATAGCTAGAGCAGATCCTGCAACTCCACAGCTTTGCAAGTGTTGTAGTTCCTATTGCTCCACAGCTCTAGCAGCTTCAGTGGCCCCACAGTTCTGATGCAGCTCCACAGCTGTAGGGTCTGTGTACCAGTGCATGTGTCAATAGCAGATCCTCCAGCTCTACAGCTCTAGCAGCTTCAGCGGCTCTTGTAGCTCCATGGCTGTAGCAGCTCTACAACTCTAGCAGCTTCAGCGGTTCTTGTAGCTCCATGGCTGAAGCAGCTCTTGTAGACCCAGCAACTCTACAGCTCTAGCAGCTTCAACAGTTACTGCAGCTCCAGTAGCTTCGACAGTTAATGCAGCTCCACAACTTTAGCAGCTCTAGCAGTTGTAGATGATAGATTGTGTCCTGTGTGTGTTGTGATGTTTATTGTGTTATTTCAGATTCTGGTGTTCACAGCTGGTAAGCTTGAGCTGCAGGCTTCATTCCGAGTGACAACAGGGACACTCAACACCACTGCCATTAAGTCCATCGAGTTTGCCAGGAGAGGAGAGTGAGTTCCACAACAAAACTGAATAACTTTTGACTGTTTTACATACATCACAGAAATATGCGTCCAGTACACACAAATGTACGGAATGAGTGAGTAAGTGAGTTTAGTTTCATGCCGCTTTTTGCAATATTCCAGTAATATCATGGCGGGGGACACCAGAAATGGGTTCACACAATGTGCCTATGTTGGGAATCGAACCCGGGTCTTTGGCATGATGAGCGAACGCCTTCACCACTAGGCTACCCCACCGCCCTGTACGGAATGAAGGCAGAAAACAAATGACTTCCACTTCAAAACTGAATCATTCTAAAATTGTATTTTACACAACATAGAAAATTAATCATATCACCTTTATGAGATAAGGTGAAATAAGATTTAACGTCGTACTTAAGAATATTTTGCTCACATGAGTGAGTGAGTTTAGTTTTCTATGGCAATATTCCAGCTATATGGAGGAGGTCTGTAAATAATCAAGTCTGGATTTGCTCCTACGACGACATGCACGCGGGTGTATGTGTGGCTGCTAGTACTAACCCAGACTGAAGCTGGTTTTTAGTGCTAGCCCACTGAGATACTGTGCCGCAGTGAATACCCCACTCAGACACATTATACTGACTCCGAGCCGACCAGTCCTTGTTGTACCCATTAATGCAGAGCGCCAGGCAGGGAACAACAAGTACCATATTTTAACTTCTTTTGGTATGACTCAGCCGGGGATCAAACACGTAACCTTCCGCTCTCCGAGTGAACTCTCTAACAACTACACCACGGAGGAAATTTCACCTTTATAAATGTGTCAGGAATTTGGAATGATATATATCATTGTCCTTCCCACAGGATGCAAGATATTTGTTTTCAGCATATACATTTGTGCATACCTGACGTAAAACAATTTTAACTGATTCAGTGTGAGATATAGTTTCTATGACATGGATGTTTTTCACACACTATCTGGGAAAAGTTAAAAGTTGACCGTTATGAACATATAAATGTTAGAAGCTTTTATTACTGCACAGTTAGCTTAAAGAATAAGAATGAATTGATACCTTTTAAAACACCTTTTGGTCAGCACCATCAGATCCTAAATGACCAGTAGCTCCTTACACTAACCACCCCGAAGGCTATGATTCCACATTAACAGGATCCAGACTAACAAGGTTTTGCTGTACTCAGATTTATTTTTCCTTATCCTGACTCATGCTCTTTTTGCTTGTCTTCTTCCTCTGCGAACATAGTGGAACACTTGTATCTCCCTAATTGAAGCTCCCTTCAATGTAAAATCACTAATTAGTACTCACCACGAGTTACCTCCCTTCCACAAGAGCGGGAACGAGGGCACCACCTCCACCCATGTGCCGCACTCTCTCCTTCTTCGCCCAGTGAGCTGGACGTGAGAGCGCCTGTGTCTCCCGACACACTATATCCTTTGATTATATTTAGTTAGTTACCTCGTATAGGCATCTATAGAGGTTTAGCTAGTATCCTTCAACAATTATATATTGATATTTAGTCGTGTTTCTACTGTTTATTCACGGGACGCCATGTTTGTTCAGTGGATTACGTTGATGAAAATTCTGTACTGTTGCAGATTACGTTTTTATTCTGCTGCTGATCCGATTTAATATGCCCTAGCTGTACTCGCGCCATGTTCATTTTATTCACGTTGCAGTTGCGGTACTAATTTATCCAATTCTGCCTTTAATAAATAATTACTTTGTGTTTGAGACGCACAGCAGATAGGTCGCGTATGCAGAGTCTAGCCATGACTGATACACCTGAACCCCTCGCCAGTCTACTGATGTTGGTCGACCCCCCTTCCGTCTGGTGTTCCGCTAGAGTGGTGGAGAGGCGTGGGACGTAGTACGCCGCCTCCAAGAAGCGTCCTGCTTCCCCAGACATCCCATCGTCGCAGCCGAAGACTAGAGGGCTTCTACTGCATCTCAACGCAGACTTCGCACCCCCAGGACAACGTCGACCTCTGAGGGGAAATCAACGAAGTCTACTAGAACTTTCTCAGCCGAGATTGTTCCCGTCGCAGATTTGGGCCTGTATGATGATCAGCCGATCATCATACCTGATGTACATCAAAAGATTGACCGATGTCGGCAACAGTGATGTCAGCGCAGATCAACATGCAGCCTGCTGTACCAACGCTGATATTCGATGATCTTCCTGAGGGTCCCGTCGCTACCAACACTCAACGCAGACTTCGCACCCCCAGGGCAGCGTGGACCTCTGAGGGGAAATCAACGAAGTCTACTAGGACTTTCTCAACCGAGATTGTTCCAGCCGCTGAACTGGGCCTCTACGATGATCAGCCGATTATCATCCCCGGCGCACGCATTACAAGAAGCGACCGATGACAGCTACAGTGACATCAGCAGAGATCGCCATGCAGCCTGATGTCTCTACACTGATGTCAGACGACTTCCCTGAGGGCCCCCCGCCTTTATCGCAGAGAGGGCACCGACTGCCGTCGCCAGACCATCCCAGATGAACTGTTGCAGCAAATCATGATCATGATGGAGGGCCACTACAGACTGGAGAAGCAGCCAGCCCAGGGCCTGAGCCTTCGCGAAGGTTCCAACGCATGACGACACCCCAGAGGCACCCCGTCAGCGTAGCAGCCCACGGCCGAAGCCACCTTGGCGAAGGAAGTCGAGACACCCGACGAAGGACCCAGATGTACATTACAGCCAGCCGAAGGCCTTCCTTGGCGGCGGATAGATCATCACCTTCCTCGGCTTCATCCTTAGATGCGGACTCAGACCACAGATCGTCATCGTCCAGAAGGACTTCGAGGGGCTACACAAGAGCTTCACGAAGCTATCAACATTCTCCTCACAGGTCTCCGAGAAGGTCAACCCATAGATGCAGATCACCAAGACGACGTACATCACCACGTCGATCGCCTCACAGGTCACCACACAAGTCTGCACACAAGTCTACAGTCAGGTCTCCCCGAGCGTCACCCTACATAGAGATAGAAACACACAGTCCACCATCAGAAGAGCATCAACCTCTCATCAGCGATGCTGGGATAGAAGATGATGGAGGCATCATTTTCTCAGACGCTGAGATACGATATTGGATGGTAAACAACCTAGATCTCTCGTCACCTTCCATACCTGATGAAGGAAGACGATGCAGACGCCATCACCTTACCTCCGATCGACCCGATTGCTGCCGTACCACAGAATGTGGACACAGCCTACCATAAAGCCATGAAAGTTCAAACGCCAGAGGCGTATGTTCTTTGGCCTTAATAGATCTAGAACCATCAATGAGATTCTTATCACCAGATTTCGTGACACGACTTCTGAAGATGATAGGATGATCTACTCGGCTCTACTTATGCAGAACCAGCAAGAACCACACCCTGTATGAAGCTAACGCTCAAGCAGGCCGCCTCCGCGAAGGAGCTAGAGCCTCACCAGTAACAAGGGACGTCGCGGAGGAGTAGCGCTTCGCCGACCCCACATCCTGTTGAACACAGAGGTGGATTAATGAAGCAAGCTCATATATATATATACTGATCGGGGCTCTGACTCGATACCTTCGCGAAGGTCGCAAAGGCTAAGTGGCTCCAAGTCTACTTCACCCAGAAGATCTAGAAGGGATACTTCAAGAGCTTCGTGAAGTCTCCGGCGTTCACCGAGGAAGTATCCTCCAAGGTCTCCATATACTAGCCACTCGTCATATATAGCTACTCGTCAGTCCGTTCAAGACATCGCATAAGTTGTCTATCAACTGTATGCCATATGCCGTCTACAAGCCTACGCGAAGACAATTGCACAGGCTATTTACAACACAGAATGTCGCTATATTAATTAGTCAACGACGTTTCATAGATCTTCACAGGAATCAACTTTTCCGTATAGATTGCTAGAATATGCAATCCCGGACTACGATACGATTATCTTCATGCGTGACCATTACGCAGATCTGCAGACAATTCAATATCGAAATTGAACAGCAGCCTTGTTACAGCGAGTATAACTCATAATCGTCAACGTTTCTGAGAAGAAATATGTACAACAAGTTCAGCTTTAATTCTACAATTATGACGATACATTCATGTATACAGTCTACAAGCTGACAACTTGCAAGTTTATTGTACCTTTATATAAGGAAGTCGGAATTATATTCAAAACTGAAGTTACTTTCACGACAGCCAGGAAAATAACCTACCCAGCATTGATATTACAGAGCGAGGTATTTCGCGCCGGAGGCTTCGCACGTTTACCATTAACCCTCGAAACACGTGGTCACTCGGGTAACTTCGGGAAGCTACGGTGAAGACCGACGATTATGCTAATATCAACGACGGCAAGATTTTATACAAGGTTTTTTCCTGCTACACCGGTGACATCACAGCGCGGGTATTTTACAGAATCAAAATGCCTTGTTCTGATTGGACCGCGATGGACAACGACCTACGCAGAGGTCGATCTTAGTTCACAGTTCAAGACTTACGTTACACTGACTGAGTTTAGTTTTACGCCGCTTTTAGCAATATTCCAGCAATATCACAGCGGGGGACACCAGAAATGGGCTTAACAACTTACGTTACAAGTGACAACTATATATCAGTGAACGAGCAAGCCTCCTTACAGTCCAGTTAATCTGAACCTTCATGATTGGGCTGCTTTCTTCAGGTTAGAGACCTCCCCTGTCAAGTTAGGACGAGGGCACGGCAGTCAGGCGATTTTACATAAAGTTCAACGAGGACAGACACACCTGGTTGTGCACCTACATCGTCAAGGACTTCGCAGCGAATTTACCTAGACGACGGGATACAAGTGGATCTAAATCCACAGCGTCTCAGACTACAGCTGAATTTCATCATCAAGCTACTAACACAACTAGATGGTTAGTAAACCTACTTAAGCTTTCGGATTGGAGGATTAAAACGGAAGTTTCACGCTCCAACTTGGGATCTGAATATAGTGCTCCAACACCTCACAAGTGAGGTTTATGAACACGCCTGGATGACATACTTGGACCCCATGATATGATGATTCTATCAAGATGGCCAGCAAGAGCACTGTAAATTCATCTCCACCGAACCAAACAGGAGGGAAAAATGCAAGAGATTATTTCCTCTATCATCAAGTTACGCAGACTGAAGTCTCACGTACTACCATCTCCTTTGGATCAGAACTGTCATACTACGTGCCTACAAGACTGCTGGACCCGATCCGACCCTCCATGAGCTTCTAATACTCTTGATATTAGAGCGCTAACTTCTACAATTGATCTACACAAATGTTATTTGTAATAATGGAGGGTTTATTTCTGGAGATCCGATATGGTGGTTGCCAACCATTATCTGAGAGATATCACCACCGAGGACGTCTCAGGTATCCACCAATTCGGTCCCATGGTCCTCGCACAACAGTTGACAGTTCCTCGGAGAAGAAAGGTCAATCTTACAGATTTCTACTTATCTTATAACAGTACTAAATAGCTACATGCTATATATAATTTGCTTAAGTTCTTTTTTATCATCACAGTACTATGATTATTACATCATACAATATGTAAGTTAACAACTCTACAGAGTTTGTTATTATATATTTACCTTAAGTTAATCATATCTTAAGCGTAGTACTATGGTTACATTATAAATGCATTAGCTAACAAACTCTACAGAGTTTTGGCTATTATATACATTAGCTTAAGTTAATTATATCTTAAGCATGGTACTATACTCATATTGTAAAATATATTAGCTTACAAACTCTACTGAGTTTTGCTATTATATAGGTAGCTTAAGCTTATTCATATCTTAAGCTCAGTACTATGTTTATATCATATAAGTATATTAGCTAACAAACTCTAAAGAGTTTTTGCTATTTGGCTTAAGTTTAGATCATATCTTAAGCATTATGGTTACATTATAACATGTATTAGCTAACAAACTCTCACAGGAGTTTTGCTATTATATATGTAACTTAAGTTTATTCATATCTTAAGCGCAGTACTATGTTTATATCATATAGGTATATTAGCTAACAAACTCTAAAAGAGTTTTTGCTATTATATATTTGGCTTAAGTTTCATCATATTTTAAGCTTTATGGTTACATTATAACATGTATTAGCTAACAAACTCTACGGAGTTTTTGCTATTATATATGTAGCTTAAGGTTTCCTTCATATCTTAAGCTCAATACTATGTTTATATCATATAAGTATATTAGCTAACAAAACTCTAAAAGGTTTTTTGCTATTATATATTTAGCTTAAGGTTTTCCTTCATATCTTAAGCTCAATACTAGGTTTATTTCATATAAGTATTTTAGCTAACAAACTCTAAAGGGTTTTTTGCTATTATATAATTAGCTTAAGTTTCATCATATCTTAAGCAGTATGGTTACATTATATAAGGTATTAGCTAACAAACTCTACGGAGTTTTGCTATTATATATATAGCTTAAGTTTAATCATATCTTAAGCTCAGTACTATGTTTATAACATAAAAGTATATTAGTTAATAAACTCTAAGGAGTTTTTTGCTATATACATTTAGCTTAAGTCTAATCATATCTTAAGCTTAGTACTATGGTTACATTATAAATCTATTAGCTAATAAACTCTACAGAGTTTTTGGCTATTGTATATGTAGCTTAAGTTAATTATATCTTAAGCACAGTACTATACTCATATTGTAAAAATATATTAGCTAACAAACTCTACGGAGTTTTGCTATTATATATGTAGCTAAAGCTTATTCATATCTTAAGCTCAGCACTATGTCTATATCATATAAGTATATTAGCTAACAAACTCTAAAGAGTTTTGCTATTATATAATTAGCTTAAGTTTAATCATATCTTAAGCTTAGTACTATGTTTATATCTTAAAGTAATTTAGCTAACAAACTCTAAGGAGTTTATACTAGCATATTAACAAGCTTAAGTCTATTAGTCTTAAGCATTGTATTAATGTTATATATACTTTATCATAATAAGTACATTGTAATAAGTACATTGTAATAACCTGTATATGGCAGCTGATAAGTTAGCAGCAGGAATTCATCAGTTCAGTGCCTTTATGAAGTTCCCATAGGGTTATTACAATCATCACAGTTCAAATCACTAACTATTAAAATCCAAAGTATTATATATTCCCACCTCCTTTTCCGTGGTAGGATTCTACAAACAAAAGAGCATGAGTCAGGATAAGGAAAATATGTAATTTTTAGAGTAAAATTGATATTTTATACTTATCCTGACTCATGAGGTAAGCCCTCCCATCCTCCCCACATAACACTTTGGATTTCCCTGTAAATTCAAATGTTGGGCTCAGTATATGAGGAGAGAGTGAGGCACATGGGTGGAGGTGGCGCCCTCGTTCCCGAGCTTGTGGAAGGGAGGTAACTCGTGGTGAGTACTAATTAGTGATTTTACATTGAAGGGAGCTTCAATTAGGGAGATACAAGTGTTCCACTATGTTCGCAAGAAGAAGAAGACAAGCAAAAAGAGCATGAGTCAGGATAAGTATGAAATATGAATTTTACTCTAAAAATTACATGATTCTATTTTCAGATGCTTCCTGGTGAACTCTGCTGACCGAATTATCCGTGTGTATGAGAGCGGGGAGGTGTTGGCGTGTGGGAAGGATGGAGAGCCGGAGCCCATACAGAAACTTCAGGACTTGGTCAATAAGTCAGTGCTCTTCCTAGTTGTAGCATAGAATGTCAATAAGTCAGTGCTCTTCCTAGTTGTAGCATAGAATGTCAATAAGTCAGTGCTCTTCCTAGTTGTAGCATAGAATGTCAATAAGTCAGTGCTCTTCCTAGTTGTAGCATAGAATGACAATAAGTCAGTGCTCTTCCTAGTTGTAGCATAGAATGACAATAAGTCAGTGCTCTCCCTAGTTGTAGCATAGAATGTCAATAAGTCAGTGCTCTTCCTTGTTGTAGCATAGAATGTCAATAAGTCAGTGCTCTTCCTTGTTGTAGCATAGAATGTCAATAAGTCAGTGCTCTTCCTAGTTGTAGCATAGAATGTCAATAAGTCAGTGCTCTTCCTAGTTGTAGCATAGAATGTCAATAAGTCAGTGCTCTTCCTAGTTGTAGCATAGAATGTCAATAAGTCAGTGCTCTTCCTAGTTGTAGCATAGAATGTCAATAAGTCAGTGCTCTTCCTAGTTGTAGCATAGAATGTCAATGAGTCAGTGCTCTTCCTAGTTGTAGCATAGAATGTCAATGAGTCAGTGCTCTTCCTAGTTGTAGCATAGAATGTCAATAAGTCAGTGCTCTTCCTAGTTGTAGCATAGAATGTCAATAAGTCAGTGCTCTTCCTAGTTGTAGCATAGAATGTCAATAAGTCAGTGCTCTTCCTAGTTGTAGCATAGAATGTCAATAAGTCAGTGCTCTTCCTAGTTGTAGCATAGAATGTCAATAAGTCAGTGCTCTTCCTAGTTGTAGCATAGAATGTCAATAAGTCAGTGCTCTCCCTAGTTGTAGCATAGAATGTCAATAAGTCACTGCTCTCCCTAGTTGTAGCATAGAATGTCAATAAGTCAGTGCTCTTCCTAGTTGTAGCATAGAATGTCAATAAGTCAGTGCTCGTCCTAGTTGTAGCATAGAATGTCAATAAGTCAGTGCTCTTCCTAGTTGTAGCATAGAATGTCAATAAGTCAGTGCTCGTCCTTGTTGTAGCATAGAATGTCAATAAGTCAGTGCTCTTCCTAGTTGTAGCATAGAATGTCAATAAGTCAGTGCTCTTCCTAGTTGTAGCATAGAATGTCAATAAGTCAGTGCTCTTCCTAGTTGTAGCATAGAATGTCAATAAGTCAGTGCTCTTCCTAGTTGTAGCATAGAATGTCAATAAGTCAGTGCTCTTCCTAGTTGTAGCATAGAATGTCAATAAGTCAGTGCTCTTCCTAGTTGTAGCATAGAATGTCAATAAGTTAGTGCTCTTCCTAGTTGTAGCATAGAATGTCAATAAGTCAGTGCTCTTCCTAGTTGTAGCATAGAATGTCAATAAGTCAGTGCTTGACCTAGTTGTAGCATAGAATGTCAATAAGTCAGTGCTCTCCAGATGAGACCCGTGAAGGTCCGGGTTAGAATTGATCTTCAGTAAGCCCTGCTTGTCATAAGAGGCGACTAACGGGATCGGGTGGTCAGGCTTGCTGACTTGGTTGACACATGCCATCGGTTCCCAATTGCGCAGATCAATGTTCGTGCTGTTGATCACTGGATTGTCTGGACTCGATTATTTACAGATTGCTGCCATATAGCTGGAATATTGTTGAGTGCGGTGTAAAACTAAACTCACTCACTCACTCACTTCCCAGATGAATCACAGAGCCTACAAAAATCAGTTGTCTTCTGTGTTACAGAATCTCAATAATCAGTGGGGTAGCCTAGTGGTTCGCTCATCATGCTGAAGACCCGGTTTCGATTCCCCACATGGGTACAATGTGTGAAGCCCATTTCTGGTGTCCACCTCGTGATATTGCTGGAATATTGCTAAAAGTGGCATAAAACAAAAGTCACACGCTCAATTATCTGTGCTCTTCCCTATCGTTCCTAGAAAGCCACTAAGTCAAAGCTCTTCACTGTCTTCCCATACATATCTTAGCGTTCTTTGTGAAATGTAAAGGGAAAGTTGTTAAAGGTATAGTGTTGCGCTGTCAGGATCTGTAGATCACTAGAGCACTTCCCAGATTTATCATGAATATGATTATTCCTGGGTTCTCAAAGATCTCTCACTCACTCACTCACTCACTCACTCACTCACTCACTCACTCACTCACTCACTCACTCACTCACTCACTCACTCACTCACTCACTCACTCACTCACTCACTCACTCACTCCTCTCCTCACTCACTCACTCACTCACTCCTCACTCCTCCTCCACTCACTCACTCACTCACTCACTCACTCACTCACTCACTCACTCCTCCTCACTCACTCCTCACTCACTCACTCACTCACTCACTCACTCACTCACTCACTCACTCACTCACTCACTCACTCACTCACTCACTCACTCACAGCCCAATAGTGTTTAACATGTCTGCAATATGTTTGATGATGGCCCAGGGATAAAGTGTCTAACAGTAATGACACTGTGTTGCAGGACACTGTGGAAAAAGTGTTGTTTTTCCGGGGACGGGGAGTATATTGTTGCCGGCTCGGCCCGACAACACTCCCTCTACATCTGGGAGAAGGGCGTTGGCAACCTCGTCAAGATTCTTCACGGCACCAAGGGGGAACTGCTGCTGGATGTTGTGGTGAGCTTTTGTGATTCTCTAATTGTCATCACTGTCGTATACTGGTTACTGAAAACAATAACTTTTGTGTGAAAATTTTAATAAGATTCTCTCGTCCTTGTATTTCTAAGTGCTGTTATAGGGCTACGGTTGTTTTTATATTTTATTAAGGGTAGCCTCGTGGCTAAAGCATTTACGGTCATGCCAAAGGCAAGGGTTCAAATCCCCAATGTGTGAAGCCCATTTCTGGCAACCCATGTTTGTTGTAAGAGGCGACTAATGGGATTGGTTAAGTCAGGCTTGCTGACTTGTTGACACATGTCATCATATCCAGGTGCATAGATCGATGCTCATGCTGTTGATCACTGGATTGTTTGGTTTGATTATTTACAGGCTGGAATATTGCAGAATTCAATAAACTCCAGAATTACATGTGGGGTGATCGATTCTGAACAGTGACGTCTCCTAGGAAATGTCATTTTGTTTGCTGTAATCGTCATGATTGTCAGAACAGTAGGTGCCAAGACAGCCTGCTTGTCTTTCACAGTGTGCCACAAATATTTCAGTTCTGCACAAAGGCACAGGAAGTTATAAACTACCTGGGTATATGGAAGTTGTGAACTACCTGGGTATATGGAAGTTATGAACTACCTGGGTATATGGAAGTTATGAACTACCTGGGTATATGGAAGTTGTGAACTACCTGGGTATATGGAAGTTATAAACTACCTGGGTATATGGAAGTTGTGAACTACCTGGGTATATGGAAGTTATGAACTACCTGGGTATATGGAAGTTGTGAACTACCTGGGTATATGGAAGTTGTGAACTACCTGGGTATATGGAAGTTATGAACTACCTGGGTATATGGAAGTTGTGAACTACCTGGGTATATGGAAGTTGTGAACTACCTGGGTATATGGAAGTTGTGAACTACCTGGGTAATGGAAGTTATGAACTACCTGGGTATATGGAAGTTATGAACTACCTGGGTATATGGAAGTTGTGAACTACCTGGGTATATGGAAGGTATAAACTACCTGGGTATATGGAAGTTATGAGAGAACACCAGAAATGGACTTCACACATTGTACCCATTTGGGGAATCGAACCTGGGTCTTTGGCGTGATGAGCGCTAATGCTTTAACCACTAGGCTACCCCACCGCCCCCTGTTCTGTGAAAACAGACTGTCAGTTTGACAGATACGATAGCATACTTATTAACTCAATAACTGTTCCATATTTTATTGTAACAGACCAACTGTTCTTGTTTCCCCAGTGGCATCCGGTGAGGCCGATCATAGCCTCGATATCCAGCGGCCTAGTCTCCATCTGGGCACAGAACCAAGTGGTCAGTGAACAATACAAGTGTTTTAATGGCATTTAGAAGTGACTCACATAATGGGGTTAATGTGGCTTTCCCATCCTTACGAGGTACCCGTTCACAGCTGGGTGGACTGGGACACATAGTCACAGCACTTTGTCCAAGTTTACTGCACGTTGCTGTACCCGCAACTAGGAGTTTGCATGTATTCATGTGGCCACCATCTGGTCATCTTCATGGGTTCTTTTAAGTGCACAGGGTTGTGTACTGTACACTAGGGGTTGTGACAACACTGAAAGAGTCTGCACACAAAGTTGACTCCAAGGCTTTTTTTACACCCGGTCACAGGTGGGCTCGATCCCGGCACCTCCAAGCTCGCTGGATCACTAGCCTGGCGGCTTTAATGGATGTAGTTTCTTTGGCTGCGGGTGGGGGGCAGAGATGCAAGAAAACAAGTTTGTTGTTCAAACCATTGCATTTACGTACCACCTCACCCTTGAAGATCTGGGTTAGAACTGGTCTTAGCAACCCATGCTTGTCGTAAGAGGCAACTAAGGGGATCGGATGGCCAGGCTCGCTGACTCGTTTGACACATTATTGTATCCCAATTGAGTAGATCGATGCTCATGCTGTTGATCACTGGATTGTCTGGTTAGATTCAATAATTCAAAGACTGCTGCTATACAACAAAACAAACAAATGAATAATAACCAATCTGTTGACAGCCTAAACTTCTTCCATCATTATGGATGGTTTGGACTGGCCTGATCCTGGCAGACTAAACCAATCAGGAATCTACTGGACTTGTGTTTCTCCTCTTGTTCACTCTCAGATGTCAGTATTTGATATATATTTTTCAGGAAAATTGGAGTGCTTTTGCTCCTGATTTCAAAGAGCTTGACGAGAATGTGGAGTATGAGGAACACGAGTCGGAGTTTGACATTGATGATGAAGACAAGGAGAAGGAAGAGGCAAAAGGTGAGTGAGTTTAGTTTTACGCCACACTCAGCAATATTCCAGCTATATGGAGTCGGTCGGTAAATAATCGAGTCTGGGCCAGACAATCCAGTGATCAACAGCATGAGCATCGATCTGCACAATTGGGATAATTGGTGTCAACCAAGTCAGCGAGCCTGACCACCCAACCCCGTTAGTCGCTTCTTACGACAAGCATGGGTTACTGAAGATCTATATTCTAATCCGGACCTTCACGGGTCCAAAAGGTGAGAGTTTGTGTGTGTGTACATGTGTGTGTATGCATGCATGCTAGCATAGGGTGGTGTGCAAACAACTGTGCAAAAGTGAGAGCAACAGCGAGAGTGAGTGTGTGAGATTGTATGCATCTACCAAGGAAGTGAGCCTGAGGTCCCCAACCCATTAGTCTCCTCTTACGACAAGCATGGGTTGCTGAAGGCCAAGTTTAACCTGGCTCTCATGAGTCCATGATTGAGTGCATGTGTGATGAGCTGACTAATGTTGAAGGTAAATGACATGCCTCTTTATCTTGCCTCACACATAAATATCGTTTTCTGATTGGCTGAGCCATCTTCTATTATTTTCAATGTACCCAACTTACAAGCGAGTAACATTTTCCATGTACCCCGCTGGGAATGTCGAACTCATTTGATACTTCGTACGAGTAATTCTTTATCTCGAATAACATTAAATCATGTATGATGTACAGAAATTACCGATGTTTTGCGAATGCAAGTCGATGGAAGGGAGATAACTCTAAATATGTTTATCTTGTGGCCTTGTCAGGCTGCTTCAAACAGGGTTGATGTACCCTTGATGTTTCTTTATGATCCCTTTCGGGATCAGGGAGTATAAACAAACATCGAGGGTACATCAGCCCATGTCCCCCTCGAGACCAGTGAACAACTTATAATGTTTCAGGGCCTGATGCGGAGGACACAGAGGTGGACGTGACAACCGTGGAAGCCATACAAGCCTTTGTCAGCAGGTAAGTCATACAATATGGCGGCTCAGTGCTGTTTGTTGTTATATACCAGCTAAATTATGAGTGAGTATGGTTTACACCGCTTTTAGCAATATTCCAGCAACATCACGGCGGGGGACACCAGAAATGAGCTTCACACATTGTACCCATGTGGGGATTCGAACCCGGGGTCTTCGGCGTGACAAGCCAACGCTTTAACCATCAGGCTACCCCACCGCCCCCTAAATTATGAAGACCAAACCAGTGATTGATATCATGAGCATCATCCCGCACCATCAGGACACAGTGATGACTTTGTTGTATTTACAAATTGTGTTTTATACAGGACTGTGCATTTCTGTGTGTTTGTATTTTGTTTGTTTACATGCCTCTGTATATTTCTGCTTGTTTGCATTGTATTTGTGCAGTGACGAAGATGATGAGGACTACACAGCGCTGCTGTATCTGCCGGTGTCGCCAGAGATCGATGAGCCTGAGGAGGGGTGGCAGGCTTTGGCTGAAGCTGTGAGTAGCATTCTTCCTGAGAACTGTCACTGACAAAACACTTGACCTTCCCACCAACACCCTTAACCCCGAGATACAGACACCCTTAACCTTCAGGCTACTCTTAACCTTCAGACACACACACCCTGAACCTTCAGACATGGACACCCTTAACCTTTAAGCATGGGCACCCTTAACCTTCAGACACAGACACCCTTAACCTTTAAGCATGGACACCCTTAACCTTCAGACATGGACACCCTTAACCTTTAAGCATGGACACCCTTAATCTTCAGACACACACACCCTTAACCTTCAGACATGGACACCCTTAACCTTTAAGCATGGACACCCTTAACCTTCAGACATGGACACCCTTAACCTTCAAGCATGGACACCCTTAACCTTCAGACATGGACACCCTTAACCTTCAGACACCCTTAACCTTCAGACATGGACACCCTTAACCTTTAAGCATGGACACCCTTAACCTTCGGATATGGACACCCTTAACCTTTAAGCATGGACACCCTTAACCTTCAGACACACCCTTAACCTTCAGGCTACTCTTAACCTTCAGACACACACACCCTGAACCTTCAGACATGGACACCCTTAACCTTTAAGCATGGACACCCTTAACCTTCAGACACAGACACCCTTAACCTTTAAGCATGGACACCCTTAACCTTCAGACATGGACACCCTTAACCTTTAAGCATGGACACCCTTAATCTTCAGACACCACACCCTTAACCTTCAGACATGGACACCCTTAACCTTTAAGCATGGACACCCTTAACCTTCAGACATGGACTTAACCTTCAAGCATGGACACCCTTAACCTTCAGACAGACACCCTTGGACACCACCCTTAACCTTCAGACATGGACACCCCCTTAAGCATGGACACCCTTAACCTTCAGACATGGACACCCTTAACCTTTAAGCATGGACACCCTTAACCTTCACCCTTAACCTTCAGACACACACATACCCTTAACCTTCAGACATGGACACCCTTAACCTTCAGACATGGAACCTTTAACCTTCAGACACCCTTAAAGACATGGACACCCTTAACCTTCAGCATGGACACCCTTAACCCTAGACAACACCCTTAACCAGACATGGACACCCTTAACCTTCAGACATGGACACCCTTAACCTTCAAGCATGGACACCCTTAACCTTCAGACATGGACACCCTTAACCTTAAGCATGGAGACACCCTTAACCTTCAGACACCCTTAACCTTCAGACATGGACACCCTTAACCTTCAGACACCCTTAACCTTCAGAGCATGGACACCCTTAACCTTCAGACATGGACACCCTTAACCTTTAAGCATGGACACCCTTAACCTTCAGACACACACACCCTTAACCTTCAGACATGGACACCCTTAACCTTTAAGCATGGACACCCTTAACCTTCAGACATGGACACCCTTAACTTTGAGACATGTACACCCTTCACTTTCAGACATGGACACCCTTAACCTTCAGACACCCTTAACCTTCAGACATGGACACCCTTAACCTTTAAGCATGGACACCCTTAACCTTTAGACATGGACACCCTTAACCTTCAGACATGGACACCCTTAACATTTAAGCATGGACACCCTTAACCTTCAGACACACACACCCTTAAGCTTTAAGCATGGACACCCTTAACCTTCAGACACACACACCCTTAACCTTTAAGCATGGACACCCTTAACCTTTAAGCATGGACGCCCTTAACCTTTAAGCATGGACACCCTTAACCTTCAGACACCGACACCCTTAACCTTTAAGCATGGACACCCTTAACCTTCAGACACAGACACCCCCTTAACCTACAGATGCAGACACACTGAACCTTCAGACATGGACACCCTCTACCTTCAGATATGGACACCCTTAACCTTTAAGCATGGACACCCTTAACCTTTAAGCATTGACACCCTTAACATTCAGACACAGACACCCTTAACCTTCAGACATGGACACCCTTAACCTTCAGACACAGACAACCTGGCCTTTAGACACAGACACCCTTAACCTTCAGACACGGACGCCCTTGACCTTCAGACACAAACACCCTTGACCTTCAGACACAAACACCCTTGACCTTCAGACACGGACACACTTAACCTTCAGACACGGACACCCTTAACCTTCAGACACAGACACCCTTAATCTTCAGACTTGGACACCCTTAACCTCCAGACATGGACACCCTTAACCTTCAGACACGGGCACCCTTAACCTTCAGACACATACACCCTTAACCTTCAGACACCCTTAACCTTCAGACACGGAGGCCCTTAACCTTTAAGCATGGACACCCTTAACTTTCAGACACGGACACTCTGAACTTTCAGACACAGATACCTTGAACCTCAAGAGACCAACACACTTAACCCTATGGACACCCCTAAAATCAAGACACCAGATACATTAACCTCCTGGCTTTCTTCTTTTTTAAAACTGCAATTGCAATAGCAAGAAGTGATACAAGTAAATAGCATTAACCTCATTTACTATATGTACAGTCTCACTTACAAGGGTTTCTATGTCAGAGGAAGTCAGACCAAGGCGCAGTCACCCAGGTAAAAGTCATCACCTCACTCACTGATACACCTGGCTTTCTCCATCCCCACCTGCCAGCTTAGCAGTAAATGATCTTTATCACAGCTGAGACACTTATTGGACTTATATGAACAAATATGTTTGACTTTCTACATGAATCTGCATCTTTGAACTCATAAACCTGGGGCTATAAATGAATATTCTGACTGTCTGGTTACAACTTCAATTTTGCTTTTCATTTTCTTATCTAAATCCAAATATCTACCTTCTCTTGAACATCTGGGGTGGTAGGGTAGCCTAGTGGTTAAAGTGTTCGCTCGTGTCGCTGATGATCCAGGTTCGATTCACCACATGGGTACAATGTGTGAAGCCCATTTCTGGTGTCCCCTGCCGTGGATTTGCTGGAATATTGCTAAAAGTGGTATAAAACTAAACTCACCCACTCACTCTAATCTAAAGTTTTCTTGATAACTGGTTAGAACTGTTTTGAATGTTCATGCTCATGAAAATGTTTTCAAAAGCAGCTGCCAGAAAACAAATACTTTTCACCTTATTCAAGTTTATTTTCTGTGAATCATATTAAAGGATGGCAGGTAACTTTATATTTTCCCAGCGAAGTATGAAACCAATGCAAACGGAATATTCTTTTAGTACAGAAACTGTCAATGATATGGTATACATAAACCTGATCAACATGCTAGCAGACGAGGCCTGAACATGCTTAACTTAATGTTTCCTATGTTTCCCACCACTTTTTACATGCAAAAGACTAACTTATACACAATGGTTGTAAGCTGGGATTGTCCAAGGACTCCACTTAACATTGTGATCTCACCACAACAAGTAAAACTATGTTTTAGTATGGGAGTTACGATGGTCGCAAGTCTAGATTATAGTATGGGAGTTATGATGGTCGCAGGTCTAGGTTATAGTATGGGAGTTACAATGGTCGCAAGTCTAGGTTATAGTATGGGAGTTACGATGGTCGCAGGTCTAGGTTATAGTATTGGAGTTACGATGGTCGCAAGTCAAGGTTATAGTATGGGGTTATTCACGATGGTCGCAAGTCAAGGTTATAGTATGGGAGTTACGATGGTCGCAAGTCAAGGTTATAGTATGGGAGTTACGATGGTCGCAAGTCTAGGTTATAGTATTGGAGTTACGATGGTCGCAAGTCAAGGCTATAGTATGGGGGTTACGATGGTCGCAAGTCTAGGTTATAGTATGGGAGTTACGATGGTCGCAAGTCAAGGTTATAGTATTGGAGTTACGATGGTCGCAAGTCAAGGTTATAGTATGGGAGTTACGATGGTCGCAAGTCAAGGTTATAGTATGGGAGTTACGATGGTCGCAAGTCAAGGTTATAGTATTGGAGTTACGATGGTCGCAAGTCAAGGTTATAGTATGGGAGTTATGATGGTCGCAAGTCAAGGTTATAGTATGGGGGTTACGATGGTCGCAGGTCTAGGTTATAGTATGGGGGTTACGATGGTTGCAAGTCAAGGTTATAGTATGGGAGTTACGATCGTCGCAGGTCTAGGTTATAGTATGGGCGTTACGATGGTCGCAAGTCAAGGTTATAGTATTGGAGTTATGATGGTCGCAAGTCAAGGTTATAGTATGGGAGTTACGATGGTCGCAAGTCAAGGTTATAGTATGGGGGTTACGATGGTCGCAAGTCAAGGTTATAGTATGGGGGTTACGATGGTCGCAAGTCTAGATTATAGTATGGGAGTTACGATGGTTGCAAGTCAAGGTTATAGTATGGGAGTTACGATGGTCTATGCTGAAGTGTATGGAAGTTACAACTGTCCCAAGTCGGTGTTATAGAATAAATTACAAGTATCATAGGGCTATGCATTAACTGTATGTGAAAGTATAGGGGTTTTGACTGCTATAGCCCTTTGTGCTTTATGGAATGAACGCTTTTTGTCTTTGGACTGAACGATTCACTGCAGTATAGTAACATGTCATGGCTTGCCGCCATCATGAACTGCACAGATATGATGCCAGTGAATCGTTACAGCCCAGCCGGTTGTCTGCACATCTTGTCTTGCTGTCTTGTCACCTGACCCAAGGATCTCCGCATGTCTGTTTTGTTTGTTATTTGAAGCCATACTCAACATTTTATAGCTATATAACAGCGGCATGTAAATATGATAATAATAATAATGGCTATTTATAAAAAGCGCCTGTTTCCATGCACTTGTGCATGCTCAAAGCGCTAACGCATCATTACCCAAGATAACCCAAGCTACCTTTGTGGTGCTAGAAAAATAACAGCCATATGACTTATCCCACCGGGTACCCATTTACTGCTGGGTGAACAGAGGCAGTTCATGAACATACTCACGTGCCTAAGGTGAGACCACATTAGGTTATGTGTGGTTCATTGTGGGGCAGGACAGAAGTTCTAGAAACTTTCAGGAGTCAAGCTGCCAAACACGGTCACCCATCCAAGGACTGTCCACAACCAGCGTTGCTTAACTTCACCTGATTTGTGACCTGGGGTCTATGCACAGGACCACACACCACCAATAATGGAGTCTGGACAAGACAATCCAGCATTGAGTGCTTGTGTGGGTGCATAGTACTATTGTCACGATTCACCAATGCATCGGCAAGCTTTTGCACAATATGACACACAATCCATTTGTTTTATTATCGATTCATATTTTGGCGCATATTATTATTTTGATTTCGCACCAATGTCACTTTTACTAAAGCCTGTTTATTATCTATTGGGCCCCATGATGAATATGGGACTGCCATGATACTAACTTTTGCCAGTTTTACATTTTTGCCTAAGATTATACATGACACCAAATATACTTCCTTTCAAAAGTTTAGACTTACTTAAAACACTCACTATGGTTACATCGAAGATTGATTTCTCCACTAACTAGGGGGGGAACTAACTGCAAACCTTATGCAGATGAATTGCACGAGGATCAAGCATCAAATTGCTGAAAAGCATGTGCAAATATTATGCATGTGAACAGCTGCCTTTTGGTGTAAAGTTTTGTTAAAATTTCTCATATTTTCTCTGATTTTTATCATTTATTGAACTCATGACAATAATCTTTTCAACGTTACAAATTTGTTTTACTATACTATACATCAGTTCATGTGGAAACAGTATGGAATATTTTGCAAAATTTAGTTTAGAACAGTTGCCTGAAGTAAGTGGCTATATTTACACTAGGGAGTCTAAACTTTTGAAAGGAAGCATATTATTGGATAAGGCCAGACATTGCTTGCAACCATAGCCAATCAGAAACATCGAAACGAATGTCCATGCTTTGATACCAAAAGTACTACAGTTGTTGTACACATCCCTTAGCCATACCAGGCTTTTGCTGTTTTATGCTCATTTTTTTGTTGGGTAATGGGGAATACAAGGTCATACAGGTATCTGAGAGACTCTTAGTTTCCGTGTAGAGTTGTGTCCCTTGTGCCGTGCCAGGATCTGCCTGTTCTTTGTTGGGTAACAGGGGACATAGTAGCACCCAGGTTTATAAGAGACTGTGGTTCTCCTTGCAAAGTTGTGTTACTATACACCCCAGGATCTTCTGATTCTTAATCAGGAAACAGGGAAACTGAGAAAACTTGGGTACCTAGAAGGTCAGGAAATAAAAAGACTGAGAAAGCTTTGGTACCTAGGAAGTCAGGAAACGGGGAAACAAAAAGCTTGTGTACCTAGGAAGTCTGGAAACAGGGAAACTGAGAAAGCTCGGGTAACTAGGAAGTCAGGAGACAGGGAAACTGAGAAAGCTCGGGTACCTAGGAAGTCAGGAAACGGAGAAACTGAAAAAGCTCGGGTACCTAGGAAGTCAGGAAACGGAGAAACTGAAAAAGCTCGGGTACCTAGGAAGTCAGGAAATGGGGAAACTGAAAAAGCTCATGTACCTAGGAAGGCGGGAAACAGGGAAACTGAGAAAATTTGGGTACCTAGAAGTCAGGAAATGGGGAAATTGAGAAAGCTCGGATACCTAGGAAGTCAGGAAATGTGTAAACTGAAAAAGCTCAGGTACCTAGGAAGTCAGGAAACAGGGAAACTGAGAAAGTTTGGGTACCTAGGAAGTCAGGAAACAGAGAAACTGGGAAAGTTTGGATACCTAGGAAGTCAGGAAACAGGGAAACAGAGAAAGCTCGGGTAACTAGGAGACTGCATTTTTGCTGGGTAAATACTGAGATGTGTGCCACTTAGCCATGCCAGAATCTCCCGATTCTTTGTCAGGTAAAAAGAAACATGGTGGCACTGAAGTGTCTGAAAAGAGAATTCAGTTTGCAGTGCAGAGTTGTGCCCCTTAACAATACCAGGATCTGCTGATGATTTCCAATAATCCTTGATTTACGACAATTATGATGTGTCTGCAGTCATCAACGTCAGTTTTAACCATCCTCCGTCAATCCGGAGACTTAGAGTGATATACATGTATTGGGAGTACTGTTTAATGCAGCATTGAACCCAACTCAGTCACTCACTGTTTTCAGGCAGAAGACCCCCCAGTAGTCCAGGAAAAGAAGAGGAACCTACCTCAGCCTGAGACCACGCCCCCTGCCAAGAAAAAGAAGACAAAACCAGTAGAAATTGACCTGCCTGATGCACCGTTTGATGGTAACTATCTGTTTTACCACGCTCTGTTAGGGTCCCGTTAGTCTTGAATGTCAGGACCCATGAAGATCCGGGGTAGAATAGGTCTTCAGCAACCCATTCTTGTCATAAAAGGCGACTATGCTTGTCGTAAAAGGCGACTAACGGGATCGGGTGGTCAGGCTCGCTGACTTGGTTGACACATGTCATCGGTTCCCAATTGCGCAGGTCGATGCTCATGCTGTTGATCACTGGATTGTCTGGTCCAGACTCGATTATTTACAGACCGCCACCATATAGCTGGAATATTGCGGAGTGCGGTGTAAAACTAAACTCACTCACTCACTCACTCACTCACTCACTCACTCACTCACTCACTCACTCACTCACTCACTCACTCACTCACTCACTCACTCACTCACTCACTCACTCACTCACTCACTCACTCACTCACTCACTTGAATGTCAGGACCCTTAAACTTTGACTTTAGAACACCTGATTTGCCATCCTTTGGGTGACTTTAACTTTGATATTAGTTTGATTGAAAATTAAGTGAGCCTATGCTGTGACGCATTTGCTTGTCGTCCTTTGGATGTTAAAAGTTGTAAACCGGATTGATGAAACTAATGATGACGCCCAATTTGTTCCAGAGGTATGAATATAGTATCAATATGGCTGTTTTGGTGGACATTTTGAAAAAATATATTTGTGGCCATTACTCCTTTATTTCCATCATGATGAAATTATATTAGTTATATTTGAAGTCAGTAGTGGGCTCAACATATATATTTCATCCTTTTAGATGGAACTCTGTGTTTAACCTTTGCACTTTGACACTTTAATGGCCGTTACTTGGCCATCAAGGGGAGATAACTCCTATGAATAGGGTATGGGAAGACCACTAGGAAGTAAAGCAACACAATATGATGGATGTACATGATTTTTATTATCCTCCGCCGCTTGTTGAGCGAGAAGTGAGAGATATAGTATTAGGAGCCATCCGTCTGTCGTACAAATTGGAATATCTTAAGAAGCATGGACTATATTCTTTTCATATTTGGTACCTTGGTTCATCACAGTAAAAGAAAGGTCCCAGTCAGGTTTGGTGACCTTGATTTTCATTTCAAGGTCACAAGGGGACTGTAACAATTTAGCCTTGTCAGCGAGATATCTCAAGAACTGTTCACTGGATTTTCTTCATATTCAACACCAAGCTTCATCTAGGGGAGATGCAGGGCCCAGTTTATTCTGATGACTTTCACGTAATTGTCAAGGTCACAGTGACACTTTAAAGATTTTGGCATGTAAACCTGCATGTTAAGCTTGTCAGCGAGATATCTCAAGAACCAATCACCGGATTTTTTTCATATTTGACACCAAGCTGCATCTAGGGAAGGCGCAGGGCCCAATCGATTTTGGTGACCTTCACATGGTTTTCAAGATCATGGTGACACTCTGAAGATTTCAGAATGTTAACCTACATGTTCACCTTGTCAGCGAGACATCTCACAAATGATTCACTGTATTTTCTTCATATTTGACAAAAAGCATCATATTGGGAAGGTGCAGGTTGACTGGTCATGCTTTTGTTGACATTTAACTTCATCTTAAACTACAACCTTCACTTTCATTACTTTTTAAGTTTGATGTCATAATTGTGTCGGGGGATTATGTCACCTTAGTGACAATGCCTGTTCACGTTAAACCTGTGGATCAGAAATAAGTTTCAGGAAATAAGGCAATCAAGTGTTAGAGGTAGCATTTTAAGAATTATTATCATTTATGTTAAATTTTTTGACCAAATGGAATCTAATATTTTTGTATGTAGTGGAGGCGACTGACAAATAATGTTCCTTTTATTCAGTATTTAAAAGTTGATACTTATTTCATCTTTACATCCTGACCATGCTGCTAAATTCTCAAGGTGTTTTGCAATGTGAACATGATATACAAATTCTTTCAGATAACAAGACTATGTTGCAAAAGCTACATGTGGCCGTTACTCGTTTTGTTCAGAATGGAATGAAATTTGGTTCTTACATGCAGTCAGTTAGCTTTTAGCGCAAACAGATCGTGCGCCAATAATCATACCAAGCGAAATATTCATGGTGAAGTCATGACAAATACTGGTACTCAAGTAGAAACAACATGCAATTGAAACAAAGACAATAAATGCAGCCAATCAACGATTTGACCATGTGAACAACACGTGTTCATAGACAAACACTACTTTATGGTTCCTATGTTTAATTATCTTAAGTCCTAGCATACACTCTTCCTAATTTGTTGTCAGTTGATCTTGCAGGTGTTGTCATGTTGACACAAGTATAATCCCACCTCTCTCTCTGTGATTGTTTTAGTAAACTCGATTCAATTATGGAGGCTAGGTTTGATCATAATTATATGATATTTTATTGATATAGCGCACATATCCAGGCAACTAGTGCTTGCTCAAGGCGCTGGTATTTTTTCCCTCAGTCATTGGATGTCAGTCTCAACGGCACATCGTGTTATCAATCTCATCTACCTGGGGAGCATACAACTCTTGCAGCCACTAGGCGCACCGAGTTATTGTGGCCTTCTCATCCTAACGAGGTACCCATTCACAGCTGGGCGGACTGGGACACATAGTCACAGTACTTTGTCCAAGTTCACTGCACGTTGCTGTACCCGCAACTTGGTGTTTGCATGTATTCATGTGGCCACCATCTGGTCATATACCAATGGATTCGTGGGTTCTTTTAAGTGCACAGGGATGTGTACTGTACACTGGGGGTTGTGACAACACTGAAAGAGTCTGCGCACAAAGTTGACTCCGAGGTTTTTACACCCCGTCACAGGTGGGCTCGAGCCCGACACCTCCAAGCTCGCTGGATACCATCACTCAGGTGTTTGAAATGCGCGAAAAAACAGGTCTTTTGTGAACTTTCCGTGAAAATTGCACCCTGTGAAAATATATAGGATTACAGTATTCAGTATTTAAAAGTTGATGTTTATTTCATCTTTACATCCCGACCATGGGGCTAAATTCTCAAGGTGTTTTGCTATGTTAACATGCTATACAAATTCTTTTCAGACAACAAGACTATGTTGCAAAAGCTACATATGGTTGTTGACTCATTTTGGTTCAGAATGGAATGAATTTGGTTCTTACATGCAGTTAGTTAGATACGAACGGAATCGGCTGGTCAGGCCCGCTGACTTGGTTGACACATGTCATCGTATCACAATTGTGTAGAACGATGCTCATGATGTGTATCACTGGATTGTCTGGTCCAGACTTGAACATTTACAGATCGCTGCTATATAGCTGGAATATTGCTGAGTGCGGTGTTAAACAACAAACAAATATTGCAAAGGACACACAATCCTTGCGAGTGATCTTTAGCACATTTTAGAATACATGGTCTATCCCCATATCCTCAAACAATAGTAAGTGGAGTGAAATCTCCTTGATCTGCTGTTCAGTGTTGTGTATGTGCAAAATTTTAAAAAACATTTGATTATGCTTCTTCAAAACTTTCCTTACCAGAAATTCATCCACTGCTGAATGTAAAGAAACCTCAAGAAAAATCTCAACAGCGGAAACAGTCACGACCGGCCAAACCACGAACTTCCAAACCCGAGAAATCGCGACACAGGGCAAAAGACGAGAGCTACAGTTTGAAGGAAAATGTAAGTTCTGTTACTCCTGTAGGTGTATCGACCAATACAGTTTGTGATAAAAACAGGGTCGACTTGCAGAAATTGTCTTTTGGAATGATTTTTTTAGATTTTTGAATTTAATAAAGTTGATGCTGGAAAATTGTTGAGAATATGTCCTTGTGTTTCAGGTATGAGGAAAGTCATGGCAGTATTGGAACAAAACCAGATCCTCAGGATGATCACCATGGCAACAGTTATGGAGGACAGAATGTTTCAAGATGAACTGTGTCAGCTCTAAGCTGGATGTATTGTACAGCCAAGATGTCTTGGAATGAAAACCACTTGAATGAACCACTAGTACCAACCATTTGGATCAAATACCAGGATCACCCACTTAGTTGCGTCAGTGATTCTGTGTATATATAAGATACTTGGATACAGTGGAACCAGCAGTGGTTGGTCACAAGTTCATGTTAGTGTTGTGGCTGACTTTGCCAGATCCAGGGCATGAGAAACGGCTTATGTTGTACATACTGAAGCAGCTGGGGTAGCCCAGTGGTTGAAGTGTTTGGTCGTCATGCCTATGACCCGGGTTCGATTCCCAACATGGCAACAATGTGTAAAGTGCAGTGATATTGCTAAAAGCGGCATAAAACCCAACTCCTCACACACTCGCTGAAGCTGCTAATGTTACAAGGAACTGGTGCTAGAGCTTATTATGAATCTGGTGAATTAACTGGGAAATCTCAGAAAGTGTGAGATGTTGTGTGTCTGAGGTACGATTGGAGTGATGTCTTGTATCTTGGCTGATTGGGAATTGTAGTTCCCTTTGCACAGGTACTCATAATGTCAACCACTGGTTTGCTTGGTCCAGGCTTCATTATCTACAGACTGCATTGAAATAGCAGTAATATTGCTGACTGTGGCATTATGCAACATTCGATCGCTCACTTGGATGGTTGGGGTGCTGCAATTTGTTGTACAGAGTTGTGTCCCTTGGTCATGCCAGGAACCTGTGATTGAATTTGAATCCATGTTTGCCCTGATTTTGCTTCAGTTTTGTTTTTTCAGTTCAATACGTGTGCTCATGGGGTTTCAAGTTCAATACCTGTGCCCATGGGTTTTCAAGTTCAATATCTGTGCTCATGGGTTTTCAGTTCAATACCTGTGCTCATGGGTTTCAGTTCAATACCTGTGCCCATGGGTTTTCAGTTCAATACCTGTGCTCATGGGTTTCAGTTCAATACCTGTGCCCTTAGTTTTCAAGTTCAATACCTGTGCCCATGGGTTTTCAGTTCAGTACCTGTGCTCATGGGTTTCAGTTCAGTACCTATGCCCATAGTTTTCAGTTCAGTACCTGTGCTCATGGGTTTTCAGTTCAATACCTGTGCCCATAGTTTTCAGTTCAGTACCTGTGCTCATGGGTTTTCAGTTCAGTGCCTGTGCTCATGGGTTTCAGTTCAATACCTGTGCCCATAGTTTTCAAGTTCAATACCTGTGCCCATGGGTTTTCAGTTCAATACCTGTGCCCATAGTTTTTAGTTCAGTACCTGTGCTCATGGGTTTTCAGTTCAATTCCTGTGCCCATAGTTTTCAGTTCAGTACCTGTGCTCATGGGTTTCAGTTCAGTACCTATGCCCATAGTTTTCAGTTCAGTACCTGTGCTCATGGGTTTTCAGTTCAATACCTGTGCCCATAGTTTTCAGTTCAGTACCTGTGCTCATGGGTTTCAGTTCAGTACCTATGCCCATAGTTTTCAGTTCAGTACCTGTGCTCATGGGTTTTCAGTTCAATACCTGTGCCCATAGTTTTCAGTTCAGTACCTGTGCTCATGGGTTTTCAGTTCAGTGCCTGTGCTCATGGGTTTCAGTTCAATACCTGTGCCCATAGTTTTCAAGTTCAATACCTGTGCCCATGGGTTTTCAGTTCAATACCTGTGCCCATAGTTTTTAGTTCAGTACCTGTGCTCATGGGTTTTCAGTTCAATACCTGTACCCATAGTTTTTAGTTCAGTACCTGTGCTCATGGGTTTCAGTTCAATACCTGTGCTCATTGGTTTCAGTTCAATACCTGTGCCCATGGGTTTTCAGTTCAATACCTGTGCTCATGGGTTTTCAGTTCAATACCTGTGCTCATGGGGTTTCAAGTTCAATACCTGTGCCCATGGGTTTTCAGTTCAATACCTGTGCTCATGGGTTTCAGTTCAATACCTGTGCCCATAGTTTTCAGTTCAGTACCTGTGCTCATGGGTTTCAGTTCAGTACCTATGCCCATAGTTTTCAGTTCAGTACCTGTGCTCATGGGTTTTCAGTTCATTACCTGTGCCCATAGTTTTCAGTTCAGTACCTGTGCTCATGGGTTTTCAGTTCAGTGCCTGTGCCCATAGTTTTTAGTTCAGTACCTGTGCTCATGGGTTTTCAGTTCAGTGCCTGTGCTCATGGGTTTCAGTTCAATACCTGTGCCCATAGTTTTCAAGTTCAATACCTGTGCCCATGGGTTTTCAGTTCAATACCTGTGCCCATGGGTTTTCAGTTCAATACCTGTGCCCATAGTTTTTAGTTCAGTACCTGTGCTCATGGGTTTTCAGTTCAATTCCTGTACCCATGGGTTTTCAGTTCAATACCTGTGCTCATGGGTTTTCAGTTCAATACCTGTGCTCATGGGGTTTCAAGTTCAATACCTGTGCCCATGGGTTTTCAGTTCAATACCTGTGCTCATGGGTTTCAGTTCAATACCTCTGCCCATAGTTTTCAGTTCAGTACCTGTGCTCATGGGTTTCAGTTCAGTACCTATGCCCATAGTTTTCAGTTCAGTACCTGTGCTCATGGGTTTTCAGTTCAATACCTGTGCCCATAGTTTTCAGTTCAGTACCTGTGCTCATGGGTTTTCAGTTCAATACCTGTGCCCATAGTTTTTAGTTCAGTACATGTGCTCATGGGTTTTCAGTTCAATTCCTGTACCCATGGGTTTTCACTTCAATACCTGTGCCCATGGGTTTTCAGTTCAATACCTGTGCCCATGGGTTTTCAAGTTCAATACCTGTACCCATGGGTTTTCAGTTCAATACCTGTGCCCATGGGTTTCAGTTCAATACCTGTGCCCATGGGTTTCAGTTCAATACCTGTGCCCATGGGTTTTTAGTTCAATACCTGTGCCCATGGGTTTCAGTTCAATACCTGTGCCAATGGGTTTTGAGTTCAGTACCTGTGCCCATGGGTTTTCAGTTCAATACCTGTACCCATTGGTTTTTCAGAACAATACCTGTGCCCATGGGTTTTCAGTTCAATACCTGTGCTCATGGGTTTCAGTTCAATACCTGTGCCCATAGTTTTTAGTTCAGTACCTGTGCTCATGGGTTTTCAGTTCAATTCCTGTGCCCATGGGTTTTCAGTTCAGTACCTGTGCTCATGGGTTTCAGTTCAATACCTGTGACCATAGTTTTTAGTTCAGTACCTGTGCTCATGGGTTTTCAGTTCAATTCCTGTGCCCATGGGTTTCAGTTCAATACCTGTGCTCATGGGTTTCAGTTCAATACCTGTGCTCATGGGTTTCAGTTCAATACCTGTGCTCATGGGTTTTGAGTTCAATACCTGTGACCATAGTTTTCAGTTCAGTACCTGTGCTCATGGGTTTTCAGTTCAATACCTGTGCCCATAGTTTTTAGTTCAGTACCTGTGCTCATGGGTTTCAGTTCAATACCTGTGCTCATGGGTTTCAGTTCAATACCTGTGCCCATGGGTTTTCAGTTCAATACCTGTGCCCATGGGTTTTCAGTTCAATACCTGTGCCCATGGGTTTTCAGTTCAATACCTGTGCCCATGGGTTTTCAAGTTCAATACCTGTACCCATGGGTTTTCAGTTCAATACCTGTGCCCATGGGTTTCAGTTCAATACCTGTGCCCATGGGTTTCAGTTCAATACCTGTGCCCATGGGTTTTTAGTTCAATACCTGTGCCCATGGGTTTCAGTTCAATACCTGTGCCAATGGGTTTTGAGTTCAATACCTGTGCCCATGGGTTTTCAGTTCAATACCTGTACCCATTGGTTTTTCAGAACAATACCTGTGCCCATGGGTTTTCAGTTCAATCCCTGTGCCCATGGGTTTTCAATACAATACCTGTGCCCATGGGTTTCAGTAAATACCTGTGCCCATGGGTGTCCCCAAAGTAGTAAACCACCTGCATCATTTCATGTTTTCCTCCCAAAGCTGACCCTGATATAACTGGAATACTGTTGAAAGCAGTGTTACACACCCAGTGTATTCTAGTGTGTGAGTGAGTTGAGTTTTATGACGCACTCAGCAATAGTCCAGCTATATGGCAGCTTCTGGTATGTGAGTGTATGATAATTATATTCAGCTTTTGAAGCACATGGCTCGAAAGTGTGAAGGCAGCCGAAAGAGTTATTTTGTACATACAGTGTTTTAGTGGATAGCTGCTTTATACAAGGTGTATAAAAGTGCTACTGAAATAAACTGTGAAAACATAGATAGTCTGTCTTCGTCTCTCACAACATGAGTAGCCTTTAGGAGATAAACACCGGGTGTTATTGAGTATTTGAAGCACGGGAATTCATTTGGAACCGACGGCGTTAGCCGGAGGTTTCAAATTAAATATTTCCGTGCTTCAAATACTCAATAACACAATAACACTCAAATACAGATTATTCACCTTGGCAACAGGAGACTTGTATTGTGAGTAGTATGATAGAGACTAATACTGTTAATCACTGGTGCACATTGTGAAAAGATTGGTCACCTTAGCAACAGAAGACTTGTATTGTGAGTAGTGTGATAGAGACTAATACTGTTAATCACTGGTGCACATTGTGAAAAGATTGGTCACCTTAGCAACAGGAGACTTGTATTGTGAGTAGTGTGATAGAGACTAATACTGTTAATCACTGGTGCACATTGTGAAAAGATTGGTCACCTTAGCAACAGAAGACTTGTATTGTGAGTAGTATGATAGAGACTAATACTGTTAATCACTGGTGCACATGTGAATAGATTGGTCACCTTAGCAACAGAAGACTTGTATTGTGAGTAGTATGATAGAGACTAATACTGTTAATCACTGGTGCACATTGTGAAAAGATTGGTCACCTTAGCAACAGAAGACTTGTATTATGAGTAGTATGATAGAGACTAATACTGTTAATCACTGGTGCACATTGTGAAAAGATTGGTCACCTTAGCAACAGAAGACTTGTATTGTGAGTAGTATGATAGAGACTAATACTGTTAATCACTGGTGCACATTGTGAAAAGATTGGTCACCTTAGCAACAGAAGACTTGTATTGTGAGTAGTATGATAGAGACTAATACTGTTAATCACTGGTGCACATTGTGAAAAGATTGGTCACCTTAGCAACAGAAGACTTGTATTGTGAGTAGTATGATAGAGACTAATACTGTTAATCACTGGTGCACATTGTGAAAAGATTGGTCACCTTAGCAACAGAAGACTTGTATTGTGAGTAGTATGATAGAGACTAATACTGTTAATCACTGGTGCACATTGTGAAAAGATTGGTCACCTTAGCAACAGAAGACTTGTATTGTGAGTAGTATGATAGAGACTAATACTGTTAATCACTGGTGCACATTGTGAAAAGATTGGTCACCTTAGCAACAGAAGACTTGTATTGTGAGTAGTATGATAGAGACTAATACTGTTAATCACTGGTGCACATTGTGAAAAGATTGGTCACCTTAGCAACAGAAGACTTGTATTGTGAGTAGTGTGATAGAGACTAATACTGTTAATCACTGGTGCACATTGTGAAAAGATTGGTCACCTTAGCAACAGAAGACTTGTATTGTGAGTAGTGTGATAGAGACTAATACTGTTAATCACTGGTGCACATTGTGAAAAGATTGGTCACCTTAGCAACAGAAGACTTGTATTGTGAGTAGTATGATAGAGACTAATACTGTTAATCACTGGTGCACATGTGAATAGATTGGTCACCTTAGCAACAGAAGACTTGTATTGTGAGTAGTATGATAGAGACTAATACTGTTAATCACTGGTGCACATTGTGAAAAGATTGGTCACCTTAGCAACAGAAGACTTGTATTGTGAGTAGTATGATAGAGACTAATACTGTTAATCACTGGTGCACATTGTGAAAAGATTGGTCACCTTAGCAACAGAAGACTTGTATTGTGAGTAGTATGATAGAGACTAATACTGTTAATCACTGGTGCACATTGTGAAAAGATTGGTCACCTTAGCAACAGAAGACTTGTATTGTGAGTAGTATGATAGAGACTAATACTGTTAATCACTGGTGCACATTGTGAAAAGATTGGTCACCTTAGCAACAGAAGACTTGTATTGTGAGTAGTATGATAGAGACTAATACTGTTAATCACTGGTGCACATTGTGAAAAGATTGGTCACCTTAGCAACAGAAGACTTGTATTGTGAGTAGTATGATAGAGACTAATACTGTTAATCACTGGTGCACATTGTGAAAAGATTGGTCACCTTAGCAACAGAAGACTTGTATTGTGAGTAGTATGATAGAGACTAATACTGTTAATCACTGGTGCACATTGTGAAAAGATTGGTCACCTTAGCAACAGAAGACTTGTATTGTGAGTAGTGTGATAGAGACTAATACTGTTAATCACTGGTGCACATTGTGAAAAGATTGGTCACCTTAGCAACAGAAGACTTGTATTGTGAGTAGTGTGATAGAGACTAATACTGTTAATCACTGGTGCACATTGTGAAAAGATTGGTCACCTTAGCAACAGAAGACTTGTATTGTGAGTAGTATGATAGAGACTAATACTGTTAATCACTGGTGCACATGTGAATAGATTGGTCACCTTAGCAACAGAAGACTTGTATTGTGAGTAGTATGATAGAGACTAATACTGTTAATCACTGGTGCACATTGTGAAAAGATTGGTCACCTTAGCAACAGAAGACTTGTATTGTGAGTAGTATGATAGAGACTAATACTGTTAATCACTGGTGCACATTGTGAAAAGATTGGTCACCTTAGCAACAGAAGACTTGTATTGTGAGTAGTATGATAGAGACTAATACTGTTAATCACTGGTGCACATTGTGAAAAGATTGGTCACCTTAGCAACAGAAGACTTGTATTGTGAGTAGTATGATAGAGACTAATACTGTTAATCACTGGTGCACATTGTGAAAAGATTGGTCACCTTAGCAACAGAAGACTTGTATTGTGAGTAGTATGATAGAGACTAATACTGTTAATCACTGGTGCACATTGTGAAAAGATTGGTCACCTTAGCAACAGAAGACTTGTATTGTGAGTAGTATGATAGAGACTAATACTGTTAATCACTGGTGCACATTGTGAAAAGATTGGTCACCTTAGCAACAGAAGACTTGTATTGTGAGTAGTATGATAGAGACTAATACTGTTAATCACTGGTGCACATTGTGAAAAGATTGGTCACCTTAGCAACAGAAGACTTGTATTGTGAGTAGTATGATAGAGACTAATACTGTTAATCACTGGTGCACATTGTGAAAAGATTGGTCACCTTAGCAACAGAAGACTTGTATTGTGAGTAGTATGATAGAGACTAATACTGTTAATCACTGGTGCACATTGTGAAAAGATTGGTCACCTTAGCAACAGAAGACTTGTATTGTGAGTAGTATGATAGAGACTAATACTGTTAATCACTGGTGCACATTGTGAAAAGATTGGTCACCTTAGCAACAGAAGACTTGTATTGTGAGTAGTATGATAGAGACTAATACTGTTAATCACTGGTGCACATGTGAATAGTTTGGTCGCCTTGGCAACAGCAGACTTATATTGTGTATAGTATTATTGAAATTATTATTTTAAATAGGTTTGGCCAGCCTGGCACCATAGGTTGTTCAGAAGGCAACACATTTTTGTTTTAACAATTTTATTAACAAAGCTTGAGGTAAAAGAAGTTTGGACAAGACGTGGACACAACACGTGAAGTGATTGCTGTTACACACTGTTGCATACAGGACCTTCTACTGACAGATGAAACAGTTAAGTCTGGCTTTCCAATCAGAAGTATCTACTCAGATAACAACAAGAGAAAAATAGAGGTTGAAAACATGCATAATTTATCCTTTTGGGAGTGATGGAGACATTTCATTTACAACAAAATATAAATTTTATCACTCTTCTATAATATTAAACTCTCACAAAATTTATCAACATACCATCAAATTATTTTCAAATATCAAAATACTTTGGATTGTGACTTGATACATAGAAACAATGTGAATGTTGTATCGCTACGTCAGTGTAAAGCGTTGATGGGGCAGCTGGAAGGTTCAATATTCCAAGTTACTTGATTGACACAGTTAACTGCATATTTGGGCTGCGTATCGATATAGATCATAGAAATCTATCATAGTTAAATGAATATTGATCGATATTCTTTAAACATCAGAGAAGTAATTTTGAGCAAAAATTAAATTAAAAATCAGAAAGAAATCAACACATTTCACATCAGTTGTGAGGGGTGACATTTAGACTTAAATTACCTACAAACTACCATCCTGAACACTTCAGGTGCAACCCATGTGTACACACCGATCTTTATGTATTCTCTTAGTAAGTTTGAAAAGTATTTCATCATAGTTCATTTACAATATTATCGATTACACAATTTTCATATCGATAATCATTAATAATGATTCCCATTGACAACATTTCCGATCATCGATCTTTAGCAAGCCATACTCCTTGTACCATCATCTCACAACCTGACCATCACCTACACACATTTACTGTAAATATTTCGGCCACCTTAAAGCATCATGACAATTTTCATCTTGGTATATACAGTGATCTTATTACATATACATTTTAAAATTTGAAAATTATTCTCATTTTAAATGACTTTTCTCAAATTTCAGAATGAAAATTAGAAGACATCACTAAACTTCCACAGTTTTCTGTCAAAACAAGGACACATGGGTTAAACTTGTTAACAAAATAAAGACATTGTTAAGAAAAACAAAACAGAATATCACATGTGCTTTTGTAGGATCTTACAGAACATGCAGAATGATTTTCTAAAAATTTGCCTGAAAAGGGGATATAGATGTCTTTAATCTGACCACAATTTCATACAGATGTAAAAATCTCAATAAGACTGAATTATAAATTAGATTTGACAGAATGTATTGATACATTGGTCATAAAACTTTCAAAATTCTTAAATATCAGAGTCAAAATAATTATCATCTCGAATATTTCAAATCGTTGCGAATTGGGTACATTTTATTTGAAATTGAAATCTACTCCCCAAATTTGAAGTACCCAGGAGTCAATAAAACATCTAAACTTGGGCTTGTTCTGTCACCATTCCTCCTGGGGAGGTTCCTCTTTGCAGGGCTTGGAGTTCCGGTTCTGGGGTTCCGACCATGTTGGCTGCAAAACCTGCTGCAGCTATCTCCGCTGGACACGTCGGCATTGTTGGGGATGGTGGTTTGGATGCGTGGGACGATGGACGCTGTGCATTCTCCATGCGTGATGCTCCCGGACGTGGCCATTCGATGGACTTGGGTGATGTGTTGGAGGCTGGGACGGGGTTCATTGCTCCAGATCGGATCCGAGATTCCACGATGGGCTCTCTGGCGCCTGATAATCTCCCTGTGGCAGATTTGGGTGTGGCTGGTTTGGGCGAGGCTGGTTTTAGAGTTGTACCTGCTATGATGTCATCAACACCGTCCTTGATCCGCTGTGGGGGAGGGATCTGTTCGAGGCAACAATGCATGCTTTTACCAGGTGGAATAGATAGCTATTTTCATATTCACTTAACAACCGCTTTACAGTTGTCTTCATGGCTGTGAAATAAATGTAACTGCATTTACCAGGTTTATTGACATACAGTCAAATCCCGATGAGTCGAATGCCGGTGTCTCGAATATTATGCATAACTCGAAGTACCTGTCGGTCCCGACCATTCCCTGTTATAGTTGTCATCATTTGATTCCCGGTTACACGAATTCGTCTCATAAATACACACGATGACTCGAGAAGGAAATTTGGTCCCATGAGATCCAAACAACAGCAATCTTGTATACATAAGCCGAAGTCAGTCAATGAGAAGTTGATTGGTGTAGCAAACTGATCCAATTAACAAACCAGCGTGACTCACACCTTTCCGCCATTGACGGGTGAGTTCAAAAGGCAGATTAGTGATTTTACGGAAATCACTGTCTGTGCTAATCAGACTGGAACTGATAAGGTGCCCCTATTAGTGATATGGAAATCATTAGATAAACAAATACTTAGGCGGAGGAATTAGGTCTGGATCATCTTATTTTTCTACCCTCATAGACATACCTATGTCTCGAATACATCGATAAGTCGAATTTATTACTTGGTCCCCAGCAATTCGACTCATCGGGATTTGACTGTATATCATAGGTTTAGTGAAGTTCATGATTAAGTAGTATTGGGAGCCTACACAATGATGAGAGTTGTCTCCCTTACCCTGCACCTCTTGCAGTGGTGGTATTTTGGAGCCTACACAATGATGAGAATTGTCTCCCTTACCCTGCACCTCTTGCAGTGATGGTATTTTGGAGCCTACACATTAATAAGAGTTGTCTCCCTTACCCTGCACCTCTTGAGTTGTCCACTGAGAATGATGTCTCCCTCTGTCTTCATCCTCACTAGCTTTTCCATAGCCCCTCCAGACCTGGCAGTGCTGTTAGTAATTTTGTTGCCTAGAGACAAGGGAGAGAACTACAGTGTCAGGATCACTGCATTACTTACAAGCTTGAGGAAAAATGGAATATGATGTGCCAATTAATCATCAGATTTATAAAACTGAGTTATACTTTGGATATGATGGATAGGAAAAAATCAACTTGTCGTGAGTTTACTATTACCGGAGTTATACTTTGGATATGATGGATAGGAAAAAATCAACTTGTCGTGAGTTTACTATTACCGTCTGTGAGACAGACTACATGGATGTGGAATTCCTTTGTAACCCCAACACTGATGGGAAATACAAGAATTCTCTCATACGGAAGATCATTATGATCATCACTTTTGTAAAATCTTCTCACTATAGAACTGTGAGTTGCTCTTCATTGATCAAAACAAACTAGACTTTGTCATAAATGGATCAACCAAGTGCAAACCTGATCACCGCATCCCGCTATTACGATAAGCATGGCTGCCAAGGTCTAGATCTAAATAAGTTCATCACGAGTCTCACCCATCTGGAGTACTTTTGATCAACTCCAACCATTAACAATGCGCTTGCTCTGCTTTCATACAGGTTTTGATATACAGATTGAATTATGATGATTTGATATTACAAGTTTATGATTCACGTGTCTCTGTATGATTATATCTTAAATATTGAGAACAAAATCTGTACTATCCTTGTCTGTTGCAATTTGTTGGTTTGTTTGTTTTATGGTGCACTCGGGCAAGTCAGCAATATTCCAGACTGACTGTTAAAGGCAAAGGGATATGAAGCATAGGCGAATCCAGGAATTTTCAATCCCCCCTTGGCTCTGCCAGAGCAAAACATTAGCTTCAAACCTCTGGAACCCCTGCCTTGGATCTGCCAAGGCAACAGAGCCAGTGAGCCGGAACACCCGATCCCCATAGTCACCTCTCACTGTGACAAGTTTAACATGCGTCAGGATGGCCCCTCACCTGGAACTTTGGTGGGCATGTCCCACGTGCCCACAAATGATCCCCATGGTGAAGAACGGTCTCTTTTCACGCCAGGGCACAGGTGACCGCGGTCTGAGGCGATGATCTGAGTGAATCCGTCACGAGAAGATGGATACTGTAAACATACACAAACAGATTAATAGACCAGTACAAATATTTTTCAGTATTATTTTAGTTCATTGTTTAATAATTTTTCCCACAGTATCATATGAAAAATCAATTTGAGGTTTAAAAATGTTATCAGTCTATGAATAGGCAGATAATACAACCTTGAAGAAGAAGAAAGAGAAGGAACCAACAAAGATGACAATGCCAAAGGAGGTTGGTTGGTTTACGTCATACTCAGCAATATTCCAGCTATATGGCGGCGGTCTCTAAATAATTAAGTCTGGACCAGTCAATCCAGTGATGAAGAGCATGAGCATTGAGCAACTGGGATACGATCACATGCCTCAGCCAAGTCAGCGAGCCTGACCTGGTGACCTGATCTCATTAGCTGACTCTTATGACAAGCATGGGTTGCTGAAAACCAAGTCTAACCCGGATCTTCATGAGTTTTAAAAAAAGGACTGACTGAGTTTAGTTTTACGCCGCTTTTAGCAATACTCCAGCAATATCACGGCGTGGGACACCAGAAATGGGCTTCACACAATGTACCCATGTGGGGATTCGAAGCCGGGTCTTCGGCGTGACAAGCCAATGCTTTAACCATTAGGCTACCCCACCGCCCCTTTAAAAGAAGGAGAACTAGAAAAGAGGAGGGGGAGCAGAAGAAGGAGGAGGATATAAAGCAATATTTTTAATGAACTTCACACTTTTTTGTGAAGTTGATTAAATTTTATTTGTGATGGATACTAGTAATAGTAACTGGGGATGAACAAATTTTCTGATTTCTATAGAAACTGGATTAACTAACTGGAAATGTCATTCATCTTCAGATGTATAAAGATTGCATTTATTGTACAAAATATTCTTGAATATTCAGCCCATGGCTAAAACATCAGAATTTACTTACTATGCAGATAAGATCTTTGTTTGGGCCTAACTCCATTATGTATTTCTCTGGTTGGAGTTCAGATTTGTATGTAGATTAATGGTTTAGAGGTGATGAAGAAATAATTACATCACGCCAGTTCTGAATCTATATATATCCACATCTTTGCATAGAACACTAAATAAAATTTGACATAATATTGTGTGATCAAAACATATGTGAATCAAGTTTCTAGAAGCAGTAAACGAATATTCATTACCCAGTTGTGGCTGCCATTTCTATTCTGTGATTTCATAACATGATTTTGGGTATCAATAAATCTCCATTTACAACAGTCTGCTCCAATACTTTAAAGCACAAAGATGAATTATATATATTTGGAAGGAACGACAGAAACTGCTTTTAAAAAATTGTACACACAATTTGTTTTATTTATCCATTGATTCATCCATTTTGGCTTGTAGTACAATATTTAGTGAAACATTTACATCCTGAGGCTGGCTAAAATGACTGATACTTGGAAATATCGTCGATAGGAAAACATATTAATTATTATTGATATAAAAATTGTGTTATTCATAATATCGTACATTATGTGATGGAAAAAGGTTTTAATTTTATCACACAATATACAAAGTTTGGACTTTATTCATGGTCTGCTTCCAAATTATGTTCAGGAGGCGGTTTTGTTAAAGATCCATGCACCACTCATCAGTGATATGAAAAATATTCCTTTCTTTAGACATTTTTGGCAATTTTGCTCAAAGTTATGTCTCTGATATTTATCGATATAGATCTTAGAGATCAATAACCATTAACTAAATATCGATCGATACTATTTGAGGTCAAGAGTGTATATTACTCACACATCCAAATCCTTTTGGCACTTCCCAGTTCTTCAATGTCTTGAAAGCATTTTCATACTGGAAGCAGAATAAAGAACGGATGATAATAACAATAACAGCATGATAAGAGAGCCAAGGCATCAATATTTACAAGTACTTACCATGTTGTTTAACACCCCACTCAGCAATATTCCATCTATATGGCATTCATAATAAAAGACTGGGAACACTTGCATTACATCAGATACCTGTAGTCCATTTGCATCAAATAAAGTGACATAAGAATTGCTCATAAAAAAATAAAATGGAAAACTCTGACAAAACAACAGCATGCATTTGTAGTTTTCAATACTGTTCAACCTCAAAATTGAATATTAATGCAATTCTTAAACATCCAAAATCAGATATCAATATCGTAAAAGAAGGTCCAAAATGGCTCAAAAAGGGAGCAGTTAAAAATACCTCATGTCAGAATGGGCTCATAAAGTAAAGTCACAGAAAAAAATATAAATGGCCACAATCCATAATGAAATATTGTGTGGCAACCTTTCTACTTAAAAAAGGGGGATAAAAACTGAAAATCATCATACAAAATGTTCCTTCTGCAAGTGTAGTTTAGCATGATTAACCATGACACTGAATATCAAAGAAATTCTAAACCAGTGAAAATGAACAGACAAAGTAAGAATCCTACATGATATTGTGTAGATTAACATGATTAAACCATGACAAAGAATATCAAAGCATTTCGAAAATAATTAAAATAATAAAATAATGAAAATCAGACATCACCATTCAAAATATTCTAAAAAAAAGAAGGTCCATATTTAGCATTTAATTGCCCCATCATAATTTTAACAAACATATAGATCAGGTATTTTTTATAAACTGTTGTAACTAAAAATGATGACGCTTACTTACAAAAGCATTTTCTACGAGGGTGAGTGAGTGGGTTTAGTTTTACTCCACTTTTAGCAATAGTCCAGCAATACCATGGCAGAGGACACCAGAAATGGACTTCCCACATTGCACCCATACAGGGGAATCGAACCTGGGTCTTCGGCGTGACAAGCAAATGCTTAACCACAGGGCTACCCCACCACCCCTTTTCTACAAGTTGTTGTAATGATGCCCATTGATCAAATCTATTGTAAATAATAAGCGACACAGCTGAAAATGAAGGCTGAAGAATTCAGAAATCATAACCCAGGAAACTTGTGCATGCCCCTTACCAAAACATGGGGGAATATACTAGTATTTGTTATACTGCAATATTGCCTGACAATTTTTGTCTGTTTCTCTTTTGTGACTTTTCAGTTTTGGAGTAATTATGACACAGGGATTGGGAAAGGCAGGGGCCATGGGCCATTTTGCACATTAGAATAAAAAATGGCCCATTAAAAATTTGAAGTTTACTATTCATACAAGGGCAGCGGCCCATTCTAAATTAAGAAAATGGCTAATAATCCTTAAAATGGCCCATTGATCCCTGATGACATAAGATCATTTTGACTACCAATCCATATTTGGTATTTACTCTTGTACTTTGTAGATCTAACTGAGATGAGTTCAGTGACACAAATTTATGAAAGTATTTTGATAATAATAACAGTTTGTTTAACAGTCTATTTGAAAACGGCAGTTGCAAAACTGGGAAAGCATTACGAATAAAGGTGCTTTTGCACATCTGTAATCTAGCATGGCCACTGCAATCTAACCAAAGGTGTTGCCAAAACAGCAGTTTTGTACATGAAATAATTAAGATTATGCTTGAAAATATTGATTTTGTACATGATATGCGAGGTGGGATGGGGGTGTCACTTACTTACTTTTTACATAAATTTAGGGGGTTATTCACATTGTACATGCTTCTCCATAAAAATCATCATTAGCCATAAATTATGAACGGTCCCTATGCAACGACACACATCCAGAACTCACTGCTGAAATTCCATATTGTACACAAGATTTAATTTACATCATATCTGAAAAAGTACTGGCAGGATAGAGAGCAGATAATACAGATAGGTATACGATATATCAGACTTTAGCCGAGAGCCGCGACGCGGTCCTATACAGTTAAGACATGACCCTGCATCATGTCTTGACTGTTTTGGACCGCGTCGCGGCTCTCGGCTAATCAGACTTCAGCCATCGATCTAATTTTGTTCCCGAAAACCTTTATGATTTTAAGTAATTCTACATGATTATATAATATTGTAACTGTTTACCTGGTTTGCACTGAAATTGATGCTCATCTTGCCCGGTATCTGGGTAAAAAACGGTGCCCCAAAATGACCGGATTCCCTTATCCCAGGAAGTGACTGTGAAACACTCAGCCCGTTGTCAAAACAACCTTTCCCGTCTCCAAGTACGCTGCAGTAAATGAATAACAACTTCCGTTACAAATAAGATATTTCTCGTATTTTCGGTTTGAGATACTCCCAAGGGAAAGTAAAGTTGGACGAAAATACTGAACAGAATATGATGACATATAAGAAGTATATGTTAACACCTGCAAATTATTTTTATGCTGATCTACGATTGGGTCAAGCCCACGCGTTTCCGGTTTGAACGAAGCCCGAAAGTGATCGGATAATTTGGAAATATTAACCAAAAATGACATTTTTTTCACTTCGGAAATTGTGTTGCTCTTGCTTACATTCCATATGTAATCCTATACAAGTGTTCAGGACTGTAAGTTGATATTATTTTTTATCATTTCATCACTGCGATTTAATCGAACTGTTTCTAACCGGCTTACACGAAAGGCCAGTACCTTACAGTTTTGTCGACAACATTACTTGTATTCTCTAAAGCCGGCCGGTACAACAGCCAGAGCTGTGAACTGACACAAGAATTTGATGTGAAATAGGAATGGCACTATCAATACATTTTATACTTTTGCGGAGACGATTATGATTTAAAATGCCGATTAGTTGTCTATTTGTCAACTTTCATCTCTGAGATGTTGCAGAAAATAAATAAGGTGCATGATGGATCTGTATGGGTGACTGGTATCAGCTCAGCAATATGCTCATCAATGCGCAATATACTATGAGTTATGGTCATCTTCATCACAGAGAGATCCTGGTCACAGACTTGATCAAGTTGATGAATTGTCCCAGCATTTGTTGAGCCCTGATCTGATAGATAAGCGTCAACTGGTTTCTGGTAGCTTAAAAGCCATTTGATCATTTTCATGCTTATACTGATGATGAGGTTTTGAAAATTATGTTGGTGATTGGATGCCACGTGAATCTTTGAAAACGTTTTTCCAGTTCTGTAGTTTCCTTCTCAGGCTGATGTAATACTGTTGCCAAAGGGGTAACAGCCTTCATAACATACATTTTTAGGGTGGCATACTATCCTAGTGGTTAAGACATCTACTGGTCACGTCGAAGGCCCGGGTTCGATTCCTCTGATGGGTACAAGAAACATTGTGTGAAGCCCATTTCTGATGTCCCCATCGTGATATTGCTGGAATATTGCTAAAAGCGGTGTAAACTCACTCATAAACGTTTCATTTCAGGGCAGAGTACAGTGCATTCTGGAAATGTGTTCAGGCCGGTGGAGCTTACATGTTCACCCAGCTGGTGAAGATGCTGATCCTAGCCACTTTTTTCCCAGCATCAGAGGTGCCGATTGGTGGGCTGGATGTCACAGGGGTAAGTCATTCATAGAGTTGTAACGATATGGTGTAACCACAATATAACACGGTTGGCAATTTTGCGCTGATCCACAGATTTCCACCAATTTTATTTCAAACTGATCAGTTAGATTCCCCTTGTGAATTGAACCCCATTCGATGGCACAATATTAAGTTTTCAGCTGAAAATAGATTTTCCTGTTGCCATCCCTGATATAATGCGTGTCCCGATGATTAGTTTTGTAAAAGTTCATCAAGTTAAAGGATTGTGCCGTTATATGATGAATACAGAAATGGCCGAGGCCTGGGATTGAAAATGATGTCAGGTGAAACTGGTAGATCTTGCATTTTATCAATATTTTAAATTAATGTAATTCCAGATGGTCATGAAGAGATTTCACACCCTAAAAGACACAATGTCACACATTTTCGACAATATTTTGGCCTATATTTTATATACTGGGCGCTTTAGCTTCCTATTGATGGAATAAAAGACTTATTATCCCTTATGACTTGCCTGAAATCGATAATTGAAACAGCTTCCAAACAGTTAACAATTGCCATGTATGGAATGTATTGTAAGCCGTTGCTCCATACATAAAAAACTATAGCACATGGTGTTGTCGGTGTTTCCTGAGCTAGTTTCAATCACAAATTGTGCGTAGGATATTTGTAAAGACTAAATGAGCGCACCAAGGGACATAACTCTATGGATCTTTGCTTGAAATAATGTTCAGCTGGAAGATGGTGCGAGAGTCGATAAGATGCAACGTTGCATTAATTCATTCAAACTTTTTAATTTAACATTGCTATCTAAGTACTTAATTTTTTATAAATAAATTATATGATAGATTCCCTAAGGGCTGATAGTTAGTATTATCGAGGTAAATGCATTATGTGTTTTTGGAGAAGTGTGGTGTGACATTGTGCCTTTAATGTAAAATATATGAAAAAAAAAAGTTTTTACCTCATATTATCTGATTTGATCAGTTGACAATCTATGGATATAGTTATGAAAGCGACTCATTCATCACTGCACACAATTCTTTAGTAGCCAATGCAAGCATTTTGATTTGTAAATGTATTTGTTATTGTAAACCAAAAGTCACTATGTTCTTTAATCTGATTGGTTGATAAACATGATCAAATGGTATTCGATTCCCGGAAATTTGCTGCGTATTAATGCATACAAACATCGCTCACACCATTGTATTGTTACGTCGTCAGCTGAGAAGACGTCATTCAAATCATATTGTGACGTAAAGTCCGAATGACGTCACAAATGAACAGTTCCAGATGGTACCATGGGAGACAGCCGAAACACCCGGCTGATGACATTGCACTGCTGTACCCATACTCTATGTCAATGAGTGCAGACACAAAAACGTGTGTGGACCTTTTGGTTTACTTTTGTGTTTACAATGTCGATAAACATGTGTTTGCCAATTTCCGGGTGTTATTGAGTATTTGAAGCACGGGAATATTTCATTTGAAAGCTCCGGCTGACGCCGTCGGTTCCAAATGAATTCCCGCGCTTCAAGTACTCAATAACACCCGGAAATTGGTCAACACATGATGTTTATCTCCTAAGCGAATATTGATTTATGAATCTAACACATGATCTAATTATGTTGAAAATTTGTTTGCAAAGTTTTATGTGGCGGTGTTTCAGTTTTGGATTGTTTTGCTTCAGGAGTTCCTCAAGTGCACGGTTGACCTGGCGGATCTGGTCGGCATCCATTTTGTCATGTCCCGGATTGCAGGGAAGGGTCAGCTGAAGTTCATGATAGCTGGCATGGGGTGGGCCACAGCAGAGCTTGTCATGACCAGGTACAACCCCCAGTGGGGATTATGCGTCTTAATCCGACTAGGGATCATTGGGATTCTGGGTTAGAATCAGATCCCAGAGACTGGCTGGTTGTGAAAGGTAACTTAAGTCATGGCCCAGTGGTTAAGGCATTCGTTCGTCATACTGAAGACCTGGGTTCGATTGGGCACAATGTGTGAATCCCCATTTCTTGTGTCCCCTGCTGTGATATTGCTTTAACATGTTTAATATTGGTAAAAGCGGCGTAAAACTAAACTCACTCACTCAGTGTAGTGTTTAAACAACACACATGTGCATGCATTACAAGGCATTGGTCTGCCATCCTGATAAACTGCAATTGTGTTTTATTCTAGGGCTGGCTAAAAAATTATCGATAATCGGAAATATCCATAGCAACAATTATTAATGATTATCAGTGTAAAAACTGAGTCGTTGATTATATCGAACATTAACTTTTGTGATAGAAAATGTGTGCGGGATGCTGTTTTGTTAATAATCCATACACAAATATGTAACCACTCACCAGTGATGTGAAATATATTCATTTCTTTTAGTCATTTTTGGCATTTTGACATCTCCGCTATAAGCGATGATCGATATTTAGTTCATGATCTTATCTCAATGATCTATATTGATAGCCAGTCCTATTTTTTTTCAACTTTCTGTTTTGTCTCGTTATTTACCATGCTTACAAGCCTTAATATAGCTGATATTCATTATCTGTAGGGCCGGTGGGGTAGCCTAGTGGTTAAGGCGTTTGCTTGTCACACTGAAGACCCGGGGATTGATTCCCCATGTGGGCAATTAATCCAATCCTGGTGTCCTCTGATGTGATATTGCTAGAAGTGGCTTAAAACTAAGCTCTCTCACTCACTGAAACTCATTATTTGTGGGCAGGTTTCTACCCCTCTGGGTCGGAGCAAGAGGTGTGGAGTTTGACTGGAAGTATGTGCAGATGAGCTTCGACTCCAATGTTAGCCTCGTGAGTATCCCATCACACTCACATTATGAACATTTCTCAGAAGTTACAATGCATCTTTTAAAACTGTGTATTGAGGAGAGAAATTCTTTAGTGTTCTTGTGTTGAATTTTTATATATTATATATGTAACAGGCAGCTTGGGTTATCCGGGGTAATAATAATCAGGGTGTTCGCGCTTTGAGCATGTTTTGTTGCGTGGAGATTAGCGCATTATAAGACTTCTCATTATTATTATTATTATTATTATTTTTTATGTGAAACGGTGTCCTGTAAATCAATAAATATGAGCAGTGAAATGTATCGTGTGTGTCAGTTTTGTATTGACCAAATCCTTTCAACGTACAAAGTTTTCTTGGCGTTTGTTATCAGTGGTCCATTGACCTCACTGTAGGTCACATGCTGTTGATCACTGGATTGTCTGGTCCAGACTCTATTATTTACAGACTGCCGTCATAGCTAGCATATTGCTGAGTGCTGCGTAAAACTAAACTCACTCATTCACTGCAGGTCACAATGTTAAGTACTCGAAAGAGGTAGTACAGAGTTCTGTCCCTTAGCTGTTGAAGGATCTTTTGGTCATGGATTTGAAACCTTGATTCTTGGACTGTCAGCACCATAGTCTAGTTCATGGAGTTTACCAAGTGGTGGTGGTATAGTTTAATGGCGACTTGGACCAGAAATATGGTCTATTTGCACCCATTTACCTCAGCCGCAACTATGAACAATTTGCCTTTTGATTAGGGCTTGGACGATTCACCGATGCATCGCGATACATTTAAGTTTGATAAAGCTATCGTATTGTCGACTGGTGTATCGATACAAAATGATACACAACTTTTTTTTAAAACAGTATTATCTTAAACATGTTACAATATTTAGAGAAAAATATGCAAGCATGATAGACTTACTTGTTTGTTTATTCAGGGGTTCAATTTTTTTTTTAAAAGCCACTTGCCACAGGGCAAGTGACTTTAGGAAAATAACTTGTTCTGACTAATTATCCACTCGCCCTGATTTTATGACATAATTATGATGATGTAATTATGAAAGAAGAAATCAACATCATATTTGATGTTAATGTTTACTGGAGTATTTATTGAAAAGTGATAAATAGCAAAGAAAGATAACTCTACTTTATCATCATTGCGAAATTTAATAGCTACGCTTTGAGCAGATATGAAATTAAATCAAAGATTATTTGCAGTTTGAAACCATAAGTGGAAATTTTCTAGTAGCTCACGGACAAGTAAGATACCATTATTTAATTGCCCGAAATGAAAACTGACTTGTCCCAGGCGTAGGGCGATGGGATTTTTGAACCCCTGTTAGTACAATAGTGTTATTGTTAAGCACAAATACATTTTACATCTTGATACCGTGTCATTCTTTCAAGGTGTATGTATTGTGATATGTATCGTATCGCAGGTAAAATATCGCGATATGTATCGTATCGTGACATAGTGTATCGTCCCAGTCCTACTTTTGTTATCCTTCTGAGTTATATGCCTTGATATAACCGAAACATGCTTCAAATCAACATAGCACTCATTTTTACTATCATGGATGTGTTTGTTTCAGATCCATCACATCAGTATGGCCATGTTGGTCTGGCTGTACTGTCGTAGTGACCTGCAGAAGTCGCTGGTCCCCATCGTCATGGCCCTGTTGGCTCTCGGCTGTTACAGGCCCCTCATTGTAGAGTGAGTACCATGTTATAGTGGGGTAGTGTAGCTGTTACTGCCCCCTCATTGTAGAGTGAGTACCATGTTATAGTGGGGTAGTGTAGCTGTTACTGCCCCCTCATTGTAGAGTGAGTACCATGTTATAGTGGGGTAGGGTAGCTGTTACTGCCCCCTCATTGTAGAGTACCATGTTATAGTGGGGTAGTGTAGCTGTTACAGGCCCCTCATTGTAGAGTGAGTACCATGTTATAGTGGGGTAGTGTAGCTGTTACTGCCCCCTCATTGTAGAGTGAGTACCATGTTATAGTGGGGTAGTGTAGCTGTTACTGCCCCCTCATTGTAGAGTGAGTACCATGTTATAGTGGGGTAGGGTAGCTGTTACTGCCCCCTCATTGTAGAGTACCATGTTATAGTGGGGTAGTGTAGCTGTTACAGGCCCCTCATTGTAGAGTGAGTACCATGTTATAGTGGGGTAGTGTAGCTGTTACTGCCCCCTCATTGTAGAGTGAGTACCATGTTATAGTGGGGTAGTGTAGCTGTTACTGCCCCCTCATTGTAGAGTGAGTACCATGTTATAGTGGGGTAGTGTAGCTGTTACTGCCCCCTCATTGTAGAGTGAGTACCATGTTATAGTGGGGTAGTGTAGCTGTTACTGCCCCCTCATTGTAGAGTGAGTACCATGTTATAGTGGGGCAGTCTAGCTGTTAAAGGCCCTCATTGTTAATTAACAAAATCCAAAATCCTTTAGATATTTTCTATATTTGTGTAAAAAGCAATATCCATTGCCTTAACCAAATACACATGAACAGTGAAGATAGCAATAACTGTGTGTAATTATGAAGACTTTCTTCATCCCTTTCAGAATTCTCATCCATGCTGTTGGGTTTGGATCATGGACATTGCTGATATCTAAAGCCGTTTTCACAGCCTGTGTTGCCATGGTATCGCTGCAGATGTATCTTGGAATCCCATCACAACTCCAGAATTCTTTCTACTGAGCTACACCAATGACAGTTATTTCCCTTGCAGTTGCCTCCCTTGAACGACTTTTGTGAGCCAGTATGAACAAGATATAGCAGCCATGCCTTTCAGGGTAGAAGGTAGCCTGCAGCTAAAAAATGTTAGGCAATGTTGAGGATGGAATGAAGGATATATGTTAACTTTAAGAATGTATTTTCTCTTGAAACTGGAAAATGTATGCAACCTGTGTCTAACTGTTATTTTGATGAACCTTTTAGAAAAATAACCTCAGGAATTGTTCTATAGTTTTTTGATACATACAGCTGAAAATATCTGTATTGAGTAAGACTGCAAGGTCCATGTGAAACTTCATCAGCAGGAATGATGGATCTATTCAAGAGCACACACCCTGTTATCACCTGCATGGAGGCAGCCATTTTGGTCAACTACAAAATTTAAACTGGCAGCTGGTTAACAGTAAAACTACGACTGTTTCCTCTGTAAAATATTTATGTGAACAAGGAATTAATGGGTTAATGCTGAAGAATCTGAGTTCCAAGAAGTACTGCTCCAGTATTCAATATTATAGGTTATACAACATACATGGAGGTTTGTACATAAGCTATAACGTGCTGGCTATCATCTGCAGCAGACTTGGGGAAAACTGGTTTCCACACAACATACTATTAATGTTCATGGCTTTATGTTGTATTCCTTACAACTGTGTAAATATACGACAAAGTTGCAAGTGAAGAGAGCGTAAGTTGCAGTATGTGTTAATTGTGTCTAACTGGATGAGTATGTCAAAGATTTGTTGAAGCCAAGAATCGTGGTCGTTTTGAGAGAGAATGAAAGTCAGACATTCATCCATTTTTGTCATCCGTCATGCCTGAGGAAAATGTATTTAGGTTGATTAATATATTCACGTAGTGTTTAGGCAAGTTTCCTTTTAGGGAGAGTTTTTATATCAGATCTGAATCAATTATAAGTCAGTAATAGTTTTATGATGCCTTGCACAAGCAGTATCATTAGTTTTTAGTGACTCTCTAATGATCTCCATCAAGACAAGCTAACTTAGTTGTGAGCACTTTTTCAGTCATGAACGTCATCCCTGTCCTTGTCACTATGGAAGCCCAGATGCTTAAGGTGCAATATCTACCTGAGTTATGTCCCTTAGTTGGCAGGATCTGCTGATGAGATCTGCCTCACCCAGATCCTTGGTATTTCAGTATCTGTGTTGAGGTGTTACCGGCATGACATAAGCGTTTCTCCCACGTTATGCTGACACGGGAAATGTTTAAACATTTTACAAATTTTGTATTCTTTTATGATTCAATACAGGATACATAATTCTTTTATAATTTTCTGTCACTGCCAAGATGTTTTGAGTCAACTTGCCAGAATATAGCATCGAGCATTATTTCCGGTAGCGTCTAATCAACGTCCAGTTGTGACGAGTCGTTTCCAAGTGGAGGAAATCTCTGGAGCTTGTTACCATGACTACCACTCCTAGAGATGTGACACTGACATGGGAAGGTGGCGATGGTGGTGGAAACCACTTGGGTGTGTTTGGATGAGGTGTTTTGAAACTGTTCTAGTGTGCAAACCATGTTTCCACAGATGCTCAATAGACAATATGTGAGATGGGATAAGTATTTGAAATACAATTTATTTAAAAAAATCCGCTAAGGTCATAATACAATTAATTACATCAATAAATACAGAAAAGAATATCTGTGTACTACCAAACCTCAAACCTCCACTGAAGGAAGTACCAACTAATAAGAAGGGAGATAACTCAGTAATCATCCAACCACACTGAGTTGTGGCACCTTATGCTGGGTACCCACCGTAGTAACCAGAAAGTAGTGTAAAGCTGTGAGACTGTAACCAGGTGTATATTGTGTGCATGTGCCCCGGAGTGTTTATTATATTTATAGTGGTATCGTAAGGATGATCACATTGCCATTGTGAGCACTGGATTGTCAGACTTGCCCAAGTCTGGTTGGTCTCCTTGGCTCACCATGCATAAAAATATAGTCAGGTTTTTGTGTTTTAGGATGTCATATGGATATGAGAGGTCCAATGATAATAATAATAATAATAATAAATGTGCATTTATAATGCGCGCAATCCAGACAGATATGCCTGCTCAAGGCGCTACAAGGGGATTGTATAAAGATAAAAGTCAGGGAGTGTTGACTGGATTTAAATGTCACTATGATGATGACCCACAGAAAAAATATTCTTGGATACGGAACTATCAATTGCCAAACAGACTTGGGAATGTCTAATGGATTATGCATGTATGGTCCGTAAGGTTGAGTAATAAATGTCTTATGTGAACAGACTTGAGGTGTTGTTTTTATTTATTTTATTTTTTTTGTTTGCTTTGGTTCGACTGACAACTGTTCATCTAAAGTGGTTCTTGTTAATGAGAACTAGAAGCACATGGGTTCTTTTCCTGGACCTGGGTCCCGATCCACAAAGATTTCGTAGCGCTACGACATTCGTAAGTCTATGGTAAACTGTAGAGTTAAGACAGGTCGTAACGTTACGAACGCTTTGTGGATCGAGACCCTGGTTTAGAATTGGTCTTCAGCAACCCATGCTTGTGGTAAAAGTCGACTAACTGGATCAAGAAAATTTGAAGAAAAGAAATTGAAGAACAAAGGGGCTGTGCTGAAAAGCAATAGAGAATCATTTTAATCGGAACTTCAACATGTTTCTTCAATTGCAATTATTCAATGCAATAAAACGTATTTTTATGTAACATAATATGGTATATGTACTACCATCTGGAGCTACATTTGCAAAAGACCGCCTCCGTGGTGTAGTGGCTAGAGCGTCCGCCGGAGTGCGGAAGGTCGCGGGTTCAATCCCCGACCGCGTCATACCAAAAGACGTTAAAATATGGTACTTGTTGGTCCCTGTCTGGCGCTCGGCATTAATGGGTACAACAAGGACTGGTCGGCTCGGAGTCAGTATGTGTCTGAGTGGGGTATTCATGCTTCACTGCGGCATGGTATCACAGTGGGCTAGCACTATAAAACCAGCTTCAGTCTGGGCTAGTACAAGCAGCCGCTCATACACATACACACGCATGCACGTAGTCATATAAGCGAAATATTCATATAAGCGAAATATTCTCAAGCACGACGCTAAACCCAATTCCACCACCACCACCACCACATTTGCAAAGAAAACACCCCTACCCCCAAAACAAACATGACCAGAGGACCTCATACAATTCCAGAACAACCCTAACTCATTGACTCCAGCCTATTGGAGTCATTATTACTGTAGCAATACTCACCCTGAATAGCAGCTGAAGCGTATGTGAAACATACTGAGTGAGTTACCGCTAGCTGCTAGTCGTAAGAGGTGACTGGTGGGAACGGGTGGTCAGGCTCGCCGACATGGTTCTCACATGACGTATCCCAATTACGTAGGTCGATGCTCATGCTATTGATCACTGGATTGACTGGTCCAGACTCGGTTATTTGCGGACCGCCACCAATAGCTGGGATGTTACTGGTGTGGCGTTAAACAAGAAACAAACAACGAAGTGGAGCTGATTTCTGTCGGTTATGTTATACTGAAGATAGATGAATTTCGTGTCGATATGAGATTTAAACCCGTTTCATTAACTGCCTCACAACGTAACCCAACCACAAGGGTCCTTGACGTGTGTGACAGAGGATGGGTTAGTGTGTGCGTGCGTGCGTATGTGTGTACGTGTGAGGGAAAACCGAGCTGTTCAACACTGAGAGTGAAAGGGCGTTGAACCATAACCACAGCAGTCTCAATAGTCGGTTTCTTTAATTCCTCAGTGTATCACGTGCAGAATACTAAATTTATGTTACCTTCTTTTTGTTGTTCTCATCATCTCATGTAACCCGTGAAGGTCTGGATTAGAATAGTGATCTTCAGTAACCCATGCTTGTCGTAAAAGGCGACTAACGGGATCGGTTGTCAGGCTCGCTGACTTGGTTGACACATGTCATCGGTTCCCAATTGTCCAGGTCGATGATCATGCTGTTGGTCACTGGATTGTCTGGTCCAGACTCGATTATTTACAGACCGCCGCCATATAGCTGGAGTATTGCTGAGTGCGGCGTAAAACTAAACTCACTCACTCACTCATTGTTCGCATGTTATGGATTCAATAAAAGTTTCAAAATACATTGTATTTACAATGCTTTATATTTATTTGACATATTTGATAATATGAAAATAAAGCATCGGCATCAAAATACCAAGTATCCTTAATTAATTATTGAATTATATATGTTTCCTGATGAATACACTCAAAAGAATAGCAAAATCTGTATACGAAACACGTTTTTGGGGATAGAACATTATGGTTCTCGCTTCCAAGTGCGGCTCAGTTTAGCAAATTGTTCTATCTCCAAACAGATTTTGTTCATTAAATCTTTCTAGCATTAATCTGATATTTTGGCCAAACAAATACATTTATCCCATTTAGCATATACACATCTACATATGAGTGAACTTTCGAAGTTATATGTATTTAAAATTTAAATTTGTAAGGGTTCAAACTTTCAACCTTCAATATCTCAAAAACTTGTTTGGAGGAGATAGGTTCTCACCCGACGAGTTGTGTGTGGGACTGCAAGACATGCTGGATGCTGGGAGGATGAATGTCATCGTATCTCAGTCGTAGATCGATGCTCATGATGTCAATCACTGGATTCTTTGGCTCAGACTGAAATATTTAGGTGGTGTTTCTTTGTGGGTGTGGTATTAAGTCTGACAGCACCACTTCTGGATTTCGTTAAACAAACACCCAAACAAATAAGCAGTTGTTTCGTTAACACAGGCTTTACAACCGACGTTCTCGCAAACTTTGACACTGTGATAAACTTGTCCATGCTATCTGTTGAAGAACTTAGCGTGACAGAAACGTTCATCAATTAGATCTATGGAACTGATATAACATGGCAGTTACAACAGGGGCGGATACAGCTTTTTGAGAAAGGGGAGGTGCACACTATTGAGAAAAGGAGGGGTGCACACTTCATTTTCACCCGAGTATAAATGGTCATTTAACAAACATTCTGCACAAAAGTCCTGCTCGGACTGAAGCTGTACTATCAGGAGTCAAGCTGGTAAATACAGTCACCCATCCAACTACTCTCCGCCACCAATGATGCTTAACTACACCTGAGTTTTTACCTGTGCGATGTGCAGAGGACCACGTGGAATATTGATGACTCTACCCATATATGCCGCCCTGGTTGCTGGTTGAAATTCTGACCCGGAATCCCACGGCCAGGAAACAAATCCAATGGTTGACATTCTCAGCAATAATCAACAACATCAGGTAACGATGCCGCTCCATCAATTATGTCATCGAGCCTGACATTCAGTTATTTTCCTATCACTTTGGTTGCTGAGGAGCCTGATTCCCACGACAAAGAAATACGTAGAATGAAACATTCCCTGAGCCCGATAGTCCATCCTATTTATCAAGTCATTGGGTTTCTGTTGATCAATTCTGAACCAGATCCCCATGATCAGGAAATATGTATAATGAAACATTGCACTTTTTGATTTATTTACATCATATACCTTTCTTCCATATCACATCACCTGGCCAGTCCTCTGATCTGTTCAAGGGCAGCATATGTTCCTTAATCGGGTGTACGGGTACCATGTTGTGCTTGGTGAGGAACTCAATGATATTTTTAGCTTCCGGTTTGTTCTGGTGTGTGTTCCATTCCATCAGTACATACCTGACGTCGACCTTGGAGAAGAATGTCTCCGCACCGAGAAGAACTTCATCCTCATGTCCTTCAACATCCATCTTCATTGCCACTTTGTAGAACTGAAACACCTCCAGTAAATCATCCAGCAAAATGGTCTGCGCTGTCTCCTCGCTGTCTGATGTTACAGGTTTCACGTATGTGCCACCGACGTTCCTGGCGCTGCTCCCTAAGGCGACCTTGACCCTTGTGTTGGATACGGCGTTGTGGACGATGTACGCGTTTGTGTAATTACCGTCACGTATAGAATGGCAAAGTTTCTTCACGTTCTTCAGTAGAGGTTCGACTAGTACAGCCTTTCTCCCCATTTTAGCTATAGTTAACCCGTACACGCCGATGTTCCCGCCGATGTCGACCAATACAAGATCGTCATCTTGTTTGAAGAAGTTGTAGAACTTTGTCACCAGATCCCCTTCCCATACCTCTCCCTTTATAATTGTTGCAGACACCCAAATATCCTCCGACGCAGGGTGAACGTAGATTGGTGTGTCTCCAGCTGGAGAGTGTAAAACTGTTTTCACGAAGTTAGTATCTCCAATACACGCGCTACCGTCACGTGACCAGGACGTATTTGATCGGGAAATAACACTTGCACCTATCAGTGAGGTGTCTCGGTGAGTGAGACTTTGCCTTCGACCTAAACTTGACGAAGAAAGAAGTCCATTGCTGGAAAACCTGTGTACATGCTTATGGGACATGACGTCACCTAAGTCTTGATAATGGTGCAGAGTATAGCGCATGACTGCGAACAACATGGCCACAGCTATCAAAGACGGCCAAAACCGTTTCCGTCTACAACCAAACATTTCCACCGTATGAAAACAACACCGAGTTCCAGCGACGCCCTCTGATTGAATTGATGGTTAAATAAGTCTAAATGTTTGTCATACGTTAAGGCACGGCCAAATTCACTCTCGAAACTCAAGAGTTGTGGGTAGTCAGAGAGTAGAAACGTTGCAGATGGCGATGGTGTGGTGATAGTTGTCGCTGTTGAAATACAAAAAGTGTCAACGAAATGATGTAAAAAAACTGATCACCACGGCAACCAACTCACAGTTTGAATACAAAGCTCTTCGTTATTTTTCTCTTACAGCGACGATAAATGCGTATCAAAAGTCTCTCATCAAACGACTTTATCCTCCATTCTGTCCAGTGAACCCATGATGGCCGCCAGCAAATACCTGAAAACCACAGGTTACAAAAGACACGTCAGTCCTGGCGACAAAACATGTATCAGTGTAGTCTAAAATGTATCATGACACGCACAGTTTAAACTGAGCCAGTGAAGGCATTCGGTTGAGGGTTTTCAGTAACCAATACTGATCGGATAGACCTGTCACGTGACCACACCCGCACCTTATCGACTGTCAACAAAACCGGCAATTGTTGTTGAAAGATTTCTTTTAACCATCGGCATATGATTAATTTGTTTAAAACATACATGTTATACCAAGCTTTAATGATCGAATCGTGCAAATGCAGCAGGCCAGTAGATGATAGCTGAGCGGCTCAGGTGCAACTGAGGTTTCAGATTGAAATTGTGTCGTTGCTCACCCAGCCGATGTGTACTCAAATCCGGGCGCTGGGGTCTTACTCTGTGGCCTTGAAACCCATACCGCCTCCAGGGAGTTTGCTAATCTGTGTACGACATGTCACAATCGGTTGAGAGCTGAGATAGGACTTAAAGATATCACAAAATGAACGGCTGTGTCCCCACTGTGTATTGTCATGAAGGTGGAGGATGACTTCCACTTCCGCTCCAGTATTATTCCACAGCATTGTCACAACATGTTCCCAACTCTTGGCAATATGTTTTCATTATTTTCAAATAACAAACGTAATGTCTGTAATAAACTTGCAAAAATACGTATTTCTCGCTTTGAGAAAACGTAATTACTTTTTCAAAGAAAAACCTGTTGTTTAGCGACCTCGTGTTCTGATTGCATTGTCTTACCTATATACCATATACAGAGAATACTACATAAGGCTTCATTGAATGCGAATTATACGAAAAGAGTGTCTTTCCTATGGTAACTGACCAAGCGAAAGCGAGTTTCGTATAATTCGTATGTAATGATACCCAGTGTGGTATAATATTTATTACCCACGTCTTACATGCATAAAATTAACAAAAAAGCGTCATATGATGTATAATTTAGTCACGTTTGTACTCAGCGATCCTGTCAAACAGTCGTTATCATGATCTGTACCTGTGAATAACAACATCACATATACGCGTTCGGGATAAGGGTACAATTTTCAATTTTTTTTGGTTAAGGGGACTTGGGGAATGTTGTTGAGTTTTTATATATACCTGAAGAGCTACCCCAAACTGGGCCAGGTTGACGGGTGCGTACACCCACCGACCGAGAACGTCACACAGATGCTCAATTGGAGACATGTCTGGGGACTTTAGAGGGCCAGTCCAATGCCGTATGCCCTCTCGTCGGGAATAAGCGGTGACGACTTGTCTGGCATTATCATCTTGGAATTCAAAATTCCTGCCGATAATTCTATCCACTGGAGCGACGACAGAACGCACAATTTCGTCAATATATCGCTGACCAGTCAAATGTCCATTAACGATGACCAGATCATGTGTAAGACCGCCCCACACCTTGACGCTATCGACCCAATACAGATCATGGCCAATAGTTGCCGCTCTGGCATACCGATCACCGCTACGACGCCAACAACGTTTTCTGCCATCTGTGAATCGGAGGCAAAACCTTGACTCATCCGAAAACATGGTGTAACGCCAATGGAGCAAAGCCCGTCCCAGATGCTGCCTAGCCCACACCAATCTATGGTGCCAATGGTGAGCTGTGAGGGTGACACCCTTCACAGACCGCCTTGCTTTCAGACGGGCTTGATAGAGTCGGTTCCTAACGGTTGATACTGAAATTCGTTGTCCAGTTATTGTACGGAATTCCCTATTGATAGCAGGTGCTGATTTGAACCTATTGCGTAGGGTCATTAATGTAATGAGACGATCCTGTCTAGGTGTCGTTGATTTTGGTCCACCACGCTCAGGTCTCATTGCAACCCCACCCGTTTGACGGTAGGCCCACAGGCGTGAAATTACACTTTTTGATTTACCCAACATTCGGGCAACTTGGTACACCCCAACTATCATACCCACAATTATCCATTTTGTCTGTTCATTGAGATACTGCCTCGGGGTGTTCACCTCAATTGCATTAATGATTGTGAGATATCCAATAGGTGGACATAGTTTAGCTTCTGTGTGCACGTGCATCACGTGTTGTTCATGATTCATTGATGTTGCGTTCATCTGTTGCAGGCAACGCCACATTAGCTCAACGTTAGCTGCATTCAAATTCTTAGTTCCCTTATTTTATGTCGGTAACATAAAGTCATAACCTTGACCTTCACCTCAAACACGTAGCACATGACACTCGGGTATCGGGTAGGCCCAACGAGGGTATTCGACTGTAGGAACGGGGTTGGAAATATCACTGAATGGTCCCTCGAACCGATCTACGCAATTGGTGTTTGACGCCGCACTCAGCAATATTCCAGCCATATGTCAGCGGTCTGTAAATAATCGAGTCTGGACCAGACAATCCAGTGGTCAACAGCATCGATCTACGCAATTTGGATACGATGACATGTGTTAACCAAGTCAGAGAGCCTGACCACCCGATCCCGTTAGTCGCCTCTTACCACAAGCATGGGTTGCTGAAGATCAATTCTTACCCGGATCTTCACGGGTCGAATATATGAACAACGCATCAATGATTTTACCTAAGAAATAGCGATCTTCATAACAAAGGAGTCGCTAGCCGGAAACATCCCTGTCTATTCTGAAAGACGCGCAACATACCTTTTCGAATATTCGGGAAGGATGAAATCGGACAACGTTGGCAGGCGACAGTAATGACCGTGACCTTTTCATAACTCAGGGGCGGGTAATCTCTGTTCAAATTCTGGTTGGAGTGGTTTCCCTTTGGATATATATCGGTAATTTACTAACCTATATAGACCACTGTTTGCGGTGAAAACGTACTGATGAATTTCACTTTAAACAAAAAAGTAAATAAAAAAAAGTGAAACTAAGATTGCGAATCCTCATAATTTTACCTTGCCATTTGAAAATTTAAATCTCAGAATTTTATTCAACTTAGGATAAAAGTTGTTTAACAAACGATCATAGTTTCAAATCGGTATTATTGGTTTGTATTACAGGGGGTATGCACATAAAATGAAACATCGAGAACAAGTAGGGCTGGTCTAAGTTAACGCTCATCACGTACCGCACGTGCCATTGTTTCACTGTTCCAACTACTGCGCTTACCCCCTTGTAATACAAACCAATATAAGTGATTTGAAACTATGATCGTTTGTTAAACAACATTTTTCCTAAGTGGAATAAAAATCTAAGATTTAAATGTTCAATTGGCAAGGTAGAATTATGAGGATTCGCAATCTTAATTTCCCTTTATTCGATTTACATTTTTGTTTAAAGTGCAATTTACCGGAACGTTTTCACTGCAAACAGACTATAGGATTCTTTTTTCACCACAATACTCTTTAAATTTTGTATCCAGCGAGACGAATTTTAAAACTTTGATTGATGCTAGTTAACTTTTCCAAAGTTATAGTGTACAGAACACTTGAACGCGTGAATGCTGTTCTATCAGCGGGACCCATTCGTCACTACTCGCCTCTTTCCGTAACCTCCAATTCGGCTTGTACGGGAATAACACGAGTTGGTCACGAATGCAGCGGGACCATGAGTGTCATTGAGAGTAACATCCCTTACATTCGTCCTTGACTTTGTCGGGTGGTAATACAAAGGTCTTCACTTTCTCGAGTTGGCCAGTTAGTGGGTAAATACATGTAGTGAAGTAAATTTTAGCACATTGTTTTCAATTCTAATGTAGTCATATTGATTGCAGCATTCTGATACCATTAAGCGCCGATTAACAACTGGCTTCCTTTGTTATCTATCTTATCACTGTTTTGTTCACATGTACTCATGTATAGCGATTATCACACGAGCAAGTGTGTCATACGACTTGTACGAATCGAGTGTGATTTTTTTGTATTGCTCGAGCGACAGCTCTTATCGCTGTTGTTGTTTCACGTGTTCTCTTATAGCTACCTATCTCCCAGATTTTTTCATTCACCTACTATTATTATTATTATCAGTATCATTATTATTATTGGATATTTTCATAGCGCACATATCCACGCACTAGTGCATGCTCATGGCGCTGGTATTTTTTCCCTCGATAATTGGATGTCAATCTCAACGGTCCATCTTATTACCAATCTCAGCTCCCTGGGGAGTATACAACTCTTGCTGCCACTAGGCGCAGTGAGTTGTTGCAGCTTTCCCATCCTTACGAGGTACCCATTCACAGCTGGGTGGACGGGGACACATAGTCACAGTACTTTGTCCAAGTTTTCTGCACGTTGCTGTACCCGCAACTTGGTGTATCCACGTATTCATATGGCCACTATCTGGTCATATACCAATGGATTCGTCAGTTCTTTTATGGAGTAAGAGGAGTAAGAATGAGTGAGAATATACTACGTTGTGTTTCCTAAAATAGATATGCTGACATGCATAAATTCTTGCCTTTATGGGGGCGGTGAGGTAGCCTAGTGGTTAAAGCGTTCGCTCGTCACGCTGAAGACCCGGGTTCGATTCCCCACATGGGCACAATGTGTGAAGCCCATTTCTGATGTTCCCCGCCGTGATATTGCTGGAATATTGCTAAAAGCGGCGTAAAACCAAACTCACTCACTCACTCACTCTTGCCTTTATGTGTATCACCTTTAAATGCCGTTCTGAGACTTTCCACATTTCTTGTGTTTGATTTTCCAGCTACACGGCGGTGGTCTGTAAATAATCGAGTCTGGTGGACCAGGCAGTCTAGTGATTAACATCATGAGCATCGATCTACACAACTGGTCAGCAAGTCTGAGCTCCCGATCCTCGTACGACAGGCAAAGGTTGCTGAAGATCAATTCTAACCCGGATCTTCACGGGTCAGATGCGCGTTAAATAATGTGACCTTATGTGCGATCATCTTACTTCTCTATGTTGTCAGATGCTGGGATACCCGTGAAGATCTTCAGTAAACCATGCTTGTCATATGAGGCGACTAACGGGATCGGGTGGTCAGGCTCGGTGACTTGGTTGACACATGTCATGGGTTCCCATTTGCGCAGATCGATGCTCATGCTAGTGATCACTGGATTGTCTGGTCCAGACTCGATTATTTGCAGACCGCCGCCATATAGCTCGAATATTGCTGAGTGCGGCGTAACTCACTCACTCACTCAGAGGCTGGGAATTCCCCGTGACGTCATGGGAACATTTTTTCAATGTCCAATTTAAGTGAGTCCTCTGTCCAGAGTTATAACAAGTATCATACGTGTGTACGTTCTGTGACAGGATTAATATAGTTCCCAAACTTGAACATATATTTAACTTCTATTATCTTTGATCATCATTTTTTAAGAATAATTCCAGCTATGATCGTTTTAAAAATCTAGACCCGATGTAAAACTCCACGTTAGTCTAACTAACATATTTATATACAAGCAAGTCCGGTAATTCCGCGCGTCCGGTAATTCGCGCATGTGCAAAAGCTTACTTCCGCATCGAATGAAAACATCGTCTGCTATCACATTTACGCTGGAAATCGGGACATCTCTTCATGGGACTGGCTTTTAATCACTAAATGTAAGTAAATAACAGTAATTGACAAATATATTGACAGTTTTATGAAAATTCGTTTTCTTCAGACTTTTAAGCCTTTTTCTACATTATTCATAATTGGATTTAATATGAAACACTCTTCCTTATATTGATGAAGTTATTTTTGAAAATAATCTGGCCTTACCACCCTTCCACACTTCGGATCTCCAGCTGGATGTTATGCGCATCAGTTGCTGCGCAGAAGTACCGGACAACAAGCGATGTCGTCAGAACGCCGGTTAGGTCAACCGTATGGCATATTGCAACGTTAGAATCTTATAGTCAATAAAACCTATATTTCTAAGTACATATGTTGCATACCAGCATGTTTATTCACGTAAACCACAAAATATAAGAGACGTTAGTTGCCGTGTTGCGATCGATGTGCTTAGGTGCGCGGAATTACCGGACGGCTTTGTAATATCAAAATGTTATTGATGTTACGTGTTGGTTCTAAAGTTGAACCTAAAAGTTAACCGGGAGTCAGTTTGTAAATGTAAATGAACTACTGGCAAACAAGAATAAGTTGAGCACCGACCTGACAATTGACCCGCATTAGCATGTTTGAGTGCCGCCCACTGGCGCTTGCCATTGTTAGCGAAGGGGCCCCAGGTTGTCCGTGGATCAAGTGTAGTGCGACTTGCTACACCGACGTGAGAGTTTTATACGCGCGGAATCAATTTCATCGTCATGTAATGCACGTGCACTAGCCTACATCTACTCTAACTTTCACAAACCAAATGGGTTTGCTCATTGCCGTGCACCGCCTACTTCTGGTAAACGCGTTCTCTGCGCCGGTCCAACTTATCCTTGTTTGCCAGTAGGTGTAAAAGAAACAAACCACAAAGAAATGTGCTGTAATTATCAAATATATTTGAAAATTAAGTCCCCAAATCACTAGAAATGTATCAATATGACAATACACAGTAGAGTGACAGTTCATACGTAAAAGCAAGAAAAATACAGAAAAGCAAAATACAAGAACATTGATTATAGCACTAAAGACAATAATGGTAATATCCAACTCTCAGTAACAGTAGTTCAACTTCCGAAATTAAAGTATCCCAGGGTAGAGTGTGATCACACAAAATAATCTTCTTCTTGTCGGTTGAGATGTAATGTGAGATGAGAGGGATAGTAAAAAAGGAAAATACAACATATAAAATTATGCAATACTCTCTGAAGCAGAACACTCCGGAATCAGCACATTGTAGTACGTTCTAAATCTTCTGTGGGTCTGATATGAAGCCTCTAGAACTCTGTCAATGCATAGATATAGCACAAATCTAAATATGTCTACAGAGTTATCTCCCTTCCTTGTAGTTGGTACTTCCAGTTTCAGTCTTTTCAGGGGTTCCACACACACACAATTGGCTCCGCCAACGCACAAAAAAATCTTCAATGTGATCTTAAGTCATTTACAAATGGATGTGTGTGTTAGAACCCCCTGAACCCCACCGTCTGGATCCGCCACTGACACATATATTCTTTTGTACTTTTTTTTTTTTCTAATTGTATTGTGATGTGAGTGGAAATTTCATTATACAGTACATTGTATATGCACAATACTAATTCCATCTCTCACTTTTGATCTCCTACGCTTTTGATCCTGTGTGGAAACATGCATGGGACCCTTAGAATGTTTCCAGTTTCTCAACACCTCACCCAAATGCATCCAGTAGTCACTAATGCCGCCATCCCTTGTCAGTGTCACACCTCTAACTGCCCATGAGCAGCACCAGTGACGTAGGAGTGGTAGTCATGGTAACGGGCTCCGGATTGTTTCTCCGTGTGGAGAGGATTCTGCACAACTCCACGTTGATTTGACATCGATTTGAATTTGAAAACAAAGTTTTTGACTTTTACAACATCTTAAGACACTACTGGAGTGAGTGAGTTTAGTTTTACGCTGCTGTTAGAAATATTCCAGGAATATCACGGCTGGGGACGACAGAAATGGGCTTGACACATTGTAGCCATGTGGGGAATCGAAGCCGGGTCTTCAGGGGGCAAGCGAACGCTTTCACTACTAGGCTACCCCGTCCCAGAGGCTAATGGAAATAATGCTCGGTGCTATGTTCTGGCAACTACACTCAATTCCTCTTGGCACAAACAGAAGAATATATTTGAATAATGTATCCTGCATTTAATCATGGAAGAAAACAGTGCGTAAAAAGTGCTACTTTGAACATTTACCGTGTCAACATAAGGTGAAGGAACGCTTACGTCATACGGGTCGTACACCTCATGACTGGTGCTGAAATACCGACGACCTGGGTGCGGCAGATCTTGTCAGCAGATCATGCCAACTAAGGGACGTAGCTCAGGTAGGTGTGGCACCTTAAGCATCTTGGTCTCCCAGAGTGACAAGGACAGGAATGACGTTTATGGCCGACAAAGTGCTCACAACTAAGTTAGCTTGTCTTGATGGAGATCATTAGAGAGTCACTAAAAACTAATGATACTGCTTGTGCAAGGCATCATAAAACTATTACTGACTTATAATTGATTCAGATCTGATATAAAAACTCCCCCTGTAAGGAAACTTGCCTAAACACTAGGTGAATATATTAATCAACCTAAACACATTTTCCTCAGGCATGACGGATGACAAAAATGGATGAATGTCTGACTTTCATTCTCTCTCAAACCGACCACGATTCTCGGCTTCAACAAATCTATGACATACTCATCCAGTTAGAGAGAGAGGATCTGTTGGTGATGAGACACCTCTCTGGCGCCAATTGTCAGATCACATCACTGTTAACAAGCGTCGAGCACCAGCCATGCAGAGCAGGTACCCCCTTCTCGTTAAGTATATCAACACCTGCTCCTTCCCTGATAAGTTCTTCCAGCATCATCTTCAGCTGATTCGTGTACATCTCAGCCTCTGTAAGATTGCCATCTGGGGTAATGACATCGCTGTCTTCCTCTACTCTGCACAATGTATGGAGTGGTGTGTTGCCTTGAACATCCTGTTTGTTCAGATCAGCACCGTGGTCAATCAGAAACATATATGACCAACGCTGCATTGTAAAATTATGTGAGAAGATCCTGAGAACTTTATGAAGACAGTTCTGACCTGAGGAATCGTCTGCTTTGACATCAGTCCCTTGTTCAACCATCAACTGAATCATGGGTGACGGGTCGTTCAGTGTAAATGACTTTCTACTGATTTCAAGAAGGGGTGTAGACCCATCCTTACTTTTTGAATTGATATCAGCCCCTGCTTCAATAAGTTTCCTGAGCACTTTCAAATTGGAAGGGTGAATGTAGTGAAGTGGTGTCTTGTGGACATGGTCTTTGCTGTTGACATCAGCCCCTGCTTCCAGAAGAACATCCACTGTTTCACATGTGAGCGAATCCTGCCTGAATAAAGGGTATTCCTTGTCCTGGTCGGCAGAGTTCCCAACTGCAAGATGGAGTGGAGTTTGACCTTCCCCGTCGCGAGAGTTGACATTAGCTCCATGCTTGAGAAGACATTTGAGGTTCTCTGGCAAATGCCAGAAGCAAGCTTCGTGAATGGGACATGTTCGTTTTGCACCGTATCTACCTCCAAAAGCATGTACACTTGCCCCTTTGACTAACAGATGTGTGATTATTTCTGCATTGCTGTACATACAAGCTACATGTAGAGGTGTGTATCCATTCTCTGCAGCTGCATTGACATCAGCTTGGCTGTCACACAGGAACTTCACCACGTTGATGTGATTGCCTATGCAGGCTGAATGGAGTGGGGTAAAGCCATCCTTATTCTTATCGTGACTTGAAAACCCAAGTTTAGACAGACACTTCACAACTGCCATATCCCCGCCCTGACAGGCTGAATGGAAGGCCGAGTTTCCAAAATGATCCTCTTTCAAGAATTCCTGAGCAGCTCCATTCTCAAGGAACAAGCGTACAGTGTCTAAATTTGAATCTTTACAAGTGAGCCTGAATATCTGTGCATCAAGTTTGGCGCCTTTGTTCATCAATAGCCTTGCTATATCCAGCTGATTATTCTTACATGAATACAAAAGAGGCGTACCACCCATGATGTCTCTACAATCAAGAACATCTATTTTGTCAATGATGTCTTTCACTACAGATGTAAGGCCATTCTCACACAAGTAATGAAGCACTGTTTTACCATAAATGTCAGCTGCATTTACATTCGGGTTCAGTAACATTATCTGTTGTACAAACTGTTCGTCTTTGCTTTGTGCTGCAATCATGATGGGTGTACAGTACGACAAACTCTCTCCTCGAAGAGGTTTAATGTCTCCTCGTGAATCAATATCTATTTCAAAATGTTTAGTTAGATAGTTCAAAACATCCACTGCAACAAACCAACATGCACCAAACAAAACTTCCACAGTCTGATGTGTGTCTAATTCTTCTTTTTGCTTCAGAAGTTTGGCCAACATATGCACTGATTTGCTGCTTGGTGTCAGAAACAAAAAGGAGTATCCCCATGTGTCGTCTCTTAAAGAAAAGAGATCTATGTTGGATCTTGCTAGATATTCCATGAAAGTTTCCACAAATTGTAATATTTTGCATGCTGTGTGAGAAAGAACAAGATACAAATGTCCCAAGTCAATTTCGTCTGCAAATCGTTTGGCAAGGTCGGGAGCATAGGCAAATGCAACAAATACTTTTTGGGTTGACTTTGCAGATGCTTCCTGCAGAAATGATTTGTTTGAGACATTGAGACGGAGTCTTTGGTGAATGAAGGATAGGCTACAATGTTCAATAACAAACAGTGGGTTTTCTCCAGAGAGAAGAGATGCGACACTGTCATATATGGATGCATGATCAAACATGAAACAGTCCTCCTCCTCGTACAGATACGATCCAACCAGATCATATGCAGCCCTGAGAATGTTCTCACTTTTATCCAATTTGCTCAGTGTTGTGATATCGACGATTCCATCTCCCTTTATCATTTCCTTGAAAAGGCATAATTTCAAATCATCCAGCATTAACTTCTTCATTGTTTGATGAAGAAACTTGAGTGGTGCTCTGAAAAATTCATCAACTGAAACGTTGTTTTCTTCCTTAAATATTGATGTGAATAATTTACACACATGTGGGAAGCCGTGGGAACATTTTATCTGACAAATACGGTAAATTTCGTCGTTATCTAGCTTTGGACCGCCTTTCGTCATAACAGCTTTCCAAATATCTACCTTCTCTTGCACATCTCTGTCACCTCCAATGCTTACAACAAATTGGGAAGCTGTGAAGAAGGTAGACCATCTGTCCATATGACGTAATGATGAGTGTATAACGTTGTCCCGCCCAACAAATATCACTGTTGGTCTATTGCTTGATTCGTGGTCCAAAACATCTTCCTGGTCAACACTTAAGACATCTGAAATGACTGAGTACCAGTTATTCCAGCGAAGATATTCAAACTCGATATCACCAAAGATATCATCAACCATGATGACTGGGTTAAAGTCACACGCCACATCTGCGAATTCATCAGGCGTCGTAACTTTGTACACAGGCCTCCCAATGTTCAACAGTTCTCCCAACACCATATAGGCTGTTGTTGTCTTTCCTTCACCTGCTGGACCGGAAATCGTCACCCAGGTTGTGCCAGAGCTGATTTTCCTCAAGACGGACTCCAAGCCCTTTGTCTTTGCCTTCCCTTTGGTCAAAGTAGCTATCTGACGAAGTGTTCGATCTGGAAACAAATTTAGTGGTATATTTAAGGGATGTGATCATTAAGGTAGGAATACACCCTTTCAATTATTCACACAACTCTAAAATATCATCTAAGATCAAAGGGAGGTGGGAGAGCCTAGTAGTTAAAGCGTTCATTTATCCGTCTTCAATTCCCCACATGGGTACAATGTGAGAAGCTCATTTCTTGGGCCCTTCTCCGAGATATTGCTTGAATATTGATAAAAGCGGTGTAAAACTCAACTCACCCTTACTCATATAATATCCACGACAATGGGATTGCCAGTGTGGGTGACTAGGTTTTCCATATTGATGTGAATGGCTCCAAACTATGCTATCAGGGCTGTCAAACTATGGTATCAGGGCTGTCAAACTATGGTATCAGGGCTGTCAAACTATGGTATCAGGGCTGTCAAACTATGGTATCAGGGCTGTCAAACATTATCAGTTTAAAGAAGTTTGAATCTAATATGCGAATATTGATCAGTAAATAAAATTGAAACTGTTGGTTTCCTGTTTTAATGCCTATATTACTGACATGACCAATGTAGGCTAATATGGATACTTCGACTTTGCACTATGAAATTTCACTCACCTTTAATTCTCCGAGCTCTGACATTCTCTGTAAGAAGTGAGAAACAAAGTTGATGATAACATTGGCAATATTATGAAAGTAATAAACTGTTGTAAACACTTCAACTTGGTTTTTGAACGATTTTAGCACTACAATTATCGTGAATTAACTGCAAGGAAATTGAAGACTCTTGTATCCTGTTTTTGAAAATATTTGAGACGTAATTTATCGTAGTAATGTTGTAAATCCAAGATTGCTCCATATTGCATTTTCATCGAAGATGGCGACATACTTTGCTAATGCTATTGTGTAAGGAAATAATCTGCCACATTTTGCAACATTCACATATACTTAATTCTGAAAAGAAAGGCGAATCTTTACCATGTTTGCAATTAGAGGAAATATCACAACAGATCTGGAAATGAATGAAAGTTCAGTTGTTTTCTTTGTTGTTTTCATAATGTGTGTTGACTGTAACTTAAGTTGTTTTCTTTGTATGTTTTCATAATCACGCATCAGTATCTTTATTGACTACAGTATCACAGTTTCCGTCAGTAGCGTTTCTTTTGGAACTGGGTATAGATGTGTGTTAAAGATCACATATACTCTAGGGGGGTACAAATACATAAATCATTCATTAAAATTACTCATTTCGACCTATAATTAACTTACCTATATTTACCTTTTTGACAACAGCGCACAATTCCCTCCCGCGAACGAAATTTCAACCAATCAGAGGGGCGCGTCTCCGTGACGTAATGTGAGGTATACAATTTTAAAGAACAGGTTCTCCTTGTCGAGTCCTTTTCTAATGATATTGGCATGACATTTGGACTCGACAAATGTAATACTTTCCATTTGAAACGTGGCAAGGTAGTTAATGTTAGATCGGTCAAGTTACAGGGGGGAGGAGTTATTGAGTATCTTGTGGAAGATCAGGCCTACACCTATCTTGGAATGCAAGTTCGAAACAAGCTCCAGAATGCCCACATTCGAGAAAAAATTCGGGCCGAGTACCAATCTCGCTTAAAGAAAATTTTGAGCTCAGAGATAAATGCTCGAAACAAGGTCAAAGCCATCAATACTTTTTCTGTGACAGTCCTTTCCTATTCCTTGGAGTAGTTGATTGGACAAAACAAGACATCCAGAGTCTGACCGCCTGACCAGAAGGATCATGTCTGATAAGTGCCCTCGTTCCTCTCTTAACCGTTTATATATGCCAATCAATTCTGGAGGTCGGGGTTTGATTAATGTGGAGGCTCTTCATGATAGAATTCTCTCGTGTACTTTTGCACATATTTATTTATCGGATGATCCTCTGGTGATGCACGTCAAGACTCATGATGAAAGCAAGGAATTCCACAGCAATTTTAAGCGTGCCAACGTTGTTGGACAGAATCTGAAATTTGATATTGATTTTGTTGATGGCGATGTACTGCTGGGTGGTACAGCGATGGGAGTAAACGAGATGAGTCCTTCACCAAGTCTGCCTAGAGTTGGTCTTTTGTGGATAAGCTTTCTGAGAAACCACTGCATCGTGTGTACATGCAGTGTGTGGAACAGAATAGCAATCCCACTGACTCCTAGTTGAAGTCGGCTGGTCTTAAATGTGAAACTGAGGGCTTCCTTTTTGCTGCTCATGACCAGTCACTTCCCACTCGCAATCGCCAAAATGTGATTCTTAAAGAAAATATCAATATGAAATGTCGACTATGTAATGAATTTACAGAGACTGTCCACCATCTTGTCAGTGGACGCCCTTCTTTGGCACAAACAGCATATCTTAAATGACATGATTGCATGGCTCGTTGCTTTCAATACCGTCTCCGCCATGTCTGTGGCTTTGACTCCAAGGTTCATCCATGGTACGACACTGAACATGTCCAGGGCGTCATTGGAAATGATGCTTTCAGCTTCTTTTGAACAGGCCCATATGCAGCCTCAGAAGAATTCCTGCCAACAAACCTGATCTTGTCCTGATTGAATTTTCTGTCCCTTTTGACAGCAATGTGATTGGCAAGATTCAGGAAAAGCATGATAAATATAAGGACCTCGCATTCGAAATGTCTCGCTTGCATCCCAAGTACACTGTCGTCAGGCTCCCCATTGTTCTCGGTGCCCTTGGTTTGGTACCTCCTGATCTCTTGGCGCAGATCAGGAGAGTGACCAGGTTCTCCACCGGGAGCACAGCCCTTCTGACACTCTGGGTAATGCAGAAGGCTGCAGTGTTGGGGAGCCTTCATATTCTCCGGAAAGTTCTTGGTGGGTTCGACTAGGCAGCGTTTCCTGGGAGAAGTCCCATTCGCTGTCTGGGCTGCGTGTAGAGGGGGCAAGGGCCCTGTGCTGATGATGAGCTTTACCAGCCTGACTATGCCAGGATCACCCGAACCCTCTCTGCTGCATATTATCTTTAATCTTTAAAACATAATAATAATAATTTATATGACACCTGGTTTCCAGCGTATCTGCTGCTCAACGGCGCTGCTACACAAGTCAAAACATTGGTTACACAACAGTCTCGCTTCCTGTTGACTGGGTCCCGTCCTGTTGCGCAACTTAGTACACTAAGCAGTCCAGAATTTGGGACCAATTCATTTAATCGGAGACATAATTATTAATCAGTATTATTTGATACATCTAAACACTTGTATATTGCAACACTACACTCCTTGTAATCTTGCAAACACGTCGTGCAGCGTGCTCTGTCATACAGCGAACTCTGATAAACGGAAACCTGGAAATCGTAGAAATCTCAAAACGAGGCTCTCCCACTAGAAACGTTTGGCGGTCTGGTACGGACTTGATATTATATCAATCACATTTTGAGTTACAGAACTACACTGAATACGCGCAAAAAACCCGTAACAGGTGGCATACGTTATAATTATGATAACAATTGAATAATGTTGATTGTTTACATGATGACGTCACCAAATCTCCAGCACACAAAGTCAGGGATCTGACTCGGCCAGTCAGGCTTCCACAAAAAAGTTAAATCCCAAATATGAATAAAAGTTCCATTTGACACTTTCTAAAAGGCATTATCATATTTTGAGTAAGCGTCTAATTAGGTGAATGAATGCGGAAAAATGGGATTATTACATTCAGAATGTACAGTCATACTTACCAATTGTGTTACCTTTCCCTACGATGTTGGATCTTTGCACATGGCCCCCAGACATTCCTATCGTGTCCGCAGTAGACTCCGCTGTGTCATGTACGAGTTTGTTAAATGCTCCAGAGTTGGATGGTTTCCTGAAGTGTTGAGGGAACCCTTGTTCCTTGCCTTCAAATCTGTCTTCTACTCGAAGATCTGCTGCTTCACACACAGAAGAGGCTTGAAATGGCGGGACAGAAGGTGGTTTTGCAACATCCCCTACTCCTGATCCAAATAAATGTGCCCCTTTCTCTAACAGATACCTTTCCACCCCCACACAGCTGTGCTCACGGGCTACATGGAGAGGTGTATGTCCATTCTTAGCAGCAACGTTGACATCAGCTTCCCTCTTACATAGGAACTTCACCACGTCGACATGATTGCCTTTGCAGGCTGAATGTAGTGGGGTAAAGCCATCTTTATTCTTATCATTCACTGAAACGCCAAGTTCCCATAATCGTTGAATGATCGATATGTTTCCTCCTTCACAAGCTGAATGAAATGCAGACTGAACCGTGTTTTCGGTTGCTACAAGGTCATCCTCAAGAAAAAGATTAACAATATCCAGATTTGAATGCTTACATATCACACAGAGCAGGTCATTATCAAAGGCAGCACCTTTCACAACCAGAAGCCTCACAAGATCTAAGTGTTCGTTTATACATGAATACCATAGAGGCGATCGTCCTTGAATATCTCTACAATCAAGAACATCTATTTTGTCAATGATGTCTTTCACTACAGATGTAAGGCCATTTTCACACAAGTAATGAAGCACTGTTTTACCATTACTATCTGCTGCACTGACATTCGGGTTCAGTAACATTATCTGTTGTACAAACTGTTCGTCTTTGCTTTGTGCTGCAATCATGATGGGGGTACAGTACGACAAACTCTCTCCTCGAAGAGGTTTAATGTCTCCTCGTGAATCAATATCTATTTCAAAATGTTCAGTTAGATAGTTCAAAACATCCACTGCAACAAACCAACATGCACCAAACAATACCTCCACAGTCTGATGTGTGTCCAATTCTGCTTTTTGCTTCAGAAGTTTGGCCAACATATGCACTGATTTGCTGCTTGGTGTCAGAAACAAAAAGGAGTATCCCCATGTGTCGTCTCTTAAAGAAAAGAGATCTATGTTGGATCTTGTTAGATATTCCACGAAAGTTTCCACAAATTGTAATATTTTGCATGCTGTGTGAGAAAGAACAAGATACAAATGTCCCAAGCCAATTTCTTCTGCAAATCGTTTGGCAAGGTCGGGAGCATAGGCAAATGCAACAAATACTTTTTGGGTTGACTTTGCAGATGCTTCCTGCAGAAATGATTTGTTTGAGACATTGAGACGGAGTCTTTGGTGAATGAAGGATAGGCTACAATGTTCAATAACGAAAACTGGATCCTCCACGCAAAGAAGAGATGCGACACTGTCATATATGGATGCATGGTCAAACATGAAACAGTCCTCCTCCTCGTACAGATACGATCCAACCAGATCATATGCAGCCCTGAGAATGTTCTCGCTTTTATCCAATTTGCTCAGTGTCCTGAAATAGACAAGTCCATCTCCCTTTATCATTTCCTTGAAAAGGCATAATTTCAAATCATCCAGCATTAACTTCTTCATTGTTTGATTTAAAAATTTAAGTGGAGTCCTGAAGAATTCTTCCACGGGTATACTATCGTCTTCCTTGAACATAGTTAAGAATAATTTGCACATGTGTGGGAAACCATGTGGGCATGTCAGTTGGCATACTTGTTGGATTCTACTTTGCTCGATGTTGGCACCACTTCTCATAACAAGAATATTCCAAATATCTACCTTCTCTTGCACATCTCTGTCACCTCCAATGCTTACAACAAATTGGGAAGCTGTGAAGAAGGTAGACCATCTGTCCATATGACGTAATGATGAGTGTATAACGTTGTCCCGCCCAACAAATATCACTGTTGGTTTATTGCTTGATTCGTGGTCCAAAACATCTTCCTGGTCTTCTTCAACACTTAAGACATCTGAAATGACTGAGTACCAGTTATTCCAGCAAAGATATTCAAACTCGATGGAACCAAAGATATCATCAACCATGATGACTGGGTTAAAGTCACACGCCACATCTGCGAATTCATCAGGCGTCGTAACTTTGTACACTCGCCTCCCAATGTTCGACAGTTCTCCCAACACCATATAGGCTGTTGTTGTCTTTCCTTCACCTGCTGGACCGGAAATCGTCACCCAGGTTGTGCCAGAGCTGATTTTCCTCAAGACGGACTCCAAGCCCTTTGTCTTTGCCTTCCCTTTGGTCAAAGTAGCTATCTGACGAAGTGTTCGATCTGGAAACAAAATAAGAGGCACATAATGAGATAGGAAAATTCCCTTATGCAGAAACGGTTAAGCTTATGATTATTACATGATTCTACTTACAGATGAAACTGACATTGCGATTTGGTTATCCAAGTGCAATCTTCTCTAGGTCATTGGTTTTTCTCAAACTGACTTGAGTATTTAAATGTAGTTATGATATATTTTCTGGTAATGTCCAGGGCAGTGCACACCTACACGTTCCACGAACACATGTGTCAACACTAATTGTGAGTGGTCCTTATTCTTTTAACTTTGACACCAAATTTGCCCTTTACTGCAAATGTAATCTGCTTCTGGATACAATAAGAAATTGGATATTCTTTTACATGGTCGTTTTAGTTCTATATTACCTCTGAAACAGTTGATATTATAATGGCTTTCGAATATTATTATCATCATGGTCTAATTTCAAATTTCAAATAGCATCACCCCTCGACGACATTAAACACTATTTTCTGACAAGACAAAAAACTGGTTGTCAAGTTTATTACAGGGTTTTATTGGAAACAAAAACACTTCGCAATCAACACTGTATGAAATGGAATGTTGTATTAGGAAATGAAATTGCAATTGATAATATAGATACTTGGCACAACTATAACCATATTCCCTTTCGTTGTACAAAAGATACAGATCTCCAATGGTTTCAGTACAAACTGCTTCATCATATTTTGCCAACGAATAGTAGACTCTTAGAATGAAATATATTGACCATAACCAATGTAGCTATTGCTCAAATTCTATAGAAACAACACCCCACCTATTTTATGATTGCAGCAAGGTTACCCATATATGGCAGAAACTTCAAGATTGGCTAAACGATAAACTGGGTTCAAGTTCAAATTTCACAAGACAACAAATTCTTCTTGGATTCCGTCGTAAACATAAAGACCCAATTAATGTGATCCTCATCCTTTTCAAAAGTATTATTTTTAATCGTAAAACATCCTGAAATATGTCAACATTTCAGTTTATGTTGAAAAAGCTTTCGCCATATTACAATTTAACCAAATATGCAGCTATTTCTGTTATGCTCCAGAATCGGCGCTTCTTATAAATTCTGGTCGGCATGTCACAACCTGTTCAACGACTGATTTATTTTGTATTGCCATTGCTACATACAGTGGTAGCCCTCCACAGAGGTAGACCTCTACCCTGTATGTTGGAGCCAATGTGCAAATGTAAAAATGGTATGAAAACTTATACTTTTTTTTCCATAATCATCATGGTCTAATTTCACATTTCAAATAGCATCACCCTTCGCCGACATTAAATAATATTTTCAACAACTGAAGGATAATGGGTTGGACACAATTTGAAGTCATCGCTATTCCGGACGGCATTTAAGAGAAGAAGGTTGGTGTTTGGGAGACTACACTTACAACTGAATTGAGAACTTTGTTTTCTGTACCTGTTTATTTTCAATGTCATTTTGGATCCTATTATGCGCGTGTCAGTGTACGTCAGATAGCATTTGGGCTGGCTATCAACATAGGTGAGGTGAGGTGAAATTGGGTTTAACGTCGTGCTTGAGAATAATTCGCTCATATGAAGACGTGCATGTGTGTGTATGTGTATGTGCGGCTGCTTGTACTAGCCCAGACTGAAGCTGGTTTTATTGTGCTAGCCCATCGAGATACCATGCCGCAGTGAAGCATGAATACCCCACTCAGACACATTATACTGACTCCGAGCCGACCAGTCCTTGTTGTACCCATTAATGCCGAGCGCCAGGCAAGGACCAACAAGTACCATATTTTAACGTCTTTTGGTATGACGGGGTCGGGCTGGCTATCAACACAGATCATTGAGATCGATTATCGTTAAATGAATATCAAAAGCAAAATGACTAAAAAGGTCTGAAAGAAATCAACTCACTTCACATCAGTGATGAGCGGTGACATATGTAGGCTTGGATTATCAACAAAACGTCGTCCTGAACATACTTTAGGAGCAGCCAATGAATAAATAATTTGTGCATTTTCTGAATAAATTTAAAAAATATTTCCTCAAAATAGTTCATGTACGATATTATGGGTTACACAATTTTCATATTGATAATCATTAATAATGATTCCCATGGACGATATATCCGATTATCAATGTTTTTAGCCAGCTCTAGTTAGCATGACAGTCAGCTAGACGTGCCAGAAGCTGTGTGATGAGACGCTACCTACCTTGAATTCTTTTAGCCTTATCGTTGACTGCAAAAGGAGAATACGTCAACATAAATAATGAATATATACATGATCACCCAATGAAAAAATGAAGAAATGAACTCATTTACAACTTTAATGTGTGCACACAGTACCATAAACCTTCATTTATAAACGTTAATATTATTATAGGATATTTATACAGCGCACTTATCCACGCACTAGTGCATGCTCATAACTGTGTCCGTGTATATATGGATGCATTCGTACATAGATATGTCTGTCTGTGTATAATAGATTATCTGTGCATATATAGATGTATTCGTGTATACATAGATGTGTCTGTGCATATATAGGTGCATTTCTGTACATATAGGTGTATCTGTGACTATATAGGTGTACACATGTATGCATAGGTGTATATATTTACTAGTATATATTCATATATATTTATAAAATTGTTTAAGAGCAATTATTTCATGTAATTTCAATGGTAAAAATGTGAAAATTCATAGGTCTATAGATTAATGCCAGATAAGAGGGTATATAATAAATATAGAACGTCATACTAGTGCATTTGGATGTTTTGTATCGAACTCGCAGAGATGTCATGGGGGCAGAGAAACAACGAGTTCGAAGTTGATCTTCGAGTTCAATGACATCTTCGAGTTTCGAGTGTAAAATTTCTTTATCATCCATTTTATTCTTGTACATTTGTGGAGTAAAACATGGTAAGGAAGTGTGAGTGCCTGTTTACTGACGTCACGTTCAATTGTTTAATGACGTCACAGACGACGAAATGGTTGCTAGGCAAAAGTGATATGTGCAATTGTGCACAATTGCGGTGCTTGTTTGACTTACCGTATATGTTGCCTATCCCTACAATGTTAGAGTTGACGGCCTGGCCCCCAGACATGCCAATCACATTGTTGATGGACATGTTGGCTGCTTGGGTTAGCAGTCTAACGGGTTTCCCTGGTACTCTTTATTTTGACCTGTTTACCTGTACAGAAAACGTGAACTGGAGCAACGTATCGCCAGGCTCAAAGAACATTTTTAGATCGGGGTAGTGATCCCGCTCCAGTTCCTTGACGTTGCTAAGCGACTGATAAAACTGGGATTGATAGTGTTATAATCAGTTATACAAGTATTATAAGGATTTTACAATGATAAATACTTGAAATAAAAATAGAGTTGATATTTTCATTGTGGGGATTTTACAAATGTCAAATTTTTTTTATTATCAACTATATAAATCTGTGTAATTTATTGATAAAATTTTGGGGGTGATAAAATCTTGGAATTTACATAGAGTGTACTATTTACTAAATACTATATTTTTTATGCATTTTCTATTATGCTGATATGTAAAATATAAACTACTAAAAAACACAAATATCATTTCTGGTGTCCCCCACCGTGATACTGCTGGAATATTGTTATAAGCGGCGTAAAAGTAACTCACTCACTCACTACTTGGGACGAGTTAACTGGAGCTCTAGCTGTTAGTCAGTCAGGCATGCAGCTCGCTAATACTATCAGTGAACACCGCCATCTTGTTTCCACTGTACTGTGTCCTTTGTGAATTGTCACATTCTCGGATAACGCCCAGTGTATTCGGACCACACTACACATGTGACCGACATTTCGCTATAAGAGAAATCCAACGCGTTTATATTTTTCAAACCCATTGAGAAATCCTCGCCACATCAAAGAGCCAAATCAGTCACTCATGGACGACTGACGATTTCCTTATCACTTCATGGAAGCTATCTGACAGTTCGTCTCTAACGCCAGCTACATGGCATCGTGGTAGTCTTTGAAAGAAATATTAAGTTAAAGTGCTCAACTATTTACATGCTTTCATACAATATAAGTAAAAAATCACAAATCACCAACCGTTCGCATCCAGATGTGGAAACCGTCTGTTCACTAGGAACCCACCTTTCCTCTGAAGCGTGCAGTTTCAATGGGAGGTTGGGTCTCTGCAGTATGTAGTCATTATGTAGGTCATCATTTCATTTTAGGTCATAGTGACATACGGCGTAATTGTAGGTTGGCTGGTGGAGAGATCACTGCGTACAGTATGCTTGATATGTCAGTGAGTGGGTGAGTGAGCGAGTGGGTGGGTCTTTGGGTGAGTGAGTGAGTCAGTCAGTGAGTCAGTCACTCAGTCACTATGGCGGCAGGGGAATGTGGGGAATCAAATCCGAGTCTTCGGCGTAACGAGCGAACGATTTAATCACTGGGCTATACTACCGACCCTCAGTACTGCAGACTGACTGACTGACTGAGTCTGGTTATACGAAGCTTTTAGCAATATTTCCAGCTACATCACGGCGGGGGACACCAGAAATGGGCTTCACACATTGTACCCATGTGGGGAATCGAACCCGGGTCTTCGGTGTGACGAACCAACGCTTTAACCACTGGGCTACCCCACCGCCCACATACATATACACATACATATATACATATATTGATAGATATATAGATGTACATGCTTTACCCTTCAATCGGAAAGGGTGGATTTACAGACAGATATTCTTAGTTCCGGCAATTATGCACATAGCTAATACAGTCATATATATGAAAGTGAACATAATTCTTCCTCTCAACTGGAAGGTATAGTTTACAGATAGGTATTCTAAGTTCATTTAATCGTGCACATAAATAAAACAGTCAAAACTAGGCTACACAGAGAGAGAGAGAGAGAGAGAGAGAGAGAGAGAGAGAGAGAGAGAGAGAGAGAGAGAGAGAGAGAGAGAGAGAGAGAGAGAGAGAGAGAGAGAGAGAGAGAGAGAGAGAGAGAGAGAGAGAGAGAGAGAGAGAGAGAGAGAATATGAGGTGAGTGGCACATGTTACAAATACATGCACCGGCAAGTCAATTGTTCACCTGTATATACTGAAGAAGCCACAGGCCAATAGTACAAAGTCATATAACAATAATACACATACAATGTTTGCAGATGTTTTTTCATATATACAAATGCATGGTGGATATACACAACAAGTGCTATTACATGGAGTATTAGCGTTCATTAACAAATTAAATGTGCACGTACTGGCATATGTACTGTATTTTAATATTGCGGTAGGTATTTTGTCCTTAAATTAGTGTAGTAAGTAGGGCTTATCCATGGATTGCAATTTTTGAGTCTCCGGTAGCAATTAATCGATGGTAGAAACGAAAAACTATCGATAGTATATGTGACTATCGAAAGTTTAGTAACTGACTTCCGTTGATAAATGCGCAGCGTAAAATACAGGGTTTCAAGTTTCTTGTCAGTTATTAGAAGAGACTGAAACTACTTAAACTTGTTATTATTTTATATAAACTATACATTCATTTAGGAAATGACTTCAAATGGGACAATTCAAGGAGAAAAAACTATTGCAATAGTATTGCAATAGTTGGTCGCAATAGACAATCGCTATCGCAGTACATGTAGTTGTTTCCCCCCAATAGTCACCCCTAGGAGTAAGGACATACCAACCAACGTGGAACTCATCTTCAATTACATTTAATGCCCAAAATTTACACAATTTGTTTTCTCTTTGAAAATTCTAATATCTACCCTTTTCGATCATAAGATCCTCTGAAGAACATCTAAGCCTATATAATGACACGAAGAATATTCTTAGATCAATATCGTATTGCTCTGTATTTAGAACGGATTTAAAAGTACTCTAAAAAGTGAATTAGGGCGACTGTACTAAAGATGAATTCAAAGTTTGTATGTACATATATTTTAATCTTTTTGTTACGGCATTATACATGACCTTGAGTTTATAAACATTTGTGACAAAAAAACAACAACACTAAAATCACAACATTCTTTACCCAAGTTGATTTCTCGTTAGCGTTAAACAAACACATTATCATTCTCCAAACGAGAACCCCCAAAACCATTGCCCCATATAACATAACTGGTTTAATGTTTGTATCTGATATATTGAAAAATGTTTTGAAATTTAAAATGCGTAAATGCTTTAAGTTCCTGTAAATGCCAATAAAACCTTTCGTCCGGTCTACTCCCATTTGTGAGAACTCCCAGTTGTGAGACTCCCAGTTGTGAGACAGTGGAGTAGGTAAGTAGCAAAGAAAACACACCTTACTCCTCTATCTGATAAAATGGATTAACCCCAGCTAATTAGGGATTAGATATTTAACTGAATCTTGTGGAGGTAGCTTAAAAGATAAAGTAATTAACCTACTCAGGTAAATGGCTTTAAAAAATAAACACTTTGTGTAGGGAACTTCGTGATCAATATGAAAAGTGTCAAAATCTCCAAATATGGACCCATGTAAAAAAGTGTTTTATAATGACACACAAACATCATAATAGCGCAAATCTTCAAAATGTGTTAATCAAAAATCATAATAAAATATTTAATGAACTATTTCTTCTGTGTAAATATAATGATAATCTTAGTCAGTATTTCAGTATTTAACTTGTTCTTTATTGAAAACAATAAATGCTCTTTAATGCTCATTAATGAACTATGTTTCCTGCGGGTACCCTTCAGCAACAGGGCTGTTCCCACTTTCATCGTAGGGATGGGGAAGCTCCACCTGTGTGCACTGAACCATTAATTAATGTGTCTCACAACTGGGAGTTCTCACAAATGGGAGGACACATCTCGTCCCTGTAAAGCAGCACTATTTGCATGGTAATACCATGATAACATATTGGCAAAATGGACACTTGATATTTATACACAACAACATATACGTATTGTTAGTTATACATGTGCCTGTCTGAATTGGACAATTCAATGTACTTGAAAGCATGATGGCATCATCAGCAAACAATAACAATAATGTACAAATACACAACAATATATACGTATTGTTAGTTATACAATAATAAAAAAATACACAACATATACGTATTGTTAGTTATACAATAATAAAAATACACAACAATATATACGTATTGTTAGTTATACAATAATAAAAAAATACACAACATATACGTATTGTTAGTTATACAATAATAAAAATACACAACAATATATACGTATTGTTAGTTATACAATAATAAAAATACACAACAACATATACGTATTGTTAGTTATACAATAATAAAAATACACAACATATACGTATTGTTAGTTATACAATAATAAAAATACACAACAACATATACGTATTGTTAGTTATACAATAATAAAAATACACAACAATATATACGTATTGTTAGCTATACAATAATAAAAATACACAACAACATATACGTATTGTTAGTTATACAATAATAAAAATACACAACAACATATACGTATTGTTAGTTATACAATAATAAAAAATACACAACATATACGTATTGTTAGTTATACAATAATAAAAATACACAACAACATATACGTATTGTTAGTTATACAATCATAAAAATACACAACAACATATACGTATTGTTAGTTATACAATAATAAAAATACACAACAACATATACGTATTGTTAGTTATACAATAATAAAAATACACAACAACATATACGTATTGTTAGTTATACAATAATAAAAATACACAACAACATATACGTATTGTTAGTTATACAATAATAAAAATACACAACAATATATAAGTATTGTTAGTTATACAATAATAAAAATACACAACAATATATACGTATTGTTAGTTATACAATAATAAAAATACACAACATATACGTATTGTTAGTTATACAATAATAAAAATACACAACAACATATACGTATTGTTAGTTATACAATAATAAAAATACACAACAACATATACGTATTGTTAGTTATACAATAATAAAAATACACAACAACATATACGTATTGTTAGTTATACAATAATAAAAATACACAACAATATATACGTATTGTTAGTTATACAATAATAAAAATACACAACATATACGTATTGTTAGTTATACAATAATAAAAATACACAACAACATATACGTATTGTTAGTTATACAATAATAAAAATACACAACAACATATACGTATTGTTAGTTGTACAATAATAAAGATACCTTAACAACATCTGGAGGCAACCAAATACTTTCTGTACAGTTTTGATACACAACTGTCGCTAACATATTTATAATGAAAATGAACAAAAATGGGTTAAGTATACAGCCTTGACGAACGCCGATATTACAATCAAATGTTGATGGCATAACACATTTATCACGCACACATGCTTACATTTTACCGCCTCTACGTGAGATCTAATGCTGTACAATTATTTAAAGAATGAATATACTATCAGTGGTGGATTAACCCTCTCTGAAGTCTGCTTGTGATTCATGACTTTATAAGTTGTTCACAGGTCACAACAGGAATATGGGTTGATGTACCCTCTATGTTTATGTTCCCTGAACAACGTATTGATCTTACCGAACACCTCAATGTTAATTTTGAACTGTTTGAAGCACGGCTATGGGATCATGATAAGGAGTACCAGAGTTAGGCAATACCGACAACAGCCAAAACACTATTAACAGGAAGTACGAAATGAGTTCCCACAGTTCGGCGTTCCTAGCGGGTAAGATAGAAAATGTTGCAAGCCCTTATCTGACTATCTCCACTGCTAATCCCGTGTAGTGATTTCAAACCCTCTATCAAAAATTATACTCGGGACCTTATGCAACAAAGGTGGGACACCCAAGTAGGAAGAAATAAACTTCATGAATTGAAGCCAACAGTTGGTTATACCTACTTGGGTTGTCAGTCAAGACGTAATGAGGTAGTTCTACGACGATGTCGTATTGGCCACAGTTGGTTTACTCATGACTATCTGCTGAAAACGGATGTAGATGGACCTTCTGTGTGTGTTTCTTGCGATGACATGTACACCATCAAGCATATTCTGCTTGATTGCGTGGACTTTTCGACTACAAGGGACTCGCATTATGAAGCGATAAATCTGAAAGACCTGGTTTCCCGCGTCAGCGGGCATCTCATTGTTAGCTATCTGAGGGAAGTTGACCTGTACCATAAATTCTTGCTCTGTAATGTGAATAACAAATTGCCTGCTTTTGAATTTAGTGAATTTAAATAATAATGTAATGAATATATATGTTTTCAAAATAAAACTCATTTATACTTTGTACTTACAATGTTTATTAATCCAGACTTGATCACGTGACTATATGGCTGGAATAATGCCGATGTGACGTAAAACTCAACTCAACTCAACTGTAAGCGATGTACATTGATTGGCTCAGCCAAGCAGAAAACGGCTTTTATGTGTCCTGTGAAGATCCGGGATAGAATTGATCTCAAGTAACCAATGCTTGTCTCCACCTGTGCAGATCCGGGTTAGAATTGATCTTCAGCACCCGTGCTTGTCGTAAAATGTGACTAACGGGATTAGGTGGTCAGGCTCGCTGACTTAGTTAACACATGTCATCGGTTCCCAATTGCGCAGATCGATGCTAATGTGTTGATCACTGGATTGTCTTGTCCAGACTCGATTATATACAGACCGCCGCCATGCAGCTGGAATATTGCTGAGTGTGGCGTTAAACAAACAAACAAACAACAAATTATTCAAAAAGACATGATGTACACGTCTTGCTGTACCTGTGCCAATACACAATACTATTGCCTGGTATTACATCTGCAAATAAAATTCTAGTTCATTAAAAAATGCCATTTCTGGTGTCCCCCCGCCGTGATGTTGCTGGAATATTGCTAAAAGCGGCGTAAAACCAAACTCAGTCAGTCATTAAAAAAATGGATTATTGATCAATGTAGTCGAAATTTCATTTGTTGCATGACAACAATTTTATCTGAAACAAGTTGTTACTCAGAAGTGACCCTCAATTAACTGAATTTCAATACAGTCAGAAATGAATGTTGCTTAACTTTTGTGCATGTGTATACACTTTTGCACACGTCACTCTATACTCTCGGCTACACCTCTGTGCTTGGACGGGCACACTCCAGTTCAGCCATGACAGCATGGAACTCTGGGTAGGAGAGCGGGAAGCGCCGAAAACCAGCGACAACAAGGACAGGATTCGGACAACCAGTTTACGCTAGCGCTGAGGAGAAGTTTCCCCTGCTATTTCAAAAGAGCGTCTAGTAACACATCGCGTTGAGGAACTTGAATACTGTGTCGCAAGCGACTATGTTCAGCCCTAGATTTCCGGCTGCATTGATGATTGTCTCGACTGTATGCCTGTCCACGCATTTATCAGTGATACAGACGAATAAGTAAGTGTTGACGAATTTATGCTTATTTGTAATCATCACTATATAACTATTAAACGTCTGGATGATCTAGAGTTAGGACTGAGGGTATATCAATATACATTCAGTAAAGGTGGCTGCGTTAACCAGTCTAGTGGGAACAAAGTCAGGAATAAGACAGGATGTTTATTATGTCGCGTTTGTAAACAAATGACAAATTCAACAGAAGAGATAAATTAAGGAACGCAGCATTTGAATTGATCTTTCAAATTTTCACGTGTATGTATAATCGTCCTCACACATTAGTACAAGTAGAATAGAACCAGTCTGACATTAATTCATGTTACTTCCTCGTGCTTTAAAGGTCACATGCAACCAAAAAATCAAACATAATTAAAACACAATTATCACTTATTCATGACATATGATATACATTGCTGGTTATGAAAAAACATATAAACAAAATTATAAGCGTACAATCGCAAATCAAAAGTGCAATATTGTGTACTTGGGTTTACTTCCCAAGAAACGAAGCAGCCGGGATACCGAACCCAGTAAGAGCGGGTGGGTGTGGCTGGTTCATTTGCAGATGCCCTCACGGCCCATTGTGTGTGTATATATAGAGATGTTGGGTTTTGTAAATACATGCTCATTTTTTTGTGTATAACATTTTGCAATCAACAGACATCATAACATGTCATGTGTTCAAGTATCACACCTGCCTGTCTGTGTAATTACATAATGTGACAGAGACCGAACTCGGGCCATAAATCAATGCGTTTTGTTTTTGGTGTATAGCCTGATTGGTGTTAAGTTCAAATTGCATGTGGTCAGTCATCGCAGTTGTGTATTGAATATTGTCATTAGCAGACAGGCAGGCAGACACACAGGTGTCAATAAAACAAGACATTGAGTTTTGTCTGTGACAACGACATATCTATATCACAGTTAGAAATTCTGCCAACACTAATTAATGACATTGCTTTTCAGTATCGAACTGAGAAAGTGACTCGGTAAGAAGAACGTGTGGTGAAATAGACAAATGAAATTATATAAACAGTGTATTTACTGTCATAACATATAAAAAGCTCGCGCCTGTGAAATATCAACAAAACATTAGGAAAATAGCTCACACCAAAGCCTTCACAGAGTATTCACCGGACAGCTTCCAAGCTGGGCGAACCTATTTCACTGCGCACGTGCTATGAGCGCAGCCCAGCTGTTGAAACCAGTTTTCCCCCGAAAAGTCGGGGGAAAATTAGTGAATTGTTTGAACTCCGATTTCGCGCGTTTTTTTCATCGCGTTATTTTTCAACTTTATAAGTTGAATTTGCATTTTTGATGATTTGTTTCGGTAAGTCCATACCGAAAGGTATCAGAATCTGCACAGTTGTGATTTACGTTTCATGTGACCTTTAACATATAGCAGTGCCTTTAATCTACGTGTCTGATATCATCTTACATATTTCAGTCTGTGCAGCTCATGAACGACCCACCAACCTTAGCATATAGAGAATTGCCGTGGATAAAAATATCAACCAATCAAGTGTGTTCGGAATATTTATTTATCACACAATGGATAGTGTTCTCGATAGGGTCATATACGGATATCGATGCAAATTAGAGAGGTCATATGCAAATTTCAGGGATTACTTTCACAGTGTAAACAAACATGGCGTTAACCCCCTGGATGCCACAGGGTCATATACGGATATCGATGCAAATTAGAGAGGTCATATGCAAATTTCAGGGATTACTTTCACAGTGTAAACAAACATGGCGTTAAGGGTCAGGGTCGTGTCCGGATTAACGGCCGTGGTTACGGTACTGTCAGTGCTTTGATCCCAGAAAATTCATGCCTTGTTGTTATAGCTGGAGTACATTACAAAGCGAACATAGAAATTGATAGGCTTACGAAGATACCAACATCAGTTCCCCGACCGACTGTCAGTGTTAGCGAGAGAACGGTGCACAATGTAACGCTAACGTTAAAGCGTATTTGGTTGTTCAAAAGGTTAATTGAATGTTTCTTAAGTTCCACGTGAGTTTGTTATTATTTTTCAAACGTAAGCTAAGATTTGTTGACAACAATACGTACTTTAGCATAAAAGCTTACTGGGAACTAGATGACCGCTGAGTGATCAGGAGAAAATAATGTCACCGGGCTTGTGACGTAACGTATTACTCCGCACATATTTGTGACGTCATATACAGTCCACGAAGATTAGTTTCATGATTTGTGGCATTTGAATTCTCATTTTCTTAAATTATAAAGCAAAAACGACATAGCCAAGGCTCGCTAAAGACAATGATTATTCCTAATGCAGGATATTAACCATGCCAAAACACACGAACGTGATAACCTATATATAAAAATATCAACCAATCAAATGTGCTCGGAATATATATATATATATATATATATATAAAGAAAGTGATGAGAATACCGAGCGTACAGTAGTACATGTATAAGAAGAAGTTTTTGAAATAATCACACGACACGGATCTTCTCCAACATGTTTCACTATTACCTTCAGGGAGAAGTGATTACAGTTAAACGGATTATGTTATGACGTCAATTTGTCATGACGTCACAATGCAACTGTATACAAATGTTGTGACGTGGCGTTGCCATGACGTCACATTGGCGGCTTTATATTGACAGTACTAGTAGCACAATGAAAACAAGTATAATTCAGACACATTGTGTTACCTATTTAACGATGGACACAATTCTTTGATGAAAAAGTTTTCTTTAGCTTTACGCTGCATGGCGTCAGCAGTATTCATTTTATAGAAAGGGAATATTTTAAATTTTATTTCCTTTCCTGCTGCGCATTTGTCAATGTGAGCGCTTAAGGGGATGCACCTTGTTTTGGGGTCCTTAATCTGTTGTTTATGGACGCGCATTCTGTCCCTCAAGCACTCCGTTTGTCCAATGTATTCTTCATGACACCCTTGGCATATAATAACATAAATAATATGTTTTGCAGAGCAGTCCATGTTAGAGCGTACATGAAATAATTGTTTCCTGTTTTTGAACTTTGTACATGAAGTTTCAAGTATATATTCACAAGTTCCACAATTTCCCCGTTTACATTTTGAGACACTGAATTCTGTAGGTTTAATACATGAGTCGAATGTGGCACGTGTCAATATGTGTTTTAAGTTACGGCTTTGGCGTTTACTCTTTATCATTGTTACATTATCCATAATTCGATTCATTTTCATATCAGCATTTAAAATTGGAACATTTTGTCTTATGATATGAAAAAGTTCCGGATTCTTGGGGTTATGCGTTGAAACATAGGCCAGATTGACAGTGTTATTTATTTGTTTATCACGAACTATCAACAGTGTCCTTCTGTCTATGTTTATTGCTTTCTTTACTCCATCTTCCACAAGAAGAACTGGGTATCCAGGGGACTGTAGATATGATTTTAGTTCTGCAAGTCGTATGTTCCTTGTCGGTATTTGTGACAATCATGCAGATACGTCTTGCTAAGTTATAGGGAATGCTTCTCTTTATATGACTCGGGCGGCAAGATGAAAAATGAAGGTATTGTTTAGTATCTGTAGGTTTATAATATATATCTGTTTGTAGATTACGTCCACATAGTTTTACCATGATGTCCAAAAATGGAATTTCAGAATAATTTGAGTCCATGGTAAAATGTAAATGTTTGTTCAAGTTATTTAGGATGTTATAAAGCAGAGTTAATTTTTCATCTCCAAAGGGCCATAACATGAAGCAATCGTCAAGAAAACGTCGCCAATTTGTTCTAAAGTATTCAGCGACTTCAGGTCCTAACTGTTCTTTCACTTTGGTTTCCAGAGTTCGTTCCAAATACCCTAAAACTAACGTAGCATACATCCCTCAAGCACTCCGTTTGTCCAATGTATTCTTCATGACACCCTTGGCATATAATAACATAAATAATATGTTTTGCAGAGCAGTCCATGTTAGAGCGTACATGAAATAATTGTTTCCTGTTTTTGAACTTTATACATGAAGTTTCAAGTATATATTCACAAGTTCCACAATTTCCCCGTTTACATTTTGAGACACTGAATTCTGTAGGTTTAATACATGAGTCGAATGTGGCACGTGTCAATATGTGTTTTAAGTTACGGCTTTGGCGTTTACTCTTTATCATTGTTACATTAGCCATAATTCGATTCATTTTCATATCAGCATTTAAAATTGGAACATTTTGTCTTCGTGGGCATAAACAACTTCAATAAATAACCAAAACAGTAGGCACATCGCCATTCATACAAATTACCCTTAAACTACAACCTGCAACCCGCAACCCCCAACCCGCAACCCGCAACCCGCCATCCATCAAGCATGGGCTGCTGAAGACCAATTCTAACCCGGATCTTCATGTGTTCAAAACAAGGAAGTGTCGACGGGTTTATGTTAGTGTGTTTTCATCAGTATATCACCATTAAATGTCAGGTTGACCTCAAGTAGGGTTGGGACCAAGTGTATTTCACTGTACATAGCCGAATGTGCACCCCCCACACTCTCCTACCCAGAGTTCCATGCGGCAAGCCAGCACAGTATCTCTGCCACAGGCCAGAAAAATGTGACGATTCGTCACATCTTGCACCGTCCATTCAATATAATTTACATATTTCTCAACTCTTTTAATTTTGACGAGTATACACAACTAATTAAACATCTTTGATAGAATGGTTTAGTTTCATTGAGAAAATATCCTAAAACATGTGACACTATTTCGATTTGCGTAGCGATCCTTTGTTTACATAGGTTGTACGGCTCCACGTGCTGTCATCGAAGCCGACGGAGAGCAAACGATGCAGCCAGTTTGATATCTAAATATGTACTGTCATAGACCTTACTGTCGCAGTTGTGGAAGAATATATATGTAACAATGTAAAACATTATGAAGAGAGCGCCGAAAAGCTTTCGTGAGTCCAGTCTCTTCTTATTATGAATATGCGCGTTTGATTACAAACAAGAGAAAATTCCGGTCACGTGATATGCAAATTAGCCTGTGGCAGTGATGTTATGTTAAGTCATCGCTGTGCCGGAGTGTGCACCCCCCATCCTCAAGAAGCTGTATCCGCCCCTGATGTACATGATGTGATGGTGACTGTGATTACGACTGTGATTGGGAACAATGTCAGGAAGTTGTTTTTTTTTTAAGCCAGACAAACGTAAATATTTATTTAGTGTAGTGGCTCATGGCCAGAAATACAGATATATTCAAATTTCTAAGAGCTTTTAAGAATTTCTACTGTGAGATAACACCTAACGGTAACTAGTAATTCAGTAATTTTCTTTTTTTTTTCTTTTTTTTTCTTCCTGGACAAAGTACATTTGCTGATTGTGTCACTTGGTGTTACTTTGCGTTTACATAACCAGGGAAGAAAAAAGAGCTAGAACGAATATATATATAAACTCTGTCAAAAAAGAAACGCAACCCCTGTCCTCAGATATGAAAAATTCGTTTGAATGAAGTTATTGCTTCCAAACTAAATTTTATTCGAATGTATTGAAATGATACACGTAATTAATGAAGATTACCATCCAAACAACTGCATTTGTACGCATAAGTGTATTTTATTGCTTATTCCGTCACAACGCATGAAATGACCCTCATGGTGACTTCGCACAAAAAACACACATGCAAATCATGAAAATGGCAGTTAATGTAGGGGTGTATAAAAGCCCATGTGCTTCCGTATTATATTCATTCATTTGTCGCCGAAAAGCTGTGTTAAAAAAATGCCACGATTGAGTGCTGCCGACCGAAATATCGCCATTGGTCGTGTTCAAGCCGGAGAAAGTTTTGGAACTGTTGCACGGCACCTAAATGTTCACAAAACAACGATATCCCGACTTTGGAGCCGCTACAACAACTTCAATTTGACCAACGATCGCCCGAGAAGTGGAAGGCCAAGAATCACGACCCCCCTTCAAGATCGGTACATCCGGGTCCATCACCTGCGTAATCGGCATGCCCTACCAACCGTGACTGCCACACAAATACCAGGTTTGAGGAGAGTGTCAGCTCAAACGATTAGGAACCGTCTGAAAGAAGCGGGTTTACGTGCCTGTAGACCAGTTGTTGGACCTGTACTACGCCCCCTACATCGACGCCGACGACTCAGGTGGTGCAACAACGTAAGGATACGGTCTTTACAAAACTGGAGGCGAATCTGGTTTTCTGATGAATCACGTTTTTCTTTTGCAACGTCACGACGGAAGACAGCGTCTGTATAGGAGACGTCATAAACGTTTTGCGCCCATCTGCGTCCGACAGGTGGACAGATTTGGCGGAGAAAGCGTCATGGTTTGGGGAACCATCTCATACAACCAGAAATCAGACTTGGTGATCGTTCCAGGGAACCTGACAGCCCAACGTTACATCAACCACGTGTTAGAGCTTCACCTTCTCCCGATTATTGACCAACAGACACAGATTTTTCAACGGGACAACGCCCGGCCTCATACTGCACGTGCAACAATGAACTTTCTGCAGAATTCCAACGTCAATGTGTTGCCATGACCCTCTAAATCACCAGACCTCAACCCTATTGAACACCTGTGGGATACTCTGGATCGACGCGTACGTCAACGTCAGCCGCCGCCACAGACGCTGCAACAGCTCGCCGTTGCACTGCAGGAGGAGTGGAGAGCCATTCCCCAGGAAAGAATCCGGCGTCTTATCCGTTCTTGTCCAAGGAGATGCCGTGCAGTGATTGCAGCGCGTGGTGCTCATACGAGATACTGAGAAAGACGCCCCCCTGGTGACAAACTGGTGTCTGTGAGATGACTTTTGAAATGACAATTTTAAACATGCCCATCTGGGTTATTATTCTGCCAAATTTCAGACTTCTGTCTTAAATAATAAAAATGCCGTGTCGTCCTAAAACTTCAGATCAAAATCTCTAAAATACAGGGGTTGCGTTTCTTTTTTGACAGAGTTTATAATGCCAGGAAGTAGAACTGAACGGATGTTTGTTAGGTCCGGGTTTGTTTGAGAAATTTCACCGAAAATATTTTAAAGATAGATTTCACTCACAACAAATGGAGCATATAGACATTTTATACACATGTTCACCTGTATTTATAATCGTTCTCACACTTGCGGCTTGTTTTGGATACAAGTAGAATGGAAAAGGTTTCAGTCAAAAGGCGCATATAAACTAGTGCTCAAAAGAAAGTATACAGTGTGTTTGACCAAATTTGGAACGTTAAAGAAAAGCATATATGAATAAACATCTGTTTAATTTCAATACAGTATTCGATTTCCACAGCATGTACACAATTTCATTTCATACAAAGTCGAAAGTACCGTTGATTGAGACTGTAAGACACGTGGTATCATAGTCTGAACTTTTACACAATTCAAGAAGGCGTTTTTTTCCTTCAAAAAGTCTTCAAATGTTGAGTTAATAGTGAGTGTGACCACCATTTGCTTCAATACACGCCGTTTTCATTCCTTTAGGGGACGTTTTTCAATGGCGATGTTCCCTGTCGCAGCGTCAAGACGTGGGGTAGTGTTTTGACCTTGAAACTTCTTCAAAACGAATGTCGATTTCCCAAAGTAATCTTGATTTTTATAGCCAGACAGTGCATGCTCTTTGCTGCATAATTTCAACTAGAAGGTGATTTCTGTTGCGCTGTGGCGATGACTTTTTAATCCGTGTAAGAAATCTAATCAAAATCAACATTTTCAGGTAAAGTCGATTTTTTATTCATGCAATTGTGTAAAATCATGTTATCAACACTTTTGTTACATATTTTGACGATTGTTTGAACACAAAAGGTAATAAATAGATTTTAAAAATACAAAATGCCTATGCGTTTCTTTTTTGGGATAGTATATTATGGCGATATAAATTTTACACCCTTGTATTAAATAACTTAACTAAATATTTAAGTGAGTTTATCTTTACGCCGCACGTATTCAATATTCCAGCTATATGACGGTCAAAAGTTTAAGATAAATTGGCATAAAACTCAAGTGGCTTTCAACAATATCATTAAAACAAAAATGTGTATCAGGGAAGAAAAAGAAACCCTATGTTGCCTTTGTTGATTTTTTGTTTGTTTGTTTGGTGTTTGACGCCGCACTCAGCAATATTCCAGCTTATGGGGGTGGCCTGTAAACAGTCGAGTCTGGACCACACAATCCAGTGATCAACAGCATGAGCATAGAACTACGTAACTGGGGTACGGTGACATGTGTCAACCAAGTCAGCGAGCCTGATCACCGATCCCGTCGTCGCCTTTTATGACAAGCGTGGGTTGCTCAAGATCATTTCTAACCCGGATCTTCACGGATTGTGTGATAATATACATATTGAGGACTTTAATCATGGTCTGGATCTAAATTATATTCAGGACGCTGAAAAAACATGTCACCACTCACTAGTAATGTGAAATATGTTAATTTCTTTCAGATATCTTTGGCATTTTTGCTCAAAGTCACGTTTCTGATATTTATCGATAATCGATCGATATTTAGTTAACGATTATCGATCTCTATCGTCTGTATCGACAACCAGCTACATTATGTGACTATTTTGAATATCCTATTGGATTAAAACAAGGCTGTATATAGAGTGCTCTGTTATTCTCATTCTTTATCAATGATTCTACATTGGAATATTTAGGTAATTGCAAACATGCGGCTGCTTTGGGATTAACAGATTTAGACAAGACAAATATCGTGAAATTATGTCCGAAGTCATGCACCATTGAAATATGTACATGTGCACTTTCTCTGTACACGGAACAGTGTCCCCATACTTTATATACTGATACATAATGATAGGATATAGGATGATACATTTTGTTGTTAGAGAGAGAACAGATGAATGGGGAGTGAGAGAGAAGAGAAGATGGGGGAACAAAGAGGGGTGATACCGTGAGTGTGTGGGGGAGTGAGGGAGAGACGGATAGAGAAGGGGTGAAAGAGAGAGAAAGAGGGGAGAGGGATAGAACAAAGATTGAAGAGGGAGAGAGACTGGGGAGAGAGAGGGATTGAGGAAGAGGGAGAAGGAGGGAGAGAGGGATTGAAGATCGTAGAGAAAAGGGGATTGAGGAAAAGGGGAGAGGGAGGAAGAGAGGGATTGAAGATCGAAGAAGAGAAACAGGGGTTGAAGTGGGGAGAGAGGGAGGAAGAGAGGGATGGAAGATCGAAGAAGAATAACAGGGATTGAAGTGGGGAGAGAGGGAGGAAGAGAGGGATGGAAGATCGGAGAGAAACAGGGATTGAGGAAGTGGGAGAGAGGGAGGAAAAGAGGGATTGAAGATCAGAGAGAAACAGGGATTGAGGAAGTGGGAGAGAGGGAGGAAGAGAGGGATTGAAGAGAGGAGAAAAACAGGGAAGAAGAGTGGGGGCAGAGTTCTCACATGGGTACTCTGATACCCAAAGACAAAGTGTAGAACGTTGTACATATTAAGGCGTTTCTGTTTTAGGATGATGCTGGTGAAGAGTTCATATTAAACACACTGGTGAATGACAAGTGAAAAGGGAAGGACGTTTAAAGTTTTGAATTTGAACACAATGCTTGGGAGCTGAGTAGGCAGGATGGACGAAGGTCAAGGACAGACGGATGATTGTGATACGGATGATAGTACACCAGCAGGATGCAGAACACACAGTGATGGAGACACGTCATCAGACGGGGAACACATGGGACCTGCAGGTGTTGCCATGGGCAACCCACAAGGAGCAACTGAAGGAGCAGGCATGGAGGATGCTGATGTTTATGAAGAGAATGATGACGAATATTATGATTGCACAGACGAAGAAGAAGAGGTGGATGGGATACGAGACATGTCACAACTTGGAGCAGGTGCCATTGGGGTCAAATTCCAGGCTGTTCATCAAGAGTCCTATCAACTTGTAGATAAAGGTATGTGTGTCTTTAGGAAATGATGACAGCAAGTGATGCTTGCTTGATACATCAGCGGTCACACGTCAATGGAAACACTAGTGAATGATGCCCGATAGTCCCGTCAGTGCACTTAGCATCACAATGCGATCGGTGTATAATCGCATAAGTGTGAATATATTATTGTAGTATTCTGGGACGACTCCATCAGGATACAATTTCCCCCTTACACATAGAGCCCTGAAATAATTAGTGTACAGGGTAAATCATACACTAGGTTGAGCCACATGGTACACCGCAGTTATTAAACCCCGCTTCCATTACCCGCTTTACATCACACAGTGCAGATCAAATCAGATCAATACAAGTCACATTATCTAATTCACAAACACGGACACACAGACACACGTGCAGAGAGAGAAAGATATATATATATATATATATATATATATATCACACTCATACATACACACACACATATATATATGTGTGTGTGTGTATGTAAATTATATCTGTAAATTATATAGTGTGATTTGTATTCGTCTGATTTGATCTGTATTGTGTGATGTAAAGCAGGTACTTGGTTAAATGTGTAATGTGGTGGTATAACAGTTGAACTGACCTGAACATAGCTATCCTGACCTGTCATAGTGTTTACAGCCACAAATTCAAACTATTTTTTTTTATCTATTTCATGTCATTTTATCAATGTCAGTATTCGTATGACATTTGTTTGCGTCCTTGGAGATCCAATTTTAACCTGTTTGTTTCCTTCGTAGATACCACGTCACTAGTACAACACCTTATGGGCTGCTGTCAGCAGCCACCGGGAGAATTAGCATCAGCGCCTCAGCAACGAGAGCAGCTCCAACCTTCAGCTGGTGAAGTTGATCTAAGAACAAGTCTACAGGTTCCGGGAACATCAGCTCTGACACCAGCCTCCACGTCGTCGCTTTACCCCAAAATACTAGGATCTCCTTTAACAGAGATACAGTCCTCCGGGCTGCCTCTAGTACCAGTGACTGGTGGATCTTCTACAGGTGAGCTCTGCTTTATGAGTACTGCTTTATATATATACTTCAGATATCTTGTACAGTTCTCCAGGTGAGTGTTGTGACGCGTTAAAGTAGGTTCGGTTATGGAATACCTTCAATAAGATATTTTCAAAAGAGGTGGTTTGTTAAAAGGTGGGACTACAGTAACATACGCATGGGTCTGGACATGAAAACAAAGGATTTATGTAACGAGAACATTTCTGGGGAGTGAGTGATTTTGCGTCACTTTTAGCAATATCCCAGCAATATCACGGCGAAGGACACCAGAAATGGGCTTCACACATTGTACCCATGTGGGGGAATCGAACCCGGATCTTCGGCGAGAAATAACTACAATGCTAACCCACCACTCCCATTTCTGTAGAAATCAATCTCCCAGACATACGATGTCTATGTCATGACCTCGGACAACGCATAGTAGGGTTGAAATGCCAGATTTACCATTGTGAGCAGATGTATTTTTAACCAAACGCTGAAAGACACTTCATTGAACACATTTAACCAGATAATGATCATGCGACGTTTGCAACTTGTTTACATGCCTTAGGTATGCTGCAGGTGAATATTGTCGCCCAGTCGGTGCATGGTCTAGGCAATTCGAACTTGCCCATTTAGATAGCATTTACATGCATGAGGTCCACGAGTCATTCCACAACTTAGTGCGCGTCATTTGAATTAGAACCGTCATTGATACAGGGAACAGCAGCATGACTTCCCTTTGTCTGATGTCATGTCTTGTGTGGCATAACTCTCGACTTCCATGACCAACATATCAAATTTGGAGACTACCTTATCGGCTTGTTATGGACGGTACCGTCGTACAGTGTGATCGTTTCTGGGGTGGGTCCAGAATGGTATAGGGTTGCATGACAATGACTGGCCGAAATGTCCCCTATATTGTCGATTCAGCATGACAGTCGAATACTATCGGGAAAACATCTTGTGATGTGTTGGGCATTTGTCAATATGATAACGCATGTGCTCATCGTGCCAGGATTGTGACACAATTCCTCCAAAGCGAAACATCCAGCACTATGTCCTGACCTTTCCGCCACTAAATACGTATGGGTATTCCATATTCCACCCAACTCTCAATGAACACAGTGCTACCCTCAATCAGTCGATCTTAGTGACCCAAGCGCTTCCGTGGTGTAGTGGTTAGAGCGTCCGCCCGGAGAGCGGAATGTCGCGGGTTCAATCCCCGACCGCGTCATAACAAAAGACGTTAAAATATGGTACTTGTTGGCCCTGTCTGGAGGTCGGCATTAATGGGTACAACAAGGACTGGTTGGCTCGGAGTCAGTATAATGTGTCTGAGTGGAGTATTCATGCTTCACTGCGGCATGGTATCTCAGTGGGCTAGCACTATAAAACCAGCTTCAGTCTGGGCTAGTACAAGGAGCCGCACATACACATACACACGCATGCACGTCGTCATATGTGCGAAATATTCTCAAGCACGACGTTAAACCCAATTTCACCTCACCTCTTGGAGACCCTATCACAAATATTTGTCAAGCTCTGCTCAATGTTATGAACAAACGTAACCAGGTTGTAACCTATTATGATATACATGTATACAATAAATCACACACAGTGAAAGTTCATGATAATACTTGCTTTCAGAATCACTTGTGGAATGTAAGTTCAAATGTGGAACACATCTATGCAAGCTTCAGTCATGTGGTTTCTGTTACAGTCACACAGTACAACGTTATCAAAGTAGAGCAACATTTTGGAGATGTGACTGTGAAGGGAGGCAAGAATCTGAACATTGGCGGAACTCAGAATGTCGGTACAACTCCCACCAACCAGGAAGAAGAGGAGAAGACACCGACTGCAGCACAGAGGATCAGGAGTGGGTTATTTGATAGACTGTACATGTGCTGGAATCCTGACTGCTGTTGAAAAATGACAGGACAGTTTGCAAGCTGCCAAGATAGTAGTGTAGGGTCTCTCTCTCTGTCTCACTCCCTCTCTCTCTCCCTCCCTCTCTCTCTCTCACTCCCTCTCTCTCTCTCTCACCCCCCTCTCCCTCCCTCTCTCTCTCTCCCTCTCTCGCCCACTCTCTCTCTCCCTCACTCTCATCCCCCTCTCCCTCTCCCCCACTCTCTCTCCCGCCGCCCTCTCTCGCTCCTCTCCTTCTCCCCCTCTCTCTCCCTCCCTCTCACTCCTCTCTCGCCCCCTCTCTCTCTCTCTTGCCCCTCTCTCACACTCCCACTCTCGCCCCTCTCCTCTCTCTCTCTCTCACCCCCCTCTCCCCCTCTCTCTCTCTCCTCCCTCTTGCCCTCTCTCACACTCCCACTCTCGGCCTCTCCCTCTCTCTCTCTCTCTCACTCCCTCTCTCTCACTCCCACTCTCGCTCTCCTCTCTCTCACTCCCTCTCGCTCACTCCCACCTTTGGGCGTAAACTAATCTGTTCACCTGCTGGAAGTGTACCATTAATCCTGACTCTTATAATCTGGGTACTTTCCGCTACCCACCTGTAAAGAAAGTACGGTGCTGGATATGCTCAGTTCAAATCACTTGTTTTGCTCCTGTAGATTCCGGTCAGATTTGGTCTTCAGCAAGCCATGCTTGTCATAAAAGTTGACTTGCGGGATCGTCAGCCTCGCCGACATGTTTGGTGCATGCCATTGGGTGTGGAGTCAAATCGCTAATCATTTCATTTTACTGTTATTTTAAATCAAATTTATTTTATATGTCACTGGTTGTTTTACGGTATCTTGTTGATATGATTTCGTAATGTCTACATGTCTGAAATTGTTAAGTCACTCACTTACTGGACACATATTAGAATAAGGGTTTTGGAGTAATATGTTAAAAAAGGAAATTACACAGATTTTATGCACAGTTAAATGTGTTAAATGTGCCTTGTTTCCACAGAAAGGACGGCATCCAGGATAAAGTCGTGGACTAAAGACATGGTGGAGACAGAGGCCCTCAAGGAAGTGAAAGGAAAGCTGGACATAGGAGCCACATGGGTGACAATTAAAGGAAAACCTGGAGAGGGTAAGTCCACAATAGCCTACATGGCTCTCAAAGACCAGTACAACCAGGGGAGACAAGTATACCAAGTGGTGTCACCAGAGGAGTTCAATGAAGTCCTAATGGCTTGCTCAAATCCTGTCATTCTGTTAGATGACATATTTGGTGATCTGGAATTCGACGCAGCTGAGTTGGCCAAGTGGAAACCAAGTTTCCGACCTATTATGGATGTGAAACATCCCGACAAATATGTTGAAAAAGATCCTGTTGACAAGTCTACCAAAACGGAAAAAGTTTCAGAGAGAACAAAAGTTGATCCAACACAGAAAAAACAAACAAGTCCAAACAAAGACAAAACTATCATTATCCTCGTAGGCCGTGACTACGTGCTGAAATCCTCATTAGTAAACTTGGGAAGGATGGCAGATTACATTTCAAGTCCCCAATACGTAGTGGAAGTTTCCTCACAGAGAGACTCTTATGAGCGGAGAAAGATATGGCGTGTTCACGCTGAAGCAAAAAACACAAACTTTGAAGAGTCAGTTGTGTCTCAGATATGTAAGGCAGACTGTCCACACGGCTTTCCCCATGTATGTAAAATGTTTGCCACAGCATATGAAAAGGATTGGACTCCGCTTCAAATGGAAATGTTTTTTCAAGCGCCACTGGATTTTCTCAGAAAGACTTTGGATAAATTTCTTCAAGACACGAAAAAGCGTTCACTGTTCATGGCCATGATTAAAAGAGATGGGAAGATTAGTTTGCAAGAGCTGGAAGAGGAGGACAGTCTAGGGTATGTAAGCATAGCAGCTGCTGACGATTTAGTTGGAACTTACCTCAAGAAGGAAGATGACACCTACCTGTTTGATCATCCGTCTATATATGACAGCGTTTCCTTTATTCTCAGTACGAAACAATCGAAGTTTGTTATTGAAAATTGTAGATTGTCATTTATCAATCAGCGACTTCGTCTTCCATCCTCCGAAATAGGAACAAACGTTGCTGGTGATACAGATATTGTTGCAAAAATCCCACAGACTTATGCTGGACATTTAGCAAGAAGATTTGCAAGTGAAATTGAAAACAGCAATTTGCATGTTTTTTCTCACCAGGCATTTTGTGATTCAGACTTTGTTGACTTGCTAATGGACTGCCTGAAGAAGCGGTTTCACATGTGTGTAGCGGATATTGTGAAACTAACTGATAACTCATCAAAAAAGTCATTTTATGAATTCCTTTCCAGCATCAAAGCACATCATCTCATCGACTTTTTTGAGGAGAAAGAAAGTGAATAATTTTTCCAAAGTGAAGGAGTAAATATGAGATACAGCCTGAAGCAGACACCGCTTATGTTAGCAGCAGAAACCAAAGACAGTGTGTTTGTCAATCAGAATTTATCCCTTATCCTTGATCTAATGCAAGAACGATAAGGATCTTAGTGGGTTTGGTTATCTTTCCAAAAAAAGTGGAACATGCTATTGACAAGGGTGTGGACGTTAAAGCATCAACAGCCATATGAACACCCCATATACCATTCTGAAAAGGAAGGTCACTTAGAGGCGGTGAAACTGTAAGCTAGCAGACGATGTGATATAGATAGTCTGAAAGGTCAAAAAGGTCATTTTCAGAATCGTAACGAGAAGATAGGTGTGGTTCTTTCTAAACAGAGGAGTAGAGTTTGACGCTTTTGATTTGTGCACAGCATGTGAGGTCGGATGTCGTCAAGATGAGGTGAATGTCGTCAAGATGTTGTTTGAGAAGGGTGCTACTGTGAAAGTTAAGTCAGAATGTTTATGTTGCGATGGCTGAGCGGGTTAGACGGCTGACTTTGTTGAACTAAAGTCTGCTGTTCAGGTTTGGGTGTCATTTGGAAAAGGGAAAAACTTCAGATATTATAACCTCAACAGAATATCCCAAGAAGATGAGTGGCGCTTCTCTTTTTTTCCACGCATTCACTGGTTCTGACACAACATCACAGTTCAGTGGAAAAGGCAAGAAGACTTCTTGGAAGACTTGGATAGCCTATGAGGATGTGACTGACAGGTTTCCTTTTCCTGCGAAGCATCCATTCAGAAGACTCAGAAGTGTTTTCATCACTTGAGCAATTCACATGCACCATGTCTGACAGCCTTACATAGTCAATGAACTGCGGCAAATAGATAACATATGTTTTTATTTGTGATCACACTTTCTCAGTCAAGTATAGAAAATCGGGCAACCCCAAAATATGTTTTATCAGGATGTACTTTGCAAAGTTTCATGCTTTAGTCCGGCGTGTAACAATCAACTTCAAAATCGGTGCCTAACTAATTACTAACAAGGAAAGTTGTTGCCAAAGCTATTCGAGCTCACTTTCTTGTAGACACAGCTCTCAATGGTCTGTTGGTATCAAGAACTTTTAATGTGAGCCTTCCTAGCTTCCATAAACCTTCTGATGAAGCCGACCTTGCCACTCCCCTTCACTGATGATGAGGATCTCAACATGCGACAGTGCTGTAAAATGAGCTAGTGAGTGAATCCTTGACTGTTGGGGAAGTATCTTCTTCAAACACATATTAGAAAGCATTCACCGTCGTCTTAACCAAGAAAAAGATGCGCTTTTGTGGAAGCCGCGGTGGCTGAGCGGTCTAGGCGTCTGACTTTGTGTGCTGGCGATTAGGTGCCTGACTCTGAGGGTGTTGGTTCGAATACCGGATGGGACTCAACGCAACAAAAGTATTAGAATATGTACTTTACCAAGAAAGTGTAATCCCAAATATAACATATGTTACAAGTAAATGTAATTGCCATTATAAGAGAGACAGTTCTCCCCGTGTAACGAAAATTTATTAGTTTCTTCTCCCAACAAGTTCAGTACCATCTCCAATTAGTCAAGCCATCAGAATGGTTGTCCTCACAATGGAGAACCCGGGCACGGTTCCTGATCTGTACCAAGAGATCAGGAGGTACCAAACCAAGGGCACCGAGAACAATGGGAAGACTGACGAAAATTGATTAGTTTCTTCTCCCACCAAGTTCAATACCATCTCCAATTAGTCAAGCCATCAGAATGGTTGTCCTCACAATGGAGAACCCGGGCACGGTTCCTGATCTGTACCAAGAGATCCGGAGGTACCAAACCAAGGGCACCGAGAACATTTGGGAGACTGACGAAATTGTGCTTGGAACGCAAGCGAGACATTTCAAAGGCGACGTCCGCATACTTAGTATTTACCATGTTTTTCCTGAATCTTGCCAATCACATTGCTGTCAAAAGGGATTGAAACTTCAATGATATATGACCCACAAGCATGGCAAAGACGGTAGTAGAAGCAACGAGCCTTGCCATCATGTCTTTTAAGATATGCTCTTTGTGCCAAGGAAGGGCATCCACTGACAAGGCGTTGGACAGTTTCTGTAAATTCATTGCAAAGTCGACATTTCCTGTTAATATTTTCTTTAAGAATCACATTTTGGCGATTGCGAGTGTGAAGTGACTGGTCTTGGGCAGCAAAAACAAAGTCCTCAGTTTCACATTCATCACTTCATCCAGACGCTCCACACACTGCATATATGCATGATGCAGTGGTTTCTCATAAAGCTTCTCCACAAATGATAGATTCTGGGCAGACATGTTGAAGGACTTCACCTGGTTTACTCCCATCATTGTATCATTCAGCAGTACATCGTCATCAACAAAATCAACCTCAAATTTCACATTCTGTCCAACAACTTTGACATGTTTAAAATAGATGTGGAATTCCTTACTTTCATCATTAAATGTGTCTTGACACACATCACCAGAGCATCATCTGATAAATAAATGTGTGCAAAAGTACCCGATAAAATTCTATCATGAAGAGCCTCTACCTTAATCAAACCCAGACCTCGAGAACTGATTGGCATATATAAAGGATTAAGAGAGGAACGAGGGTGGTATGCTCTGTTATCAGACATGATCCTTCCTGTCAGGCAGTCAGGACTCTTGTTTTGTCCAATCAACTACTCCAAAGGAATAGGAAAGGACTGGCACAGAAAAAGCAATGGTGACTTTGACCTTGTTTTGATCATTTAATTCCAGATTTCTTTAAGCAAGTTTTATACTTGACTCGAAGTATGTCTTGAATCTTGGCGTTCTGGAGCTTGTCTCGAACTTGCATTCCAAGATAGGTGTAGGCCCGATCTTCCTCAAGATGCTCAATACCACCTTCTTGGAACCTGACGGATCCACCATTGATTACCTTGCCACGATTCAAATGAAGAGTATTACATTTGTCGAGTCCAAATGTCATGCCAATATCATTAGAAAAGGACTCGACAATCAGACTCTATTCTTTCAAATTGGTATCTCCTTTGTCAAGGAGCTGATGTCATCCATGTAAAGGAGATGAGTAAGCGGCGTTGGGGATCTGTCCTGAGCAGGTCCGGGATGTTAACCTTCCTCTTTATTGAGCAGAAAGCTCAAAGGATTTAAAGACAGTGAAAAAAGCAAAGGACTAAAGAAGTCCCCCTTGAATATTCCCCTTCTGATTGGAATAGATTCGGAGGTCTGCAATTGCCCTTGCGAGTACATCTCAAGTTGAGTCGACCAGCAGCTCATTAAAGACTTGAGTGAATCAAGTAGTCGCTCCGGGAGGTCAATACAATGAAGAGACTTCAGAATCCATTCATGAGGGACAGAGTCGTATGCTTTTTTGTAGTCAATCGTATATCATTATTATTATCATTAAGTTTGTATTTGGCAACTTGTATTATTAACTTTGAATTTGCTAACGGATCCATCTTGTTTGGTCTCTGTAACCCTCACATCGCACCATCGTACCTGTGGTTGTGAGGTAGCAAACGTCTGGTGTTCATTGTTAGATTTGTTTGAAAGTCCTGCCGTTTTATCTTCGCATTGTTAGAGGCATCCTGTCTGATAGAAAACCTTTCATAAATCACAGTGGAATTTAGGACAGCCATGTCTGGCAAAATAGACTAGAATATGACAACTACACAGGTGGAAGACTTAACATAAGAACACAACTTATTTTGTCAGGTAAATAGGCGTTCTCGATTCTATCTTCAGTCTGCAATCTTCTTTTCATTTTGAATCTAAAACCACACACGAATATCCCGACAAAAGAAACAATTAGCTTATTTCCGATTTTATGTATTTCTTCCGTACACTACAAATTCAGTCTGGCTGCTCTTTACAACTTTAGGTCTGTTTTCTCATTCATAGCCATTCTGTAAATGTACAGTCTGATCGGAGGCATGGTTATTTGTGGTTGTAGGTTTGTGAGACTATTACTCAACCAATATAGAAGTGTTGGCGGTATTTTGCTTAACTAGTTATGCACTTAACCCTGTGCACTTAAAAGAATCCACGAATCCGTTGGTATATGACCAGATGGTGGCCACAAACACCTAGTTGCGGGTACAGCAACGTGCAGTGAACTTGGACAAAGTACTGTGACTATGTGTCCCAGTCCTCCCAGCTGTGAATGGATACCTCGTCGCCTAAGTGGCTGCAAGAGTTGTATACTCCCCAGGGAGTTGAGATTGATAATACGATGTGCAGTTGAGATTGACATCCAATGATCGAGGGAAAAAATACAAGCGCCTTGAGCATGCACTAGATGCGTGGATATGTGCGCTATATAAATATCCTATAATAAAAATAGTTATCATAGTAGTCCTGATCGGATTCCAGTTTTTGCTCAACATGATGATACTGTTATAGAACTTGTCAAACCAACTGATCAACTTTATGTGGGTGTTTCCAAACAAACATATACTGTGGGTTTTCGGGCACTCAAGAACATCCGTTGTCATCTCCATCATTGCATGGACAATCACAAAACATGTCACTGACTGAGAAAAGATAACTTTATTCTGAATACATTGAAAAATTCGCAACATCTGTGTGAGTCCTGGTTATAGCTCGAGTGAGTTCCGAAAAAGTAAACAAACAGGAGTTGTCTCCCAGGGCGAGGATTACCTCCCTTTCCTAACCTACCGTCAGCTTGTTGGGACCAACATGGATTCGTCCAAAATCGCAAAAATCAAGTGTAATTCCTCAGTAAGTGCTTGTTATTATAAGTTGTTCACTGGTCACGCGGGGCACATGGGCTGATGTACCATCGATGTTTGTTTTACATAAACAAACATCGAGGGTACATCAACCCATGGGACCAGAGGGACCAGTGAACAACGCATTTATCTTACCAAACATCTCAATGGTAATTTTGAACTGTTTGAAGCAAGGGTATCGGATCATAGTATGGCGTACCAGACGACAAGACAACAAGAAAAACAAATTAGAGTTATCTCCCTTCCATCGATTTGCATTCGCAAAACATCGGTAATGTCCGTATATCGTACGTGATTCAATGTTATTCGAGATAAAAAATTACTACTACGAAGTACCAAATGAGTTCGGGATTCCCAGCCGAAATAGAGTAGAAAATCTTACTCGCTTGTAAGCGAGGTACATTGAAAATAATAGATGAGCGCTCTGCCAATCAGAAAACGACATTTATTTGTAAGGCAAGACAATATCGTGTGTTCTTCACTTGAATATAATCTTAATCTTTATATATATAATGTATACAGTGCATGATGCCAAGTGATCAAGTATTCCAAACATAAAGGACACCCTTGCAGAGCAACCCCCTCGTGGTGACTGTTGCATCTGGGTAACGCTATTAGCTCTTCGCCCCTCCGTGTCGTCCCGAGGGGAAATAGGCCCACACCTCGTAGTTGGTCGGAAGAGGCGACCGAATAGGACAACATGCTTGCCGTGGGTTGCGCCTCTGTGTCGGTGGAGGAAGGGATTCTGGTGGTTGAGGGCACTACATGGTTCCAGGAATAGCGTTCCTTTGCCCTGCACACCACTTCGGCCCTTACTTCACCGAGACGGGTGGTAGAATGGGCCCGTGTTTACACTGTGTCCTTTAGTTGTTAGTTTTAATATATCTAAAGCTGTGATATTCTAGATATTTCACTTCCCCTTGTTAACAGGTTTTCATATCGTTAATGTTATTAA